CTTCCAACAGCTGTCGCCCAAGCCTTAGGAGAGTTTACTTATCAGCTACCTGGCAGACATCTGCCTTCAATGTGGTGGGAGGATTTTTGAAGGACAGCTTGTGATGTGCCAGCTCGAGGTCCAACTCCAATACTGCATACCAGGCTTACTCAGCAACAGGCTTACTCACCAATCGAAATGTTCCTGCAACATTATACCAATTCCTCCATTAAACCAAACGTCATCCATTTTCTATTAGCTTAATTTCAGGCTGCTTTATACGGGAAAAGGTGCTTGACCTTGGTTTCACATTAAGTGTTTATAGTAATATAGCATTCCAGCTGAAAAAGTCAGTAAGTTTATACTGTATGAAACAGTCAAGATTGCTTTACATTGTATCTGAAGCCACTAACTGTCGCAGCAGTAAATCTGTTTCGAACATGTATAAATAATGTTGGCAATACCTGTTCTTGCCAAGATTTTGTCGTCTTTGTGATCTTGCTCTTCTCACTGAACAGACATGCTGGCTTTTAGCTTTCATACTTTGACAGGTTCCGACCTTTTTTGGACATATTGTATTAAGATAAATTAATTTCACCTAAGTGATTGCTTGTGCCAGAAGTATGCACAAATCTACTGGGAACGTAGCGTTGTATATTCCAAGCCTCATACTGTCTGGGCTATCACTTCAGCAGTGGTTACATTTGCTGTACTTAAAACAAAATGTAGTTATGTCTGTCAAAACAATAAATATGATATTTGATCAAATAGGCGTTGGCCATTGATTTCACAAAATTGATTTCCTCTTTCGTGAGCTTAATATTTTTGTCTAAACTACTTTAATTTCAGAAGCTTGCAATATCTCCTTACATTCTTGCTTTCAGCATAAATCCAGTATTTAGAGAGCAGTATTTTTTGGGACCAAGCAATTAGATATCACCTTGTCACTTATTACATCTTTGAGGTAAGTTTGACAATTTGAGGGAAGTTCAGTTTTATTGCATCCGTAGACTGATAGCTGTCGTGAACTATAATCATATCTGTCTGTATTTATCTATTTATAATAATAATGATAATCCTTCCATTTTGATATAGAGCTTTTCACATCTTCTAGACATCTCAAAGCGCTTCACAGAATATACTGTAAAGTGAATTGACTGTATATTTGCCGGCGAAACACGGCAGCCAATTGCGCACAGCAGTGTCCTACAAACTGTCGTGGATTGAAGTGACAAATTTATTATTGTTTTGTTTTCTTGAGGGATTATTATTAGGCGTGTGGAGTAAGGAAACTTGCCCAAGGTTTCGTCCTGCTGGGAATCGAACCTAGGTCTCGCTTACGAGGCGAGTGCTCTAACCACTGAGCTATAGGACTCCACAATTTATCATGACTGTTTGGTACCAAATTGTCTGCTGCATCTGGCTACAGTGAAGCACATTGCGACATCATCCCAATGTGAAAGGTTCTATATCAAATGTAAGAATTAATATCATGCCTGACTAATTGCCAGTGAATTGTTTAGAAACGTTTCAACTTCACGAGGTGCTCTGTGGGAGCACGCTCACCTCCAAGTCAGAAGGTTACGGGTTCAAGCCCCGTGAGGATATGGAAAGCAAAAATCTGGGATTGATGGTTGGATCATGCTTTCCTTGGTGTTTAAATAGGTCTGCTATCTCCATTTAATAATTATTTAGGCTAACCTTTATTTAAAACTTCCAAATTCAACTCTAAAGGAATAAAGTCTACTTGGTAAGGGATGGGAAAAATTCAAATATCTAAACCCAAAACTTGTGTTTCAGCTAAACTATGTACTATTTCTTTTTATAGCAGTCAGTTCACAAACACAGATGTATTATAATAACTTTATACTTTAAATGCACTCTGTGTTGTAATAGTTTATATAATGTTTATCTTAATCAGCAGTACTTAAAATGAAATAAACGGTTACTTGGCAATTCTCAAAGCTAATTCAGCAAAACATGCAGGCATGAGGGTAAAAACCTATTCAATTGTGGATTAAAGTGCTGCTCATTAAATCTTCACCAAAAGCCTTTTCTGCCTGCCCGTTATTCACAACTTTAGGTCAGAGTTTCTGTGTGATGTTCTTTTGATGGATTTCTGAGTAAATTGCAGTGTACGGTCCCACTGTTAAATACTGCGTGGTTTAAACTGAAATGCTATAAGTTGAAGATTTTTTAAAAAACATTCAAATTGACTAATAGACATGAAAAACATTTGAGACGTCTCATTGACGTGATAAGGCACAATATCAAATGCAAGCATTATTATATTAAATCAATTGGTTTTAATTGCAATAAAAATAAATTGAAGTGCTCTTGCAATTATCTCTGCTTCTCTTATGTTCTCCAAAAGTAACATCTCTGCATCCAGTGTGCACTTAATTACATTTTGGAATGCACTTTTTCCTCCACTGAGAATAAATTGAGCTCCCTTAGGCTATCATTAAACACAACAATATAAAACTTTGAACTGTAATCTTTGCTCTCCTTTGAATTCTTTTTGATAACGTTGGCATTGTGAAAGTATAGTTAATGACGAATGTTCTTGAATAGGGTCTCACCGGTGTTTTACGGAGTCTTATTACTTCCTTGGTCTTGGGAGACTACGGTTCTACTTCTGCATTCTCTCAGTCTACAATATTTGGTTTGGATCACTATCGTGTAGTGTTTTCAATGTTTGCTTAACTACCACCACACCCAGATTATTTCCTCCTTTGTATCATTTAATCAGATACTCTTAGTTTGATAATTGGGACAGATATGTGTTACTTTACACACTCCAATGTCACAGTATCCAGGCTGTGCTGGTGTTTATACTCCATGTGAGTCTCCAACCATTGCTTACTCCCTCCCATGCTCTTCTATTCCTCATGAGACGGCCCACCTTCCTCTTGAATATATCTCTACTGTTTGATTCAACCACTGATTCAGGCAGCAAGTGCCACAATCTCACTAGACAACAACGTGGATTTATATAGCACCCTTCCCATGGGGTAGCGCTTGTGTGAATTAACAACAAAATTCTGTTTGTATAGCGCCTTCCACTTCGGGAGGATGGCCCAAGGCGCTGGACAGACAGAGTTTCGGACCCAAGCTAGGGATCGGGGAAGGTGCAGGGCAGACGGCGAAGCAGGTTGATCGAAAGCACAGTTGAAGAAAGGGGTCTTGAAATGGGTCTTGGAGGATGCAAGGGAGGATGCGAGGTGTAGGGATTGCGGGATGGAGTTCCAGAAGGTGGGAGCAGAAGGTCCGCCCACCAATGGTGGGGCGGGCGAGACGGGAACAGGCCCGCTGAGGAGAGGGAGCGGGCAGGATGGTAGGGGGTTAGGCGGTCGCAGAGGTAGAGGGGAGCAAGAGCAAGGAAAGCTTTGAAGGTGAGGACCAGGATCTTGAACTGTATCCTCTGTGTGATGGGAAGCCAGTGGAGTCAAGCGAGGATGGGGGTGATAGGGTCGCGGAGCCTGGTCCGGGAGAGGACACAAGCTGCAGAGTTCTGGATGATCTGCAGCCTGCGGAGGGAGGATTTGGGGAGGCCGACAAGCAAGAAGTTTGCATAGTCAAGCCTTGATGTAATGAAAGCATGTATGATGAGGGTTTCGGCGGCCTGCAATGTGAGGCAGTGGCAGAGCTGGGCGATGTTGCGGAAGTGGGGGAAGGCAGAGTGGGTCCTCTGTAGTTCTTCCTAACTTCTCTGTTAGAACCCCTAGTCACACATTTCTCCGGCACCATTTCTGTCTTCAAATGATTAGAACAACAAAATAAATAAATTAGAACAAGATCAAAATGGTGCAGGAGAAATATATTCCATTAAGAAATAAGGGAAAAATAACTAATAATGGGATGCTATGGATGGATAAGTAGGTGAAGAACAAGAAGCCCCAAGTCTTGTGTAGAAGACCTATTAAATGCCTTTTGAAAGCAGATATTTTTCTGCATATTTCTAGCTGCATTATTCACATCTTCAAAGAATTCCAGTAAATATAATATAAACTACTTTTGTTTCATAACTTTGATTCAATTTTTCACCTTGCATCGTTTAAATTGCTTCCTTAATATTGCTCCCTTAATAAACTCCTGATATTATTCTCACAGATGTATAGTCTAGAATTCCCAAGATGTTACTAAAATGTTTCCTCTCTTCTATTTTTGCATCTCGTTCCTCTGGGCCACATGCCATTTCATAAAAACATAGCATTGAATAGGATTGAAAAAGACCTTAATAATCTTTAATTTGATATAGCTGCTTTCACATCTGGAGGATGTCTCAAAGTACTTCATGAGATTTACTGTAAAGTGCAACAACTGTATTTTTTAGGCAAACGCAACAGCCAATTTGGACACAGCAGTGTCCCACAAACAGTCATGCAAAAAATGATTGTGTGCAGAACAAAAAAAAGGTTACTTCTTCACTTTTAAAAATGTCACTTTATTTCTAATGATACAAAGCCTCTTTATTTTGTGGAATTTGTTTTCTATCTTTTCCTTCTGCATTTCATTAGTTCTTCCTGCAAAGTTGTTCAGGCATCAGTCTTGATCAGTGTCATTGAGTATTTAAGATGTTTATTGTGTCTCCTTTTAATTTAGAAATAGTGCTGATTGAATATTGCATCAGGACGTGTTAGTTATTGGTATTCTTGTGGGGGAGGCATTTTGCTGGTAATTAGAGAGAATTATAATTGTGTACTACAAATGATGAAATTAGTAGCTCATGGTCATTAATGGTATTGTGAAGCCTCAATGACGTGATAAGACACTATGCCAAATAGTGATATAGGATTATTATTATTATATTTTAACCTCTGATTGAGGTATGAAACCAGTAGAGAACACTTCAGCAGACTGGTAAAACAGAGAGAGAATTCACGCCAGACCACTTATGCAGCTACTGATCCCAAGATTATGGTGAATTTAATTTTACAGCTCTGATTGAGAATGTTTCAAGGAAGTAGGTAATAATGTATTTTAAGCTGTATTTGAATCCTTCTCTGTCTGCGTTACAGATCCTTGAATCGATGCCCATGACTGAGAAGGTAGAGGATCTACTTCGTGTCATTGGACCATTCTATGAACTTGTTGATGACAAAAAACAAACCTTGTCGCCACTTGCCATCTCAGCAGGTTAGACTTTACTAGGCATGTCTTCAAATTAACATGAAAATGAGGACTACAGATGTTGTTAGTCCAAAACAAGTACGGAAATGCTTGAAATTCACCTCAGGCACATCAACAACTGAAAGGAACAGATAGATTCATTATGGGTTAACCTTCAATACGATGAACAGATTTATTCAAAACATTAGGCTATCTTTCTCTTTCAGTTGCTAACTGACATCCTGTGGATTTCCAACATTTCTATATTTATTAAATGTTAATCCTGTTTCAAGTTCATTTCTGACACTGTTAATATCCATTAACTCCATGTGGAAAATGAACTTTTGTTTTACATTCTATAAGAAAATCACTTGTGTCTTTCCTTAAACATGTTTAAGTAATAAGTTTGTTGTTTTGCTTTCCGCATCCCTTGTTTCTTCACCAGGCCGGTTGGATAAAGTGGTTAAATCACTTGAAGGTAAGGATTAATTTATAGCGAGAACCTAGTGGTGATGTCTTGTGGTGATTTGTTTTATGTTTCTGTACCTGATTAGAATTGGAAAGTTACTTAAAAATCAATGTTTCATGTTGAGTGCATAGGTTGAGAGAGTTCTCGTAAGAGGGAGTGTATCATATGGTAATTTTTCAACTTTGGAGTCAGACAGATGGACTGCAGAGGCCTTTTCCGTCCTGCACATTCCTATGTTTCAATGGATTTTGCAAACATATCCCATGGGTGCTCTGTTTGTCAGTAAAACACCAGTTCAGTTTTGTATCTGTTTAGTTGGACGATTAGATCAAGTTTCCTTTTAGACCATATTTTGGGAGAACTTAACACTAGCAGCAGGCTACTGTTGTATGTTCCTTGATTTGTGACTATATATTGATGCAGCTGGTGGGTTCAGTATGTTGTAGAGCTGGCTCATCATTGAAAACTGGGCAAGGCCCCTCTCACAATATTGTTCCATTTTGTAATAATGTCAATTGTTGTAGATGTAGATTATTACCTCATTCAAAATCCATTACTCTGCTAAATCACTTATATTCCTTTTCTTATTTTGTTATACAAACTTTGTAACTTATTGTTTTTTCAAAGCGTTTTCTATGTTGGAATGAGATGGGGATTGTAGCAGAGTGTTAGGTGCGATTGAGGCCTGAAAGTCCTGTAAACTGCCTTGTATTTGTTGCAATCATTTCATTTTGTCCCACCTTGTGGAATTTATCTGCAGGTTTTCAGTATCGATCTTGTAGGATTTGTCCCATCTCGAAGTATAATTACAGTTTTAGGAATATCTGGAATATCTAATATCTGTTCCATTGATCCATTGCTTGAAGTTCATGTTAGAGAATAGTTTTGAGGTGTCAAACCAATTAATCTATAATAATAATCCTTGAATTTGATATAGCGCTTTATCACATTGTTGAGATGGCTCAAAGCTTGTCATAAAATATATTATAAAGTGGATTGACTCTATATTGTGGACGAAACACGGCAGCTAATCTGGAGGATTGTTGGCCAGGACGTCAGAAAAAATTACCTCTTTTCAGATAGCATTCACAAAAAGTTGTATTACTATAAACTGATCATTTGGAACTCAAAGTCTGTTGCTTCTAGATGTCATGAGGGTTTACAGTTGAAAAGGCTGCCTTTATGGACTCGCATGCATCACTTGATGTGTTGCACAATCTTGAGAGCAAAAAAAANTGCCACTTTTTAGAATTAATTTGTAAAGAAATTATTCGATCCGCATTTTACAATTAGTAAAACATCCTAGGCATTTTCGATACGCATTAGGCATTTTAGGCATGCCTATGAATAATATTTTATGGAAGTTGTATGACTTTGGATAATGAAAGCGAAATGGGAATTAACAATAATACAGGCGGATGAACTGTTTGGTCTATTCTAGAGTGAAACCTATTCTGTCTGCTCTTTATAACCTGCAAATTTCCAAATTATCCTATTTTTAAATGGATTTTATCTGTTCCAAATGGAAAATTACTCCTTCCTCTTCCTCTGGTGGTTCAATAGCGCATTGTTCCTGTTCCATCTGGAAAGTACAAGTTTCAATTGTTCATTGTCCCTGGCTGCTTTCATTGGGGAGTTCTTCTTAGTTCTTGGCTAAGTTAACTAGGGTAGCATTTCATCTTGTGTTCAGAAGAAAAATGATCAGGTCACAGCCTTCTGACTCCGAGGCGAGAGGGCGACCAACAGGCTGACACCTGTGAGCTGTGGACTTGGCACAACGACACGGAGTGTGTTTATATTGTGTAAATTTGAATCAAGTACCTCCTAAAACCGCCACCTTCAAACACCCACTTGGTTTTGTTACTGAGGGCAATTAAGATTATTATTGGTGATTATGTGGAAATCATTGTGCCAAAAAAACAGGCCTAGAGAGCTTAATTAAGATATGATAGTTTACTCTCCAAATTTCATCATTACGTTTACAAATGTTACAATGGAGTATTGAACCCTTGGTTTCTTCCTCTCAGTCCCTTTCAACTGCTCCCCTGGTCCAGTTGTACACAATCCCATATGATTTTAAAAACTTGTTAGTCTAACTTCAGTATATTTGTTTACAATAAAACAATCAATGGAAATAACTTCTCCCCATTTACCCTGTCAAAACCCCTCATAATTTTGTTCACCTAAAAAGAATAAAGAATAACATTTTGTTTTTTCATTTCTCAGCACACAACCTGCAAACAGCACAAGGGCATTTCATGTTGTTCATAAATTAATCCTAATTCATTAGATTTGGACACTGATGCAGTGCACCCTTACCCTCAGCAATGAACCAGTATTAACTCTTATTATTACATTATTATTATTATTACACCTTCAGTGATTAATGTTCCACTCTGGTAAAGCACCTTTACATAAAATTATAGACTGTACACTTAGCCAACTAATTCGTACTGGCGCGTATCCTCAATACAAGACTCCATCTCTCCCAGTTCCTTGTTTCCCTTTCTTTCCCTTCTATTCCCTTCTCCATCATGTATACATCAAGCTCCCTCTTAAATGCATTTAATAATTGAATTCAGGCTTATGCAATGAAAAAATTTTATAAATCCACCTGTGAGGGGCAGAATTTGGGGGGTGGGGAGTGTCATTATATCAGCAATGGAAATAAACATGTTCGGATGAGGCTGTATAATTTCCATGGACAGTGTTAAGGAACAATGCTGGGAGTCTTCTGTGGGGTGGGGGGGGGGGGGGGGGGGGAACAGCCCCTCACCCAGCATAAAAATAAAGGAGAAAGAATTTCAATAGTCAGTTGATGGTATGAACTCTCTGAAGGACATGGATAGCAGAATATTAGAAAGAAATGTCACTTTTTCGAAAAAAAAGGCTCAGTTTGTAGCACTCTGCCTCTAAATCAGAAGATTGTAATACAGTGTAAATTTACATTTATATAGTGCCTTTATATCGGAAGCGCTTAAAAATACTCGCCTTTTGGTTTTTGTACTCACCAGGGGCAAAACATTAGGTAAGTTTCATTCCTCCACATGTATCTAGCAGTAAGTACACAGAGGCATGTGGAGCAAGAAGGACCCTGGTTATTCGTCGATTGGTGGATTGCTTTCCGGGATAATAATTCGAAAAAAAATTTGGTCACTTAATTCATGACTGTTTGTGGGACACTGCTATGCAGTTGGCAATTGGCTACTGAATTTCACCCACTAAATATACAATCAATTCACTTTATTTTATGTAAAGCGTTTCAAGACGCTTCGAAGACTTCGAAGAAGTGCAGTATCAAATGCAAGTATTATTATAATGTTTGTTGTTGATGTTTCTTGTAAATGCAGCTGTTAAGCTATTAAATGTTTTTAACTATCTTTTGTTTTAGTGTAAGGGAAAAGTGTCAGCAGTTTTCAGGTTTCCTTGGGTGTTAAAGCCAGAGAATCTATAATAGTTTGTTTTTTAAATTCTGCTAAAATGTATATAGTTTATATTAACTTAGTGATTGCCAGTATGATTCTCTTGAATTAAATATTGGAAGAGTGGTTTAAATATCATTGAAATTAACGGATGGCATTGGGAGAAATATGGGAATGCAGTCTAATGAGCATAATTGAGAATGAGCATCACATTTCATACAAGTAAGCCCTCTCAGATGTTTGTCTGATTTCAAATGCAACTTTGTTGGCCACGCATTAATCTTAATGCTCAGCGTTTCCTAAAGGAGAATATATGATGTTGCGCTGAGAGTAAAGTTAATAAACACACTGCTTATTTGTTCGCTACGGTTCAAAATGTTTTAGAAGTGTATTCTTGAGGGACAATGTAGAGCACTTCAGATATGTATTATGAGTGACATGATCACAGTTTGTTTTTATGCAGAAAAGTTGTTTTTTGTGATCATCCTCAAATGGAGAAAGACTTCTCTCTAGCTGGTGTCCTTGTCAAGCATTCCAGAGCAGATTATAATGTAGATTAGATCCAGTATTCACTATCCTTTACATTGCTCCATCTGTCGTGCCTTAACCCCACCCTCAGAGCTGAACACTTTGCTGTATCTGTCTGAAATTGTTGCTTACAAAGACATTCCTAACGACTATCAAGTGTGAAGATAATACCAAGGCTTAGTATGTTTAGAAATCTATTTGCATTTGAGATTAGTCAAGTATACTTTGGGCCTTCGTAGCCAGTAGAGAAGATTTTGAAGCCATTTGTCTGAATTATATTCAGATACAGTAGAAAATTGCAAAAATATTTGCCAAAAATTGCAGGGCATTTGACAAATTTTGCAGAAAATGGTGGAGATTTGAAAAATTGTGCTGGAAATTGCAGAGGTCTGGTTAATGCTATTCAGAGACGCATTTTGCTGCTAACCTACATTTTTTCACTTTATTGATAAAAACTGAATGTGCAGTTATGTTTGAAATACTACAGCCCTTGAATAGTACAGCACTTACCAAGAATTTGTTGCAGGAGCTCAGTTTAGGCAGGGCGTCGAGCAAATAGACGCCAGTGGTTCACTCACAAGCGGGCGAAGCCGATTTTCTACTGTGCCGCGAAACCGATCCCAACACTCCCCGCGTCACACAGGCGCGACCAGAGCCACTAAACCCAAAGTAACAGCGTCGAGCAAAGAGAGCAAGAGGCCTGGGGCCCAGCACACTGTGTTTGCACAGGTTTGTAATGAAGAGGGGGGCGTTTGTAGCAGAGGAGGGCGACACCCTGACCACTACAAACCCGCTAAAAAAATTTAGTTTCTGGCCCGCGGACCTCTCGCTGTTTATCTGTTGTCACTGTGGGGATGGCGGCTCCGTACCCGCATGTGCGGTACAGCGCAAGCGGGAAATATTGTGATTGTTCATGTATGTGTGTATGTGAGGGTCTGTGTATGAGTGTCTCGCTTTCTCTATGTGCTTGTGAGTGTCTCTCTATGTGTTTGTGAGTGTCTCTCTATGTGTTTGTGAGTGTCTCTCTATGTGTTTGTGAGTGTCTCTCTCTCAGTGTCTGTGTGTGTGTCTCTCCATGTCTTTGTGAATGTGTGTGTGTGTCTCTCTCTCTTTGTGTCTCTCGCTCTCTCTATGTGAGTCTCCCAAATTTTTCTGCTACTTTTGGAAAACATTTCCGCAATTTTTCTATTGTCCCTGGTCATAACCTATTCTGAAAGTAACCAGATATTTCAGTTGCACAACTTATCTGTTGAGATGGAATGGTGAGATAAGGAAAATTTGCAATCAAGTTACATGAGCAAGTATTGCTGTCACTGGTTGAAGGGTGAAAGAAAAAGACCCTTTCCTTTGAGTAATCAATGATTGAGTATTTTATGGTTTATGAAAATACTAATAAGTTCTTCTCACATTTGCTGGATTTCAGCTTGTTACCCACTTCACATCAGCTGCAGGTGTACTTCAGTGATTATCAGCATTATTTGCCACCCATCTAATTTGTTGGACATATTGCACCAGTTTCTGGCAGACCAATGAGGAAGTGTAACCATTAACTCCAGTATCTTGACCAACTGAAGTATGAAAAGGATGCGCTCTTCCCCTTTTTTGTTAGTTTTGGGTTAATTGCAACATAAAACAATGACAGTAGAAAAATACGTTTCTTGATCATTTTAAGTGAAAATACATACCTCTTTAGAAGAAAAAAAAACAGGCATTACGGGCATTATCGCATTACTACAAGACACTGCTGATGACAGACCAGTCGGACTGTCTTATTGACAGAATTTGTAGGGACAGACACCGGGTGCAGGGATTCTTCCCACTCAACTCTTGTAAACCCCGTGAAACAAAGCCCTAATGGGTGGGGTGTTCCTAACTGAACAAGCAGCAGGAAGCCTGCCAGACAGAGCTCTCAATGACAAGCTGTGTGGTTTTAGTCTTGTTAAACTTCAGCAGTAAGCCAAAACACATTCTGGGGTCCCCAAGCCTTGGCTCTTGCCAACCTGAGCCTATTACTCTCCAGAATTAGGTAAGGCACGGTGCATCCATTCCAGACATGGAGAAATTCCATGTGTAGGTGACATACATATGTGGAACTCACAGTCTGGTTTGAATGCTGAGAAACGTGGTGCATGTGTCAGACACCCAGTAGACCAAAAAACAACTATAGGAAAAATTAAACTATGCAATGTCTACAAGAAGCTGTTATAAACATATAAAAACAATCCTCCAGCCAAAATTGGTAATTTATTTCATGGCTGCCTGTTCTTCGTCCTCTCAGCACCATCATTGGCGGCCGTGCTTTCAGCCACTATGCCCTGAAACTGTGGAACTGTCTGCCTCAATCCCTCTGCCTTGCGCCCACCTTATCCGTCTTCTGATTGCATCTGAAGACCTTCCTCTTTAACCGTGCCTACAGTCACCTTCCCTATCAGCATCAAGCCCCATCACTGTAAGCACTCCTAAGACATTACCCTCGTGAAGGGCACAATATAAATGTAAGTTGTTATTGTTGTTTGTAGTGCCTTGGTGTGCACAAAAAGCCTATTGTATTTGCTGCACATCACTACATGGTATTATTGTAAAAGAGCTTTGAGACATTTCAAAGAAACATAGAAACAGGAGTAGACCATTCAGCTTCTCGAGCCTGTTCCGCCATTCTATAAGATCACGGCTGATCGGTACCTCAACTCCAATTACCCGCCTTAAAGGGATGGCCCTAGAAAAATGCAAGTTCTTCATCAGTATTTACTCTGTAAATAATTTTCACTATATCTCAGAATCTTATTTAATGAAGTGAAGGAGACAGAAAAAACTTTTTTTGTGGGAGTCTTGCTTGGCATGTTCTTGCAGAATGGCTCACAGCAGATGATAAGGAAATGGTGGAAATACTAAATGAATACTTTGCCTCAGTTTTCACAAAGGAAACTGATAAGGAAACTTTAGTAAGAATAGATGGGAAGGATCTAATATTAAGATGGGAGAAGGAGGGTATTAAATAAATTGCATAAACCTAAAGAGAACAAGGTACCTGGCCCAGATGGACTGCACCCAAGGAGTCTTAGGGAAACCAGGGTGGATATGGGTGAGGATCTAGTACATATATTTAAGAACTGTAGAGAAAAGAATTGTGACAGAGGACTGGAGAATGCCAATATTTTTTCAAAATGGTGATAGATGTAATCCAGGAAACCATAGTTTAGTGTTGGTTGTGGGCAAGGTATTGGAATCTATAATAAAAGATGAAGTAACTAGTCATCTGGAAAAGGAGAATATAATTAAAAGCAGCCAGCATGGATTTTCGAAAGGAAGGTCATGCTCGACCAACCTTATCGAATTCTTTGCAGAAGTAACCGATAAAGTGGACAAGGGAACAGCAGTGAATGGAGTGTGTCTGGGTTTCCAGAAGGCCTTTAATAAAGTGCCACATGAGAGGTTCGTGACTAAAATAGGGGTATATGGAATTGTGGTAGATTTGAGATCAGCATTAAGAGTATCGAATCAAACACTAAATGTTTTCCCATGACAAATATTAGACAGGGCAAATGTGAGCGAAAATTATGAATACTTTTTTTGTGGAAATCATGGTATATACTCCACACAAGTCTTCACCTAGTCCTCGCTCTCACTATTAAACTCAAAATATCTCCCTCTTTATATCTTTAACTGTCCAGCGCTTTGGGACATCCTCCCAACATGAAAGGCACGAGACAAATGTAATGTGTTGTTTGTTGTTTCCTTCGCTGCTTGCCTGAAGGTACTGAATCCTGAAATGATCTAACTCTGCACAGACTGGGGTTTTACCGACTAAGCTATTGGGGAAGTTGTCAGGTGTACTTTCACAGATCATCCCTTGTGAATCTCCTGGCATTTTTGGCGTACTAAAATTAGTCTTAGGATATTTTTTTGATTTGAAAAGCGCTATGTAAATGTAAATTTGTTGTTGAGTTGTTGGTCAAAAAGGACAATTCAGTAGATCAAATCACTTTGACTTTCAGAAACCAAATTTGATAATTTTCCGCATCTGAGGTTTTTAAAACTGGAATTAATGGTAAATTTGCTAATTGATTTGAAAACTGGCTTGGTAATGGAAAGCAGCAGGTGGCGATTTTAATAGTAAATGCTCTGTGCCAAAGGTAGCACTTGTGAAATTCCACATGAGTGTGTCCTGGCTCTCCTGCTTTTCACACTCAAACAATACTTTCAGCACAGTAAACATTGCTGACAACACAAAGTTATATAGTCAAACTATGGATATAACAACAACTTGCATTTATGTAGCAACCTTCATGTAGGATAATTTTTTGGAACGTTGTAGGGATGTTGATAGAATCAAAAGAATGTGGACTAATTAATCAATAAATTTTAACTTTTAAGTACCAGATGTATGCACATGAGAACTGGGAATGGGAAACATATATACAAAAATTCCATTAGTACTAGTAGATATTTGAAAGAATTTGTGTTGCACTTAAAATATTCTATCAATGTGGATTTAAAGACTGAGTTAAGTACCTCGGCTTTGATTATGCAAAAGTGATATTCTAGAATTTTATAGATCATTATTTTGGTGATGAAAGCCAGATTTGGCCCCAAATCCTACCTAGTCCTGGCATGTTTAGACATTTTGTCTTAAAATAGAAGATTGTGCAGAATTGAGAAAAAATCTTAAATTTGGAATTTGGAAGCCAATTTTCTACCATTCATTTTAAGACAAATGGGCTTGATAGGTTTGGACTTGATACAATTTCAGGCCTTCAAGCCAACATAGAGTAAAGGAAGAGTAGAAAATAAACCCAAGCATGAATCTTTTGATCCAGAGTGTTACCAATTGAGCCAGGCTGACACATTGGTTCATGGCACTATTCAGAAAGAGGAGAGTTTCTCCCAGTGTCATTGCCATCAGTCCCTCATATAAAATTGGTCATTCACTTCATGGCTTGTGCGACATTGCTGTACTCAAATTGGCCGTCACGTACAAAATACATAGCTACTATACTTTACAGATTAGTGGTTATTTGGAATAGTTTGTTAGGAATCATATTGAAAATTATAAATAGCCTTACAGATAGCAACGATACTGTATGGAACAAAATGTTTCTTTGGCTCTAACAGGCAAAGATGGTTATTGGTTGGCTGGTTACTTTTTTGTGCAAATGATACCTGTTTTGAAACAGACTTGTTGGTCTAAATGGCCTTTCACTCATTCAAGCTAATGTTCTTAACTGGGATGTGAAATAACAATTTGTTTTGTTTCAAAACTTATAAATTCAGATCTTGGCAATGTTCTCAGTTCAGCCCAAAACTGTGACAAAATGAACGGAAATATTGAGAGCAACGATAGTAGTGCTGAATCTGAACAGGAGGAAGGTGAAGAGGATGATGATGAAGATGCAACTGATGATGATGAGAAAGGTAAGTGCAGGAGAGTAGAGTTACAATTAACCATTCCACCAGTTGTTTTGTTGTAGCCTAAATGAAGCCACCTCATTGAGTTTTTATTTAGCTCCAACACTAAAATTCCGATATCTAAAATGTGATTAATAAGGTAAAGTTCATGATTTATTGCAGCTCTGCTTTACCACGTGAAGATTGAATTTTATTATCAATAGAAAGAAAATGTAACCTTGATAATCTTACAACGCTGAGTATGATTATAATTAGCATCCTTGTCTCTGAGTTAGAAGTTTTGAATCAAGCCCCAGATCAGGATGGTTGTGGCTGATACTCCAGTGCAATTCTGGTTATGTTCTGCATTATTGAAGGTGTTGTCCTTTGGATGAGACATTAAACCGAGGACCGTCTGTCTGTTCAGGTGGATGATAAAATTCCCATGGCACTATTGAAAAAGAGTAGGGCAATTTTCCTGGTGTCTTGGCCTACAGTCCCCCAAATAAAATTGGTCACTCACTCCATGGCTGTTTATGGAACACTTATGTGAAAATAGGCTGCCCTGTTTGCTCACAAAATGCACACAGTCTTACCACTTTATAGTGCATATACTGTGAAGCGCTTTGAAACATAATAAGGTACTGAATTAAATGCAAGGATTATTATTATAATGCTCCTTTAGATGAAATCGAGAAGCAGTATCAAATTCAAGAATTTTTATGGTATCTTCTCTAGATGGAAGATCTTTCTGTGATGTTGTAAATGTTGGTTTAAAGAGAACTGCAGAAAAACCCACTTATATAATCAGTCATACAATCCATTCAATTCCTCTGTCCTCCCTCTATTTTAATTATTGCGACCTTTTCTCAAATGCCTTTGTTCCTCTGATTGAAGTAGTCTGAGATCGTATTATCCCAGACCATATTTGTCCTGCTAGGGTATTCTGGATAAATCATGTAACTAAGGACTAAGTTTTTCCTCCTTTTCAGCATTAGTATTGTAACTAGAATTTATGCTATTGGGTGAGGCTCGTGCAGAAACTATGAGTCTACAGTGACCTAGCAGGAATATAAATGGAGTAGTTGAGCTAAGTGGATCCAGAGCTGCCTGACCACAAGAGTAAGGAGAAGCTAAGGGAGAAATGAGTAAGATATTCAAAGGAACAGCTTCAATGCCGAGTCATTTTTTAAAAATAGAAAATGATTGTCAAATTCCAACAATTCATCAATTAAATAAAAATGTATGTTGGTTAAAAATTACAACAGAGCTGGACAGTATAATTTTGTATTTCTCTTCTGGGAAACACTTGAATAAGTACAACTGGCTAGAATGAGTCATGCTCATTCTTAATCATCAAAGGCATGTTGTACTACCATCCATAAGCTATCCTCTATTTTCTACATTTGAAAAAGTGTCAGTGATAGAAACATGAAATCCTCTCAATGTGTTTCCTTTTGATGTTTTGAAATTTAAGACAGATAATGTTTTTCTGTTGAGTTTCTATAAATAGGTTAACTGCCAGCTAAATTATATATGATATCACTTGTAGCATGAACCTGATTACATCTGTTTCCTGAAAACTGAGTGATTTATGCACTGTATGAAGAATGTTTTCTGACAGATTTGGGTAGAAGAGCAATTGTTGCACATCAATGGTAATCATTAGCTCTCTTTCTGCAGTGACTGGTCTTAAGAGAACAAAACCATGCAATTCTACATTTGTAAAGCAATCTGGATTATTAGGCTGCGTTAGTCAGCATACACGCAGATGATGATGATGGTTACAGCTGGAAAGCATCCAGCAGATTTGTGGAGGATATCATATTTTGAAATGCAAATGAGAGCAAAGTGTTGGAAAATGAATAATCTTCTATCTTCCTTTAAGATCAACAATATTACTGTTTTTTTATCCTTAGAATATACTTTCAAAGATAAAACTCCTCTCCCCTTCCCCTCTTGGGAAATATCAAGGCTTTCGAAGAGAAACCAATCTAGATTAGTCATATGGAAGCAACAATGAAGAAGATGGGGAAACCCTCTGGAACTTTTGAAACTTTCTGCATTCATAAAGTTCACTATGCTTTTGAAAACGTGAAGATATGAAACCTACAGACTAGGATTCCCCCTCTCTTTTGCCATTTCCTTCATCTCATTTTATTATGAAACAGTTGATTTTCTCACAAACAGGAAAACTGCAACAACACTGGAGCCAGTTGAAGATGCTTCAGCCCCATTATTCCCAAATACCAACTCCACTGGCCTCTCATTATACCATCATTTGAGTTTCATTTAAGTCTACCCTTGCTAGTAACCTGCTCCAGTTGTTGATTATGCTCTGTGTAAAGAAATCCTGGTGTGAAACATTTTAGCTCTTAAGCCCCCTACGAATGAACTTCAAAGACTTGGAAACGTGCATTGCAGATTTTACATAGACAAAAACACAAAATGATATCCAGGACTTCGTAGAGAATCAGGCTAAATGTAACGGGAGTCGTCCATGAATGAAAGACATAAAAGATATCTTTTAAAAACTCGTTTCATCCACAAAATATATAGTCTATTCACTTTGCAATATATTCTGTGAAGCGCTTTGAGATGTCTCAAAGACTTGATAAGGCACGAAAATTTCAGAAACCGTATTCTGTCTGATAATAAGACATTTTCACACAATGATTGCGCGAATAACTTTTTTTTACACTGGGGAAGGCTGTTGCCTTCCTGAAGCCTGCATATTGGATGAAGATTGCTTTTAACTAGGTTTGTTTTCGGTGTCCGACACCTTATTCACGTGACCTACTGCTCTCCAGAAACTCTCACATTTCCGTTCTGACCGTTCTGATAATAATTCATGCTGAAATCATTCTTTTTAATTTGAACAACATGAAGTCATCCTTCTTGCTTGCATGAAATTCTTTTATTTACGCTTCACTTCAAGTAAAATTGCCAGTGGGTGCCTCTGAAGTTGTGCACACAGGCAAGGCACTCAGGTTCATTTCCTGCATGCAAGAGGGAGGAGGAAGAGTTCTCAGCTGCAGGTCTGCTCAGCATGTAGTTCAATTAGCACAACTACAACAAAGATTTTATATATCAAATGGAAGATTATTATTTGTATTATGATTATTTGATATAGTGTCTTATCACCTCATAGAAATGTTTCACAGGATTTACTGTAGAATTCAGCAACTGTATGTTTTGTTAGCGAATGTGACACCTAATGTGCACACAGCAATGTGTCACAGACAGCCATGAAGTGAATGACCAATTTTGTCTTGGAGAATTGAAGCCAGGATACAGGTAGAGACGTCCTTCTCCTCATCAAATAGTGCCATGGTATTTGTAGGCAAATGCAGCAGTACAATTGCACACAGCCATGAAATTAAACAGCCATAAAATTAGTGACCAATTTTATTTGGGAGATTGTTGGCCAGAGCACCAGGAGAAACTTCCTTTGTAAGGTCCTCCTCGGTTTAACATCTCATCTGAAGAACGACACCTCTGACAATGCAGCACATCCCCAGCATTGCATTCAAGTGTTATTTCAGACAATATGAGTTCCAAATCCCGATGTAGGGCATCAACCCACAACTTTCTGTCTCAAAGGTGAGAGTGCTACTGACTGAGCTAGGCTAACACACCCTATAATTAATAAACGTCTTTCTGTACATATTTTCAAAAAGATTTACTAAGTAAGTCACCTGAACAGTTCAGTGTTCTGTAAAAAAAAAAAGATCAGCATTGGCAGCCTTCGCTTTTTATGTTGTATCCAATTGTTAATAGTTCAGATTTGAGTGCAATGTGAAAATTGTCTTTGAAAGCGTGACTGGTCTTTTTAGGATCTGAGGAAGCCTGATTTGCGCAGTTGTTCCTACTTATACTGTTAAAAGTAGGAGCCCAACCTCGTATCTCCATCTGCAATCATTTGAATCGTGTCTATCAGTGACAGATAGTGGGCTGCTGTTTCATGCCTTCGGGTTTGGCTTTTGACCTAATTACATCAGTAGTATCAAACAATATGTAGACATATCCCAACAGCTATACGTTTGGACTGTAATAGAAGATTGATTTAGAGGTTCCCTAATTCAGGACTTTTGCTTTACCATACAAAAGACAAATTATTTTTTGTATTTCTGGTATATTAAAATGAAGGTTAAGTTAAACACTAACTAAATAAATGTAAACAGTGGAGGCCTTATCTAGTTTGTATGTTTATGTGATGATTGGATCACATTAGACAGTAGTAATGGAATAAGAAATGGAAACAGTATTCACGCATTGCCTAGGTGTTGCCACATCATATTCTATTTGCAATATTTATTTTGAAAAGGTAAACTGATGGCATTTAGATTTCTTCTATATTGTGTACACTTCACTGAACTAAGTTGATGTTTCAAACTACTGGTCACCAAGGGAACATTTTTTTTAATTGAGCTGGGCGTGGTACACGAGTGATTTGTCAGAGTTTGCACAGATATTTTCCTAATGATGTCACTTCCACAGATGCAATGATTTCTACATTTTCTACCAAGTACAATAGTGAAAACATAGAGAGGGAGAATTTTGTTGTCGTTGCGCCCCCTTGAGGGAAGCAGCCATTCTCTCTGAAAGTATACACTTTGGCAGGCTGAAAGGATCCTTCTGAAATTATAATAATAGTTATATAGTTATATTTGTAAATTGGCAGAAATGTTCTTAAAGATTTCAAGCGCTTAATTAACTTAAATAACAGTGTTGCATGCGCTATAATTATATGAACCATGATTACATTCCATTTAAAACCCAGGGAACATTTTGTTATTTATTCTTCAGAGCTCAAGTTTTCCTCGTCTTTCCTCATCCACCAAAAAAGTATATCTTAAGATAGATTAGACCTCATTCGAGAATCCTGGAGTACAGAGTAAAATAATCATCCGTCACACATATCCGTTGAGTTCCTCACAAAATCCCATATGGCAAGGGTTTACCTCTGTGCCAAGTCGCTGTTGTTTGTAGGAAGGTCATGTCAAGTCAATAACCCCTAGAGCTGGGTCAGCTACTGGTAATGTTGGATTATTGGGAAATTAAACTCTCTTGTCTGTTTGGAAAGCTACAGGCAAGTACGGAGTGCTTTCATCTCTTGCCAGATAATATGAATTTTGAAATGTGCTTTGTTGGAATCGTGAATATTTTTTGGAAGATCGTGGCAGCAGCGTCTGAAAACCATGTTGGGACAAGAAGGATTTCAGGATCCTCACACTTGTGTTCAAATCCCTTCACACTCCTCCCTACCTCTCTGACCTCCTCACTTCCCAATCCACCACCCAGCACCTCCGGCTCATCCCTCTTCCCTCCACCCCACCATCGGAGGTCGCGCTTTCAGCCACTACGCCCCGAAACTCAGGAACACTTGCCCTCAATCCCTCCGCCCTGCCCCTCTCTCCGCTTTTTTAAGTCCCACCTGAAAACCTTCCCCTTCGACTGTGCTTACAGCCACCTCCCCCGCCCCCTCTCTGCGCTCCCCCCTCTCCCCCGGCATGGAGTCAGGCTCCTCCACTTTTAAGCACTCTGGGGCACTACCCTGTGTGGAGGGCGCTATATAAATGCAAGTTGTTGTTGTTTGGACAGAGAGTACTGTATATTAACAATAATTATCAGAATAAGAACACTAACGTTAGTAATCTAGCATAAAAGCCCAGCAAAATAGATTGTGTTTATCTCGATGTTTAAATGCTGCTGTAGTGGAGTTAAATGTGTGGTGATTTCTAAATAAGGATTTCTTAATACGGAAACCAGACATTGGTTACACTGATTTGCAGGAACTTTCACTAACAATATCTTTTTTCAGAGAGGAGATCACTTAGATTGGTGTGATGTGTTGACTTGCCGCTGGTTACCGTATGCTGTCTCCACTCGAATTCCTTTTTAAGGAATCCTGTTAGTAAATGCCACATAATAGACTATTGTCAAACCAGAGCCAACTCATCCAAATTTGAAAAGAGGTGTTTGGAACTTGTCGTATAACGCATGACATGTTCAATATTGTGTCTGAGTTTTTTACTAATTTTAATTGTTTGAGTACAAGTTGCTTTCAAGAATATGATGAACTAATTCATGAATTGGATGCGGTTTTTATTTACACTAATGTGCTGATAAGTCACACGCTCTGGGTGTGAGGAAAGCTTCGTTTGTTGCTGCACTTTGTATCTTGCTGCTTGCACACGTGATCATTGGCAAACATGCAATGTTCTGGCTGTTCTGAGTTCATTTGTTTCAAAGTTACTTTGTTTTTTGTGGTTTTTTTCCATAGAAGAAAATGAAGTAGTGAAACTGCAGAACTTGACCCAGGGATCAGCTGTAGACATGAAAGCAGAACTTGTGCTGCCCAATGGCACAGTCGGGGAGAAATTGATTCCTTGTGCATACAGCACTTTTCAAAATTCTAAATCTTCACTGAATGGAGAGGAAACGGCAGATAAAAAGACAGTGCTCCAAATGGGACCAGCAACAGACATCAATGGTGAAATAGGTATGGCTTCCCATAAGGACATTCTCAATTGCGTTTTCACCCCAAATACACAGTCAATCCACTTTACAATATATCCTGTGGAGCGCTTTGAGATGTCTCAGAGACATGATCGGGAACAATATCAAATGCAAGGATTATGATGATGATTATTATTATTAATTGCGTTCTGAAGACACAAGACAACCAAGTTTTCTTGGCACTATTTCAAAGAAATGTGAGGCCTGAAGTTCCACCTAATCTTGGCCAGTTAATCTTTGTCTTAAAATGTTATATGGCACAGAATTCCACGATTTATTTCAAGGTTTATTGTCAATTTTACAAAACTTTCTATTTAATTCAAATCGATTTGTTCTGCTGCACATTGGAATGTATCCTGCCAGCACTGAGAAATGAAACATTTCAATTTTAAATTGATTTGCATAAAACTTGTTATAAAACTTTCCACAATGGAAAAACACAAAGTTTTAGCTCTGTTTTAAAAAGCAAACAAAACAGCCTGTACACTTCGTTTACTTCCTCAATAGTGAAGTCATAGGAGTTCTGAGGATATTACCAGCATCTTTAGCATTGAATAAACTAAACCAATGGTCCCAATATGGAAATTGAGCTTATTTTAAGACAGCTGCGAGTTGTTAACTCATGCCCTATTTATGAGTCAGTTGTAGCATGACTTTGAGTTGATTTACTTAACACATGTAAATGCAAACATAATTTATAATCCTGGCCTGTTGCACTTCCTATCCCAGCAGTTCCCTTTGTCATAATTTGAGCAGTTTGCTACAGCAGAAAAGCAGACACATTCCTATAAAAATATAATCCTTGCGTTTGCATTTGATATGATGTCAAAACATTTCACAGTGCTGTACAATAATTGTTTAGTGTTGTGGCTGTATTTGTATGTGAATACCTATCCCTCCAAGTCTGTTCCTAAGCAGATGCTTATTTTTTAAAGGAGTCAATCGATAAAACATTACTTGTTCTTGTTGGTGGTCTGTTACACTTATTCACTACTCTTTTGGCAAAGGAGCCATTCTTCCTAACCTAGAAATTCTATGTTTACAATTCAGCTTTTATATTTGTTGGTCCCAATAAATGAACTTTTGAATTCAAATATTTTTAAGTGCTTTTTCTACTTTCCCGAAAATAGAATCTTTGAATCTTATCCATAAAGATTCAATCCCATTGGAATTTAGAAATTTGTTTGCGATACAGTTAAACTCAGCATGTGAAGAAAGGGAAAAATTAGCCTGGGTTGCCACTGGAATGTGCCCATACTTGAATGTTAGGATTTGAATGTTAGGGCATCTACAGGATTCACCACGGCTCTGATGCTCTCCATGGTCAATATCTTGTCAACACTCACAGCCTAGGATTTTGGATGAAGATTGGTCATGTGGGTAGTATTTTCGATTAATGGTGGTCATATAGAATCAAACTCCAACATGAGTTCCCAGCTATCTAATTTTTGTCTGACCTGTTTGTATTCTCCAGCCCTGATTCGCCCCTTCAGCCACTACTCACGAAACTCTGGAATACTATTCCTCTATCACTCCGCCGTGTGCCCTCCTTCCCCACCTGAAGACCTTCCTACGGTCACCTCCCCTCAACTCGGGGTCCACTTCACCACTGTTAATTGCTCTGGGACGCTACCCTGCCTGGTTGTTGTTGGTGCAAGGATGTTTTGAAGTAGTTGAAGTAGTTTTGTTCAAATTGTGACCAATTACAAGAGCACTTTCTCAGAAAATAGGTGGAAATTTATTATAACAATAATAACGTAAAAAACATTTTAAAAAGTCGATCCCTCTTCTGTCACGAATCACTCAAAACCAGCCTGATGATGGACCACCCATCCAGGGAGACGGTGGAAGCAGAAAGTGTCAATTCTTTCAAAAGCAAATTGGATAGAGATTACTTTTAGGAAATAATATCGTGGGATACAGTATATAGTTTGGGACATGACTTGTATATGCCACTGCCAGGTTGGTGGAAGGCGAACTGGATGGACCTTGGTCTTCTTTCGTCTACCAATTCTTATGATCTTATCTCCTGGGGCAAAATAATTGTATAGATACTCCTTGAACTCCAATAGAAATCAAACTCTAGATGTGCATACATTCCACATCTCTGGTATTTCACTCTGAGCTCTTTCCCACCACAAACAATATTCCCCTGTTTTGTTTTCTGCCATCCCACCTGAAATTTATTCCCAGTAGCATAGAAACCAGCATACCCTGTAGAATTCAGTGTCTGCATCGATCGCTGTATCCTCCAAAACTGATCCAGACAAATACAGATTCATGTTAACTGCTATCACAAGAGCATATCTGATTCACTGAGCAAAGGGAAGATTGAGAATTTCTTTGAGGAGCCCCAGTAAATTGGATTTTTTTAAACAAAATAAGTAGAAAAAAGAAATATGTGGAAAATATCAAGGATATCAATTATCAACTCTCCTAGGTTCACAAGATGATTAACTTATGAACCTAAATTTTCCTGACAAATTGACAATCCAGAACCAGGAGCAAATAAATGTTTGATTATTTTTTTCAATGAGCGAGGTTAGGCCTGCTTACCCCCATCAGCCAAATTAGACTGAATGTGATCCACTTAGGGTTGTTCCCGCAGACAAGCCCCAATCCCCCCCAAGACTCATCTAGGCTCAAAATTGTCAAAGGACAATCCGGACCTGAACCATGTCTTCGCGACCATCCGAGCCTTGTGACCAGGTGCTCGAGTGAGCTCTGTGTTCCAGTATCTCTGCTTCCTCTTAATGAGGGCGAATATCAAAGATTACAAAGAATGTACAACACAGAAACAGGCCACTTGGCCCTTCCAGTCTGTGCTGGTGTTTATACTCGAGTGACAATTGATAAAATTGTACATAACGTTGCTGGTGTTTCCCTGGACTCTAGGTGCTAAAGATTCCTTTCCATTTCTTGTTCAGCCCAGCTACAGAACCGTTTTGATTTTGATTTTGTGCAATTAATTCACTTAGTTACTTATATTCGTTTGAACCACCGCAAACAATACTAATAGCCTATTTCCACATCAGTCGCCATTGGTTAACAAAATTAAGGTCAGTTGCACAAGTAACTTTTACCTCACTGTGAAACTGAACTGGGTACACTTTATTTTTAGTGTGAAAGCTTGGCTCAGTGGTAGCACTCTCGCCTCTGAGTCAGAAGGTTATGGGTTCAAATCCCATGTCGGGACTTGAAGTCACATAATCTAAGATGACATTCCAATACAGTGCTGGGGGTCTAATGCATTGTCAGAGGTACTATCTTTTGGATGAGATGTTAAACAGGGGTCTGTTTAATTGGTCATTAATTTCATAGCAGTTTGTGAACAATGGTGCTGCCACATTTGGCTACAAATACACAGTCACTCTATTTCACAGTAATTCCTGTGAATAACTTTGAGACAGCCTTCGATGTGATAATGTGCTATAGCAAGTGCAATGATTATTATTATTATCATCGAGACATTTGTACCCCTACAACTTGGAAATTATGACACATTGCTGTGCACAAATTGTACTGTCGTATTTGCTTACAAACTGCACAATCACTACACAGTATATCCTGTGAAACACTTTGACACTTCCTCCCAATATGAAAGGCACTATATCAAATGTAAGGATCATTTTTTTTATTACGTAGCCAAACCTGAAGTAGTCATTGTTAATTCTGGAAATGGATCATACATCAGGGGAGAGCTGGTTCTGTGGAAAATCAGAAAAATGCCCCCTTGAAACATTCCCAATATCACCCTGATATCCAGGTGAGTGACAGCTCGGACCATCGAATCGTCGCCCAGAGTCCGCCTTCCCTGATGAGTGACAGCTATAATATTCCAATCTCTGCCCGGATCCCGCCTACCTTTACAAGCGGTGATAAAGGTTTAATGCCAAATCGGTTTGGCTGTGACGAAGTGGAGCATTCCTCCCAGTTATCTTGGTTTATATTCTTTCCTCTTCCAAGTTTACCCCAATTTCAAGTTAATTGGCTGCTCATGCCTTTGTTTGTAAGACATTATTGGGTGTAAATTAGCTACAGCATTTGCCTGCACAGCATTCACTTCATTTCTGATGTGATTCTGCAAAACCAACCCCTTTGAGAATTTTCTTGTGTGTGAAAGGGGCTAGCTAAATGTAAGTTGTTGTTGCAGATGGGATGGAAAACCACCTTGAGGATATATCAGGAATTCAGCACATTACGAGTGACTCTGACAGTGAAGACTACTGTGACTCAATGGAACAGCTCGGCTTGGAAGAGGCAAGTCATACAGAGAGCATGATCAGGATTAAAGCTCTCTAATTATAAGTAATATTACAAATAATAGTTTAGTGGCTCTCAATAAGAATATCTGAAATGACAAAAAATAATTGAGCCCTTTGACACCATTCTTTCCAGTATACCAAATTCAGTTTGTAATGTAGCTCTCGTAGATTTGGATAGACAAATATGCCAATGGGTTTCCATATGTATCAGACTCCAAGCTGACCAAAATAAAATACCTGTACTTACTTAACATTACAATCTTCCGTTCCTTTCAACACGAGACCTAGCTTATTTTTGAAGAACGTAACGAATATTTCATCAACTGTGTTTGATGGAAGTTTCTTAAGTTTCTTAAGTTTCTACCTGCTGTTTGGGGTGGTAAGGAGAAAGAAAGAAAAAAGTCTTCAGCTTCGAGCTTTTCTTAAGATTTTTCAAATTTTTTACGAAACCTCCAGACCTACAGTGAAAATGAATATCCTGGTTAGATCCTCCCTGACCATGTCTTTCAGAGTGTTGAAATCCTCTCTTGTTCTTTCTACCAACAAGATTAAGTCAGATTCTGTCTGTCAGCCTAACCTCAATGTGTTTTCTAGAACCCTTCAGTTCATGTTCTTTTAAGCAACCAATGTTATACACAATTCCCATGGCCTTTTTGACTCTTTCCTGGATCAGAATCAAAATTTACTTGAAACGCTTTTAAAAATGAATATCAAACAGGTCATCTTGTCAGTGCTTTTCAGTAAATATATTTTTGGGGCCTTGTTCATTTTCTTAGATATCAAAACACATTTCTGATGGAGAGATGCTTAATAGTTCCCCCAAAATCTCAGCAGTTGCCTACAGCCGGCTATCGGGTAGCACAAGGTGGAACATTCAGCCAGAGTTGGAACATTCTGCCGGAACCATTGAGCTTCAGGGAGAGCATAAGGGAAGAGAAGGGGGTGTTGCGCATGGTGGTGAAGACACAAAGCCAAGTGGAAGTGGATCTTACAAAGAGAAGATAGCAACTGAAAAAACAGAGTCTCGTGGGCTCAAGAGAATGAGAGGTATATATCTATTACAACAATTGATTTATCTATTGTTTCTTCCCTCCTTACTATCTGTGAAAGGGGTCCTTATGGTTCTTGAGTACACAATTCTGCTTTACTGCATCCCTAACCCCAAACTATTTGGTGATCTACCTCAATGTTTAGCCACAGTGTTTACCTACAAAAACAATCACTGGACTTCACAGCATTTCAAGGCGATGAGGTGCTATAAAAATGCACATTTGTTCATTTTTTGGCGTGAAGATATTATTCTCAGTTTTGACTCCTTTGGTATCATCTTGCCTCACGTCAGATTTTGGTTTCGAGCCCCGAGGAAATGCTGCATCATTGGAGGTGCTTTTTTAAATAAAATGATAAAAATATGAACTTCAGTCTGCCTATTCTTGTGCTTTAGCTGGATGTTAAATGATACTATTTCAAAGAGGAGCAGAAAGATCTCCTTGTGTCCTGGACAATATTCCTCCCTCCAAATCTATTAAAAAAAGTTCATGGATTAATTGATCATGATTTTGTGGAACTGGCAGGTAAAGATTCACTGCCACATTTGCATTAATAAGATCCTTGCATTTGATATAGCGCGTTATCACATCATTGAGACGTCTGAAAGCGATTCATAGAATGTATTGTAAAGTGGATTGACTATATTTTATGGGCGAACTTGGCAGCCAACTGCGCACAGCAGTATCCCACAAACAGTCGTGGTTTGAGTTTTGCCTTCAGCACACTTCAAAATAGCTCAGTTATGCTCTTAACTAGAGGAATAGGAAGCAGCTGATAAACATCAGAGGAGGTAAATGAAAAGAAAAGTAAATACTGCCAATTATTGAATAACTTCAGCACAAAAACTAAATTGTCCTGGAATATAGGAGCATTTGTTGATGAATCAATTTCTTCTGTGCTACAAAGACATAAGATGTAATTTGAACAATCATCTCTATCTTACAGGCAACAGAATGCAGTACCTGGGGGACAGTTCTCAGGTTGCACAACAGGGTAGTAGTGGTGATGGAGAACGGTGGAATTCAGACTGGGTACAAAATCGGAGCCTGAACCAACAGATTGCTGCAGCGCTCAGCAGGCTCCAGGAGGATATGCAGGACGTAGTGGAACGTCTTCACACCCTGGAGGCACTCACTGACTCTCAGGTAAGAGTTGCCCCCACCACCCCCCCCTCAAAATGTCAGAAAACATATCCTGTGAAATATTTAAGTGTGGGTTTCCATTTGTTGCAGCTACAGGCTATAGAATGCAGAGATGGGTGGTGCAAACTGTAGACTTTGGCGGTGAGCTCAGTGGAGGGCACGAGTTTGTACTTCGGAATTCTTGCAATTTCCCAAAAGAAAATTGGCCAGGTCAATAAGATGCCAATGATAGAAACACACTGGAAGGAGGAGGAGGAGGAGGGAGAAATGGCCTGAAGCTTGGGAAACACTTTGGAAAAGTTAATAAAACTGCGTTAAAAGTAAGGGACAGAGAAAAAGATCTTAGTGTCATTGGCGGGTATCTTGTTAGTATTCGCAATGGCAAGTTGCAGTTTTAGCTGGTATAGCAATACATATCAATACATATTCTGGGCCCCCAATTGTTTATGGAATTGGGATTAGGAAGGATTACTTCTTGCAGGAAGCAATCATTGACACATAAAATGAGCCAAATGGCCTCCTTGTACATTTCTATGGTTCTAAACCTTGGCTCTTGCCAATCTACACCTGAACGCTTTGTGATTAGGTAAACAGGATTTATCTCTTCCTCTCTGCCCCCCACAGAGAGTACACAGTCCATTACCAGAAAAACAGAAATCATACATATGTGGAACGCTCATTGCTTTGTTTTGGACACTCTTAAACAAGGTCAGGGTTTCCCCAAGTGTCAGATACCTGATTGAGCCAAAAAGGGAAAAAATGCAAAGCTTAGCATAAATAAAATTCCATATTGAACTTGATTTGCTGTATGTAATATCTGGGCAGTCAACAGCATTTCTGATGATAATAATAATAATAATCCTTGCATTTGATATAGCACCTTATCATGTTGTTGAGACGTCTCAAAGGACTTCACAGAATATATTGTAAAGTGGATCGATTGTGTATTTGTGGCTAAATGCGGCAGCCGATTGCGCACAGTAGTGTCCCACAAACAGTGGTGAATTGAGTGATAACATTTTTGTTTTGAGGGATTATTAGACCTGGAAAGCAATCCACCAATCGACTAACATCCAGTTTCCTACTTACTGCTAGGTAAACAGAGTCCTGTGGTGTGGGGAATCTTGCCTAAGGTTTTGCCCCATTCAGGAATCAAATCTGGGTTGTCTCGCTTGCGAGGCATGTGCTAACCACTATTGGACTCCAATAATTGGAATGGACTCCAATAATTGGAATTTTCATGAAAAATCACCCGGTTTACGATATTCTGTATTTCTGTTCATATGCTTTTTAAATTCTAAATCACATAGTTCTTTCTATTAGAATTCATTAAGTTTAGAAAAAGTATGATTCTCTTTCTTTTCTTCAAATTACAGGCAAACTCAGAAAATCTGCAACCAAATTCTCGCAGGGATACATTTGTTAAGGTAACTTACTGCAAATCACTTAAATCTTGAATGCCTAAACCCTACTTCTCCAACATGCTGCTCACTGGTCACTGGTGGACTAGCCATGCCACGTTGACCTCTCCACCCTACCCACCCACCCCACCTCTGGTCCGCTTTTAGTCTTAATGTGCGACCCAGCTGCTTCCCCCAAAATGCCTCTACCCTCCACTACTCCCGCTCGATCCTTCTTTCCCACCGCCCTCCCCGCCTACTATCCCTGCTCAACCATCCCACACCTTCCCTCTACTCCAGCTTGTGAATCCTCCGTCGCTCCCACCGTGGCAAACACCACTGGCTGTCCAACAGCAGCCATCCTGACTGCCCCATGCTCCACCTCCGTTGACCCCAGGGGCCAACCTCTCCTCCCTTATCCACATTCCCACCCTCCCAGACAATACTCCTCCTCATCTCACCCCTTCCTCCACCACCAGCTGACCCCTCCACATCGGTCTACAAAATGCCTGCTCTCGCTCCAGCAAAACACTCACCATCCAAGGAAAACATTGACATTCTCGCCCTCACAGAAACCTGGGTCACCCCAGGCAACACCATCCAGCTACACCTTCCATCATACCCCATGACCTAACCGCCATGGTGACAGTGTGGCTCTCATCTCCTGGTTCCCACTCGGCCTATCCGCTTACTCCTCCCTTTCAACATCGATCTGCCCCTCTTGGTGACATCATCCGTAGACATGGGGTCAACTTCCACATGTATGCAGATGACACCCAACTTTATCTCTCCGCCTCCACCCTCAACTCCAGGACCACTGTTGTCCTGACTCAATGTCTGTTAGACATCAAGTCCTGGATAAGAGCTAACTTTCTGCAGTTGAATGTCAGCAAGACCAAGGCCACCCTGCTTTGCCCTCCACACCTCAGGCACTGACAGCATCACTCTTCATGGATGCACTCTGCACCTCATGGAGCCAGTATGGAACCTCAGGGTCCTGTTCAACCCACAACTATCCTGCATACCCCACATCCGTGCCGTGACCCGCTCTGCTTTCCCCACCTCTGCAACATTGCCCGGCTCCGCCACTCTCTTGCATTGCAGGCCGCCAAGACCCTCATCCACACATTCATCACATCCGGGCTCAACTATGGAAACTCCCTGCTTGTCAGCTTCCCAAATTCCTTCCTCCACAGGCTGCAGATTATTCAGAACTCTGCAGCTCGTGTCCTCTCCCACACCAGGCTCCGTGAACCCATCACTCAGAGGATACAGTTCAAGATCCTGGTCTTCACCTTCAATACAATATAATACAAAATTACATTTGTATAGTGCCTTTCACGTCGGGAGGACGTCCCAAGGTGCTGGACAATCGAGGATTTGGACCTGAGCTGGTCAAAGCCCCCCCACGTACTTGCTCCTTCATATCTTCATATAATAATGTTTAATAATGTTTTACTGTTTAATTTTATTTCAAAATATTTTGTAATGTTGATAATTTTATCAGAAAAATAGCTACAAGACTACCGGATGTTGTAAATGCCCAGTTGATTCACTAATGTTCTTCAGGAAAGGAATTCTGCCATCCTTACCTGATCTGGTAGACACACAACTCCAGCCACCCTACGTGGCTGACTCTTTAACACTTTCTGAGGTGGCCTTATTTGGTTATGAGAAAGCTCCCCCATCACTTTCTCTGTCAATCAGAGATGGGCAATAAATGCTTCCCCCACCAGCGTCACCCACAACCCAAGATGAGTTTTTTTAAAAAAGTATATTTTGGTAATGGTTCTTACAACAAGATAATAATAATTCTTATCACATCATTGAGACATCTCAAAGCGCTTCACAGTGCACACTGTAATGTGAATTGACTGTATATTTTGTGGATGAAACTCTGAGATACATCACTCTTGTGTTTATTTTTCCAGAAATCGTCTTGGTGGCCTTTTGAAGTGTCAGGCCATACCCTAGCATTTGCAGTGCTTTGGCCTTTCATTGCCCAATTGCTGGTACACTTGTATTTTCAAAGGAGAAAGAGGTAATTTAATAAGTCAATAATCTTTTTCTGTTTGTCAGTCCTCATTATGAAACACTTGTTGAATAAACTCTTCCTTTATTTCTCCCTCGACCTCCCTCCAGAAAACTGAATTAGATGTCCTTCTGGGATTATGAAGGTCTTAAAAGGTAGATCCATGGAAACTGGAGACTGCAAATGATTCTTGTCTCCTGTGTGTTCAGTGGCATTTTACCTTCCCTAAGTCAAGGTGTGCATTTTGGTTGAACACCACAGTGAATGCACTGTACATAACTAACTGTGAGAACTACTGATACTTGAACCAAATTGTTACATTAATTGTGAATGAATTTAATAATTATTCTGAAAGCATATTCTTGTTCTAACATTTAATTTATGTAATAAAACACTACAATATGTCACTGTAATAATTAACACTATCTGAATGCAAATCTCAATGTTCATTTCAACTGTTGTGATACAAGTGGAATCCTGTTAGAAATTACAGGATCTGTTAGAATCATTATATTTCAGTCCTTCCCTGGACTATTCTGTTTGTGTTTGTATAAAATCAAGACTTCTGTATTGAGACTGATCCATCAGATGTGGTGTTTGCATCTTTTTCTTTTCAATGCATGTGATTTATCTGTACATACTAAGCAATCATCCATTGTGAAGTCTTGATTCATATCATTTCTGTTAATAGCTGTACAAATTGTAGAATACAAGTATGAAAATAGGTGCAATATTTTTCAATTGCATTGTATTAAAATTGTAAACTGTAGGAGACAGAAAATGTGATGTCTAATAGACATTCTATTATCTAATAGAAATATTTAGTATGGTACTTATTTCAAAAATTGGAACTAAATTGAGCTAAGATACATTTATTAAAGCAAATGGATATTGTAACAACTGTTCATATTAAGATTATTATTAGAGTTCTAAAGTAACTTCAAGAAAGTGGCTGTAAGCATGAAAATACCTGTCAAGATTATTGCTTTAAGCATCATACACTGATATATTTTTAGCACATGAAACCCAAATTAAACTTTCCTGGAATTCTTGAATGTTTTCGTATCTAACAAAAAGTAATCACACTATCAAAAATCCATTCTCCTGCAGCCCATAGTTAGATTGAATTAAAAAAATCTTTCACTGGATTAAATCCATGCTATAAAATATTGATAAAATCTACAAGCTAAATTAATGGTTACTCCTACCATAATTTGGGGGATACTAAGTCAAAACTCTTAAGAGAATATGTAAAAGCTTTTGAAAAAATAATAATGCAAACCACAACTCCCAAGAACATCTCTACAGAATAACATTTTACAAAATCTCTAGTGTAAGAAAGAAGCATATTGTGTAAGTGCCAGAGCACCTATAGGATGGTGTGTGGACATTGTATGTGGAGTATATCAATAGCCAAAACTATATTGATACTGCATCTGTAGGTTGGTAATTGATCTCATTGTTTCAGTTGGTTATAATTACCTTAAGTAATTTTCTTTCAGCAATAATTCACGGGGAAGAAGGAAAATCAGTCATTGTGGGATCCAGGAGAGAATTTAGCACAACTATCAAACTGCAGGTTTGTTGTGAACGTGTGTAGGTTGGCCCAATGGAGGTTCTTGGCTGAGTTTAGCCCAAGTAAGGTTTTCACTGCTGCATTAGCAAATTAAGAAAATCCCTGGGAATTTCTCTTCCTATTTTCTGCTAAGGTAGTGAGAAATAGAAGTATGTGTAGACTGGCTAACCCTCTCCTGAACTGCACTGAGTAGATCCTTTGAATTGTCTGTTACACAATATCTGTGTGGAAATTTTGGTTATGCTTTGATGACCTGAGGGGTAACCTTCAGAGATGAATCAACAAGGTCACCTTTTCAGATAGGTAAGACGTTGAAATTCCAGGAGGTTTCTGAATAAATAAGGAATCACAAGGCTAACTTTCCCGATAGTTTTGGAGGTCGTCATTATCTTTTAACGTTTATTCTCCGCAAGCGATCAAAAACAAATTGGAAAATACAAGGTATTGTACAAGCAATGAGATTTGCTCGTCAGGAGCGAGTCCTGATGCATTTAAATCCTGGAATAGACCTGAGGCAATAAGTGTTCTTTTGACCTCAGTGCATGTAGGTTGATTTCTAGTGTTGATATGGTAATTGTGGAGGTTACTTCCTTGTAAAAAATAAATTGCATCGTTGGTGACATTGTATTTGGAGGAAGACAAAATTCTACATTGTTATGGTGCTATATGCCGCGAGACTCTGGAATTCTCTGCCCCAACCCTTACTCCCTCCTTGCCTGCCTTCAGATCGCATCTGAAAGCCTTCCTGTTTGACTGTATCTATGGTTACCTCCCCTCGCTCTCTGGCTCAGTGTCAAGCTCTGCCATTGGTGTCAAGCGCTCTGAGATCTGCAGGACTTACTGTATCAAGGCAACGTGCTTTAGTTTTACTCGGTTTGATGAGGTTTATACTTAGACCATCAACTAAGGTTAACATTGGCGACACTTGCAGACACCTTCCGTGGCTGAAAACTATATTGTGGCCTGAAATTTAATTGAATCTATTCCCCATTTAATAACCTTAATAGTTTTAATAACAGTGCATGGGCTGTTGGGTTCAATGGGTTATTAAATTCAGTGGACGGTTGGATTCTTGTGGCCCACATAATCTGTTCTGGTTTTAACTTTCATGTTTCTGCAATACAACAAAAAATGTCCTATCTGTTAAGAAAAACATAAGACACAGGATTCCTGTTCAATTTTGATTCATCATCCAAGGACAAAAACTGGAGGGAGGGGGCAGAAGAGAGGAAATCCTAAGACAGGGAACTAGTGTAGCACCGCATAGCATTGTGTGTGAGTTGACACTTTCTGATATCCATCTTCTGAAAAGATACTTGACAAAAATCAATTGTCTTAGAAAAAAGCTTTTAGAAAAGAAACTTGACAAGAGAGTACAAAAATGCTGATGCAGCTCATTCTAATAATTATCTTCTCACTTTATTGGGTGGTTTTAGATCACGTTGGGGGGATCTCATTGTGGCCAATTCTTAACAGGAGTCATTAATATTGTCTCCCAGGTTGGAAATAGCAACACCTGCCAGTAACTGGAGCTGCGGAAACGTGCTCCATCTTTGCCAGATAGCAGACCAATGCCCGCAGTTCTGATTACTGATAGCTTTCTCTGCTTGCAGGCACGTTAATACAAACTGCCGCAAATTAGATTGCAGAACCTTTCAAAATATGCCTCACCTCACTGTATGGTACAAATCCAGGAAGAACAAAATGTTCTGGCCTCACAAACTAGGAATGTCAGGATCAATTCATATTACAAATGTGAGCTGTTTGAGATTGATAAATAAAACTGAACACTCAGTAATCCAATGATAATAGGTTATTTATTCAAAATCGTCGCTGTACAAACTGCGAGTTGAACATAAAGCTGAAAGTGTAAAAGTTTGTTGACACTGTGACAGCCAGACATTAAGTACTGTATATGCATTATTAACAAGTATTCCTCCAACATAACTGGTTTCCAGACAGAAATGTTGTACTTAAAATCATTTTGCAAACAATATGGAGCTTGGTTACAGCATCCGTTTAGAGGGAGTTCTGTAAACTCTAAAATGACTTATTGTATCCTTACTATACAATGCACCATCACGGAAGAACAGACCAGGAAACTGGGTGGGTCTAAAGTTTCCAAATGATATTCTCTTCTGGAATTTGCAAGTTTCTGATAAGTGGCAGGTGATGTTAAATAAACATCAACTGACATTAAACTTCACTTTTCAACGACAGAGGAATTTTACAAAATAAAAGTTGGTTCTATACAACAGTAATAGTTGCTTATGTTGACAGATTTTGTTTGGAAAAAAAAAGTTATTTTGATCCGAATGTTTGTCGGGCAAACACACATTGCAGTACAATGTTACCGAGTCCAGCTCTGAAAATGCACACAGGTGGTGAATTGTGTTCTAATGGTTACAGTGTAAGAACAGTTTTTAGCGTTTATCACAATAAAATACTTTGAAGGTAAATAATAGGGTCAGTTTTTGCAGCCATTTGAATTAGCAAGATTCTACAAACAGCTATGAGGTAAGCGACCAATTAATCTGGAGGTGTTGTCCAGGACACCACGAAAACTCCCTTCTCTACTGAACAGTATCAAGGGATCGCTGACATCCGTTTGATCAAACTTCTAACAATGTTGGCACTTACATTGTTACAGGGTGTTTGCTCAATTTAGGCACCTCAAACTCAAGCAAAAGATCTGTTGGTTCTGGTGCTGACGTTTGGAGACAGAGCGAGCCCTTGTACATAAAGTGGGCTGTGACATAACTTCTCACCTTAATCAACTGGATATTGAAACAAGCGGACAAAAGGTAGGAAGAGCAATAATGTTTCAGGACTTCAATATAAAGTAGAATTGGATTCAACCACATTCTCAATAATTACAATTTACAAAAGGAAGGATCCTTAATATTGCTGACTTTAGTTCGGAACCATTAAATAAAGTGCACTTCAATTTGGAAAGGAAGATTATTTAGAGAGGGACACTTAATTAGCTTTCATATTAAAAATTCTGTCCGACAAAGTGGGAAATGACTATTTCAAAGAATAATGAAGTAATGAAGGGAGAAAGCGAGATGGAGACTTAAACGCAAACAACTAATAACATCTTAATTTAAAAAGCCTTGTAAATTACATTACACACTGGCCAACAAAAAAAATGTTAATCTCAGTTAAGTGACAAACTTTAATAGAGTAAAATAGGCAGTAAAGATAGCTCTACCCATCAGGCACAAGCCATCCTCAGTATAAAGGATTGTCACACAGTCTCGCACGACTACAGGCTGATGCTTTCCCCCCTCCAACCTCCAATACTGCGCATAGGTTCAACCAACACCTGCAGATCTATAAGCTGAATCCTGAAACAGTCAAGTGTTGTGCATTATTTCTAGCTTCAAAGTAGGTTGTATCGGTCTCGTCGACTGGTTGCGGCACGAAAGGCATCGGGCAATTCTGCAGAGTGTCCCAATCGATGCTGTGAAAGAGTGCGTGCTTCCTGAGCTCTGAAAGATAAACCAAAGTAAGTTCTCGCTCTTCAAAACCTGCTCTCCTGTCTGCCAAGCTTCAGATCATGCAGAACTCTGCAGCTCACATCCTCTCCAGCAAGGCTCCATGTTCCCCATCACCTCCATCCTTACCAGGCTTACCTGCAAATGCCTCTGAGGCCTTGCTTCACCCCAACTCTGCAATCTCTTGCAAATCTAATCCCCACACTTTCTGCTCAAGCAAATCTGGTCTGCTTCGTGCACCCCCTCTACGCCTGCTCTGCCCCGCCATTAACAAGCGAGCGTTCAGCCATTTTGTCTCTGCGCTCCGGAACTCTCGTCCGAAATTTCTCTGCCTCCCTCCATGTCCGTTATCAAAACCTGTCTAACAACAGAATATAGAACCCGTCTATATTTTTGACTGCACCTTCTGCAATCTTTCCCCCCCACCCCCTTTATTTCTCTCGAAGCTCAGGCTCCCACTCAAGTCTTTGTAAAACACTTTGAGGCGTTCCCCTCACGTGACAAGGGTGCGGGCGAGTCGTGGTTTGGTTTCAGTTTTGATAGGAAAAGATACAGAAGCTCAGATCCTAAGGACATTTGAGTACATTGCATGGAACAACACGAAAGCTTATACCCAATGTTTCCCCTCTGACAACACACAACACACGAGAGCACTGCAGCCTCAGTTTGGGACAAGTTCCAAAGCGGGGCTTGAACCCACAACCTTCTGACTCAAGAGACGAGACAGTGTTGCTGCTGAGCCAAGCTGACACACACGGTGCAGCAGAACAACCTACTAATTGCTGTCTCCTCAATTTTGATCTCAACGCCCTAAAGCAATACCTTTTACCCCTGCTCTCTTGGCACAATCGAGGGTCAGCAGAATATCAACTGCATCGTGGGCGCTTTTGGACAATTCTTCTTCATCTTCTGGCCAAGGTATATCTGTCGGAAAAATGTATTATTATTACTGAGAGTATGGCATCAAGTCTCATCACTTAAAGATTTAAACATGCAAACACTAATATGCTGTATTCAAGTAAGAAATTGATTGGTTACGCAGCTATTTAGTAATTGCTCTACAATGTAACTTTAACAAACATGCATTCATAATTTAGAATACTGTTGGATTTGGTTTCATCTCGGAAATCTGTTTTGTGTAATTCTCCAAAGAACATACAGAAAACTGGCTCCAAATTAAGATTGCGTTTAAGAATTTGCCGAATTCTGAACTTTAAACAAAATCTAATCTAGATTTAAATTACATTGGGTAATTTCTCCCCAAGTATTTCTCAATAAATATTTGTGGGTTAGGAGAATTTGTTTAAATCCGGGATCAGGGCACAGGATAAGAACACAGTTGTTATCTCCTCAATCTGCCCACATTGGAAATGGCAACACTCCCAAGGATTACTGGTTTTTTAGCTAATTGCTCAGTGCAGAATAGCAAAATGAGCAATTTTACTGACAACAGCAAATTGTAGTACGCATCTTGTTTAAACAATAAGATCCTGGCAGTGATCAGAGTGGATAACAATTAGATGCACTTGTTGCAAGTATTTAAAATTCTGGATCACCTGCTTGGCAATTCTGAGGAACAAATTTATTAGTGTTCACCTGCAAAAATAATCTGATGTTTTGCTTCACTCCTTGTAATATCCAACAACGTGAACAGACATTCACTCCTTTCGCCCACAATATACACAGTCAATTCACTTTACAGTATAATCTGTGAAGCGCTTTGAGACATCTCGAAGACAAGAGAAGGCCCAATATCAAATGCAAGGATTATTATTACTATTATCGTAAAATAAATGCATATATACACAAACAAACCTCGATTTAAAATGTTCTGAAAAACCTGTTGCGCCGTCGTGTCATTGAAAGGTGGAATTCCAGTCAGAAACTCAAACAAGCACACACCAAGTGCCCACCAGTCCACCGCAGGGCCTAGCACAAAAAAGTTATACATATTATAGACACAGACTGTGTACAGTTACGTTAGAGACAAATGATTCCAATGGGAACTTGTTTTCTTTATATCCACAAGAATATTTCAGAATTGTTTTGCTGCATCTTCAATATCTTCATATTCACTACAACGGTAAAGAACTGAAATCGGGGGAGAAACTGACCACAGATACATTGGCTGGGATTGACAAGTAAATGACTGATGGGATTGGTATGCTATATATCCCGCCAATGTAACCGATGGACTGGGTATATTCCCCACGTACAAGATGGGTGCGTTATACACAACAACTTGTATTTATATAGCGTCTTCACCCAGGATAGCGTCTCATGGCGAAGCCTGATGCCGAGCTGGTGACCAAGAGCACAGTCGAAGAGGTGGCCAACAGGGTTGATCTGAAAATGGGGAAGGAGGGACAAGATGGAGTGATTGAGGGAGAGGCTTCCAAAGTTACAGGGTGCAGTGGCTGAAAGCACAACTGACGAAGGTGGAGCGGAGGGGATAAGGGACAAGCAGGAGACCAGAGCCAGCCGAGTGGAGGTGGCGGAGTGGGCAGGTGGGAGAGGTAGAGAGGTGCCGGGGCTTGAAGGGATTTGTAGGTGAGTGTGAGGACCTTGAAGTTAATCTGTTTCTGTGATAGGAAGCCAGGCTGTTTTTTCTCTGCTTAACTCAGGATGTACTGAGTCTAATTGTGGTGCCTTTAGTGCCGTCTGAGTGACATTGGCTAACTGAGCTCTAAACCCGTGACTATCTCCTCTCTGCATGGTCAGCTACTCACTGAACCAGCAATGGGAGATGTACCAGCTTCGGGTACCACCCCACCCACAATCATCTATGCAAAGCAGCAGCCAATAGTACACATCTGTTGTTGTACACCCACTGTCCTGTTATTGCAGGGAACATGTCTGTGCAGTCAGGCTAACAAAGTATCCTCTTACCATGTGGTATTTGTAGGAGCAGCTCTGGGGCCAGGTAATCCGGGGTTCCCAGGATTCGATCCTCCTCCGTTGGAGCCTGTCCTCTCCGCACACTTTTTGGAGTCCTGTACGGAGTCTGCACATTAGCTGGCTGTGGAGTCTGAATATTCAGAAACAACAAGATAGATTTTTAGCGCAACTTCAGCTCTGTATTGTGAGTGTCAGCCTGGACTATGTGGGTCCCATATCCTGATGTCCTGCCGACTGACGCCTAAAAAATGCTTTATAAATCCATAAAGCAAGCCAAACCATGAATGTTTTTGTGTTCCTTTTATCTGTGTCATCACCAAGTCCTCGGAATCTATTGAAACGGTGCAAAAATGTCACAGGTCTGAGTCTGGCAACAGAGTACATTTGGGTGATGGGATGTTTGAATGTTTCAGCAATTTTATTATCCTACCACCAGCTGGAGCTGTAGTCCCATCGACTTTACTCACTGGAGCGTTCTAGTGGCTGTAACGTGATACTACAAAGTTTGAATACTGTATTAAAAAAATATTGGCTTGAGAACCTGAACCATTGCCATTTCTCCCGCCCGCCCCCGTATTATTTAGGCTCTTTAAGAGTATTACCAAGAGTCAGAGGTTCAATTTGATCAACTGAGGTTCAGCCTGGCTCAGCTGGCAACAATTAGTGCCTTGGGACATCCGCCCGACATGAAAGGGGCTATACAAATGTAATTTTGTTGTTGTTTTTCCTCCAAGTCAGAAGGTTGTCAGTTCAAGCCTCACATATGGACTTTGACCTCAGTCACTGCATTTCATAAAAATCTTGTGAAGTTTGCGCTCAACTTTGTTGAGTTTTGGTTAGAGCTACCTACCTACCTCTCTGACCTGCTGACTCCCTACCAACCTTCCCTCTCCATCCGTTCAGCGGGCTCCGGCCTGCTCCATGTCTCCCACCCGACCTACCATCGGTGGCCGGGCTTTCAGCCTCTCTGCCCCCACACTCTGGAACTCCATCCCACCGTCCCTTCGCCTCACTTCCTCCCTCGCCTTCTTCAAGGCCGGTCTCGACCCTTCTCTTCGATCGTGCTTTTGGTCTCCCTCCCACCTCTCTGCCTTCCCTCACCCCTCCCCCCTGCTCTGGCCCCGACACCTGACTGTTCAGCGCTTTGGGATACCCTCCCGACGTGAAAGGCATGCTATAAATGTCATTTTGTTGTTGTTCAGCGCACACCTCCTAGCGAGAGGACCCGGATTCAATTCCCAGGCTGGACAGGGCGAAACCTGAGGCAAGTTTCCTTACTTCATACACAGTAAGTAGGAACCCCCATTTAGTCGATTGGTGGATCGCTTTCCTGGGGGAGGGAAATAATCCCATCAAAAATAATAACAACAATTTGGTCACTCAATCCACGACTGCTTGTGGGACGTTGCTGTGTGTAATTGGCTGCTACGTTTCGCCCACAAAATATACAGTCAATTCATTTTCCAGTGTAACCTGTGAAGCGCTTTGAGACGTCTCAAAGGCACTATATCAAATTATATATCAAATTAGTATATTTAGTATTATAATTAGTATTGTATTAAATAATCCCTCCAAAACAAACAAAAAAAACAATAATAAATTGGTCATTTTCAATCTATGACTGTTTGTGGGACATTGCTGTGCACAATTGGCTGCCGCGTTCGCCCACAAATATACAGTCAATTCACTTTACAGTATATTCTGTGAAGCGCTTTGGGACGTCCTCCCGACGTGAGAAGCGCTATATCAAATGCAAGTATTATTATTATAGTATTAATATAACTTTGTGCTCAAAGCACTTCACGAATGTCAGTATTGTAGGTGCTATATCAAATGCAAAGAATATTATGAACCTGCACATCTTGAGTGTACTGTACCCCTCAACCTCAATATGTCACAGGGAAACCAGAGGAGGAGCTGATAAGATCACCAGCTTACGAACGACCATTACAGATCGCATAAGGCTCACCTGAAGTTTACATTTTACTCAGATTAATTTTCCGTGACTAATGTATCTGATCATAGCTCAGCAATGCTCATGGACATGTGCATTATAGTTCTTACCCACAACGAGAAGCGACAATACAATTCATGGCAACGCTGGAAAGTGGCAGGTTGCAGTTTCCTTCAACAATATAGAGTACATGCTTTTAAAATCACTGCCCGCTGCCGCTTAATTTATCTTATCCCCTCACCTACTTGAGTGGTGGCTGCACTATGGGCCCAGGCTCTTCACCCGTGTTTGTTAAGAAAAAAAAGTCTTGTACCTATACTTAACAGAGGACACCCATCTGTATCTCAAGATTAATATCAGTGCAAGGGCACAGAGGTATTGAGGAACAGAGGTATTGAGATTATCTGCACCTTGGAGTTATTAGTTGGGTGGACCAGATGGACCAATGGACGATTGCTCCTTGAAAGGACAATGTGTTTTTATATAATCGATTCATCTTTTTACGTGTTGCGAGGCGTATGTGTCATAAAGATCCTTACATTGGTTGGATATGGCACCTTATCAAGTCGTCCATATGTCTCGAAGCACCTCGCAGGATTTTCCTGTGATTTGTAATAATAGTCCTTGCGTTTTATATATCGCTTTATCACGTCTTTGAAACGCCACAAATCGCTTCACAGAATATACTGTAAATATCCTTTTGTACAAGGGGCTGTTTTAGACGCTTCATTAGTTTTACCCCCAACAGAACCCGTCCGTTATGAGGGTGGTAGAAGCAGATTCGAGAGTAGCTTTCAAAAGGGAATTGGATAGGTATTTAATTAGGAGCCTAACTCCTTGGCTCCCGCCAACGTCTTCTATCTTCCAGCTCTGACCTCCTCAACCTCGCCGGCCTATCCTTGGACTCACCAAACCTGTGCATAACCTCGGCATCAGGTTCGACCGACAGCTGCCCTTCTTTCCCCACATCCAGTGCCTGACCAGGAACTCCTTCCTCCACCTCCGCCACACTGCCCGCACCTCCAACCGTACCTTGCCCGAGACGGAACCAAAACACTCGTCCACGCATTCATCGCCTCCCGACTCGACTTCTCAAATGCCCTCTCTGCCGGTCTCCTCAGCTCCACCATACACAGGATCCAGCTGATCCAAAACTCCGCCGCCCGCATACACACCCTCACAAAACTCCGTACCCCCATCACACCAGTTCTAGTCTGGCTCCCTATCGCTGAACAGATCGATTTCAAGATCCTCACACTCAAATCCTTACAAGTTCTGGAACATTCTTCCTCTATCTCTCCGTTGTTCTCGTTCCTTCCCCCATCTTCAGATAGTACCTAAAGACCTTCCTTTTCGAGGGTGACTACAATGGGCGCTACATAAATGGAAGTTGTTGTTGTAAGAGCGCGGGAGTGGGAATAGTTGGTAGCTCTTTCAGAGCCGTCACAGGCACAATAGGCCAAATGGCCTCCTGCTGTGCTCTAAGATTCTACGAGGTCTTACACACTGTTTGCACTTCAGCGGTTCCTCAGGTAACTCACCTGATACGTTCCAGCCGCTCTGAGCAGTACACGAGACGCAGCGTTGACCTGCGCAGGAGTAGTAGTTCCGGTGCAGACCGACATGTCTACAGAGTCCAAGCTCATCCCGGTGGGAACGGACAGATTCGAATTGTATATGGGGCTGCAGTAGCTCCGGAATACCACCGCGGACTTCTTTTGGCCCGCAGTCAGGGCGCTGGGGCGGAAGGAAGCTTTGGCGCTGGGGCACATTTCCCCCGAGTGTTTCACGCACTGATCGCTGTCCGTGAGGTGGGTTTGCTTTGCAGTCGAATAACCAGCAAAAGGCAACGCGTGGCACGGGAGGTAGGGGGAGAGCTCGTCTTTAGCCGCACCCGCCTCAAACAAACCGTCTTTGGGGCTTTTGTCTGGCCGCAACGACGGCTTCTCCAATTGGGTTTCTGTGAAGGAGGCGTCTTGAGCTGAGGAGTCTGAGTACATGCTCAGGCTCCGCTTCAGACTACGGTCGTTCTCATCAGTCAGGAAGCTGCAATTCATGGCGTCTTTACCCTCCTCTTTGTCGCAGTGCTCGTCCAGCTCACTCAGCAGATTCTTGGCCAGGGACGGGACTTTCAACAGGTCAGTTGTCGTCTTTCCGGCCGGGTGGTCGCTACTCTCGACACGACCACCCCTTTTCCCGGGACTCTCACAGTTCCTTGTCAGCGAACCTAACATGAGTGTCTGGATCTCCCTGGTCAGGCCAGTGCTGTTGCTGGGAATGGGACTGGGTTGCAAGTCGGGGATGTGGCAGCCGCGACTATACTCCGCGTTCTTCTTCTTGCTCCGCGAGGTGAAGGAGAACGGGCTCTGGTCCACCTGATCGAAACCCCTCTTGGCTTCATTTCTTGGCCCTGGGCTTTTCCGCAAGTCGTCGAGCGACGATTTCACCTCGCGCCCCGGCACATCTAAACCGGCCAATTGGCCGGGGTCTTCCCGAGCGGAGACGCACAAGCTGACGTTGGCGGAGTTTTCCAATATCTCGGCCAGCCAGGGAGGCGAGCGGTTAAGGCCACAAAGGCCGGGCGCCTCTTGTTGGTTCACCTCGGCTGAAGGCCGAGGCTTCTGCAGATCGGGCCGGACCACGTTTTCATACAGGCATTTCCTGACCAGACACTTGGCCGCAGCATTGATGAAAGGGGTGGCCTGGATCTGCTGCTCGGCTCCGCTCTGCGGGCTGATCTCGTTCTCCATCGGCGAGACCACGAACTCGAGATCTCTTTTGGAACTGGCGAGGCCGTTCTTCTGGAGCAAGTTCCCTGCCACCGCTTTCCTGGCTCCCAGCTCAGCGAGGGGCTGTACAGTCTCCGGGTCCTGTGAAGATCAATCAAAAATCTGAAAACCAAAGGCAAAGCGTGCACACTGCACCCCGGCACCATGAGGAGTTATATATGCGAAGGCGAGCATCTTGAAATTAATCTCCTCTCAGATCCTTCTCTGACCAAGAACCAAATTCCGTTTTGACGTAAGATTATTCGGGTCAAAACCAAATCCGCTTAATTAATAATGATCCTTGCCTGATCATGTCATTGAGACATCTCAAAACGCTTCACAGAATATGCTGTAAAGTGTATTTACTGTATATTTTGTGGACCAAACGCCCACCATGATCTAGTTCCTTTTAACGACCACATCCACTGCCTGTGACAACTTTCTTTTAAAAAAAGGCACAAATAGGTTTGTCTTCATAATAATAATACTTATATTCGAATAAAGTGTTTTGCTACATTGTCACAAGTCAGGCCTGTATAGATATCCTCCCTCTTCTCCCATGGACTCTGGGTTCATCAGCTTTTACTGCTCAATGAATCACAACTGGGGGATGGCGATAGGGGTAAGAGAGAGAAAGATGCGGTACGAGAAAAAATGCTGCCAACTGCGTAATGGTTACCTTTTTGTAAAAACCTGCATGGTTTACCCTAACTCAATTCTGCTTTTCCTCCTCGGAGTCAGAATGGTCTAAGAGTACACTCCAATGTAGGGGTGGGTTGGTGAGTAGGGGTTTCATTGTTGGGAAGTGTCCTTTGGATGAGATGTAAAACAGCTAAAAACTTGCCAGACTATGCATTGCAACCTATATGGTTTTTGCTGGTTAAACAAGGAACACGGAAAGAACACTCTGGGGAACCCAAACGTGCACTCCCAAATAATGCCCTCTGGAATGAAGTCAGCCGGGTACGTCCATCCAGGGAGAGAGAGCGCATTCCAGAACAGGGAAAATGTAATGTGTAGGTGGCACATGTAGATGGAATTCCCGGTTTGGTTTGGATACTCTTAAGCATGCTGAAGGAGTTTCCGCATGTGCCAGACACCCGGCTGATCCCGGACAGAGTAAATCTCTATTTAGAGGAACGTGGGGTAATTAGAGACAGCCAACATGGATTTGTTAAAGGCAAATCTTGCCTAACAAATCTAACAGAATTTTTTGAAGAGGTGACTGCGAGGGTTGATGAGGGAAATGCGGTAGACGTTATTTACATGGATTTCAAAAAGGCTTTTGACACAATACTGCATAAGAGATTAATAAAAAAATTAGTGGCCCACGGTATTAAGGGGATTAAGGGCAGTTTGGATTAAGAAATGGCTGAGTGACAGCAGGGAGAGGGTGGTGGATAATGGGTGTTTCTCGAAATGGAAGGAGGTGTGCAGCGGTGTCCCCCAGGGATCGGTATTGGGACCACTGCTCTTTCTAATATATATTAATGATCTGGACTTGGGCACAGAGAGCACTATTTCCAAGTTTGCAGATGATACAAAGTTAGGTTGGGTAGTAAATAGTGAGGAGGACTGTAACCAACTGCAAGCAGACATACACAGAATGGCGGAATGGGCTGACATGTGGCAGATGGATTTCAATGTGGATAAGTGTGAGGTGATACACTTAGGTAGCAATAATGATAGGAGGCAATATAGACTTGATAGCTCAATCTTAAGGGGGGTGAACGTACAGAGAGATCTGGGTGTTCAAGTAAGCGAATCATTAAAGGTAGCGGGGCAGGTAGATAAGGCAGTAAAAAAGGCATTTGGTGTACTGAGCTTCATTAGTAGGGGCATAGAGTATAAGAGCAGGGAGGTTATGCTTAATCTATACAAAACACTGGTTAGGCCTCAGCTGGAGTACAGTTCTGGGCACCTTACTTCAGGAAGGACATTAAGGCACTGGAAATGGTGCAGAGGAGATTCACGAGAATGATACCAGGAATGGGGAACCTTAGCTATGAGGACAGACTGGAGAAGTTAGGACTTCTTTTTNCTTCACTCAGCGAGTTGTTCGAATTTGGAATGATCTGCCTGAAAGGGTAGTGAAGTCCAATTCAATAACAGCTTTTAAGAGAGAACTGGATAGGTATCTGGGGAAGACGGGTTTGCAGGATTATGGGGAGAAAGCTGGTGATTGGGGTTAGTGAAAGTGACTTGCTCTGTCAAAGAGCCGGCACAGACTCGATGGGACGAATGGCTTCCTTCTGTGCCGTAACATTCTATGAATCAAATCAGAAACACCTCCCCTTTTCCAAGAATCGTCCGAAAATATGGACGGTAGGGTTTGAGTAAACACAGGCACGGATTTCCCAAAGGCTTTCCAAAATGAGTGCTAGGCAGCAATGAAAATGCTTTACCAAGAGTGTAATGCAGCAGCAAAGCGTGTTTCACTCTTGGCAAATAAAAGTATATTTTTACGTGAAAATCCCATTAACTCCCGAGGTCAGGAACAGTTGCGGTGGTAGACTGGCAGGGAGTAGGTCGGCTTGGAAGCTGAGGCGAGATGATAGGAGTTGCATGAAAAGTTGGGAGTAGGTCAGGTAGAGCCACAAATTGCAAAGCAAGTAAAACAAGATCATGGATTTAGGAGGCGTAAAATATTCACAAGTTGGACTTTTTTTTACACTACATCAGCACATTAGCTGGTCACTGGGGTTGATGAACTTGCGGGAGGGGGAAGGGAGGAGGCGATCAGGATTTCATCTACAAACTACACAATCACTACCCTTTACCCTGTGAAATGCTTTGGGTCATCCTCCCAATGTGAGAGGAGCTGTATCAAGTGTAAAAATTATTATTGTCACAAAGGTTGGGTTTTCTGAGCATCGAGAGTTCAATCGACTAAACTAAAAACTTTTATAAGCAACATTTTTTTTTGAATTCTTAATGAATGTAGTAACATACCCTTGCATTTGATATAGCGTCTTATATTGTTGAGATGTCTCAAAGAGCTTTCCCTAGGAATATATTCCAGTGAAATGACTGTATTTTGTGGGCAAAACGCAGCAGCCAACTGCGCAGTGTCCCACAAACAGCCATAGATAGAGTGGTCAAATCTTTTTTGTTGGTGGTGGGTGGTTCGGGGGCGATTTGGAGGGATTATTACTCCCAGAAAGTGATCCGACTAACAACCAGGCTCCTGCTTACTGTCAGGTAAACGGAGGCATATGGAATCAACCTGTGTCCTCTCGCTTGCGAGGAGAGCGCACTAACCGCTTCGCTACAGGACTCCATAAATGATCAAAATACAGTGGCTAGGAACGTACCCGAGACTTGGCAAACACTAACCTGTAGGTCGTTTTCCCACTGTGGACTGTTCAAACATCCTGCCTCTGTGCTGGAGGGAAATATACGTGATTGACTGCTGCCACTTGACATCCCAAGCATTTTATTTGGCTGAATGAATTCCGGAGTCAGATATTTGACTGGCATACACTGGTTACAAGAAGAGCTGTCAACACCTACAAAAGGCAAACACAAAATTCATAATCACAATTGCTAAATAGTACTTTCATTTGATAAAGTGAGAGGAGTGAGATTCTGGAGGAAGAACAAATTATCTATAGTGAATCTTTGAAACTAGAAAATTAAAGTCACTGCTAATATTGATGTAGTGTAAGCAACTTCAAGAGGACACAGGGCACTATGTAACTGCAATGTTAAATAAGACATATGTTAAATGGTAAAATTTTACAAGAAATTGAAGTGCAGAGAGATCAATGGGTTAACATGCAGAGATATTTAAATATAGGAAGGCAAGTGGACAAAGCTGTGAAGAAAACTTTGGGATCCCAAGTTTTATAAATAGGGGCTGATATTATAAAATCAAAGAGGTGAGGTTTAGCTTGTATAAATCATAACTTAGATTGCAGTTAGACCTTTGCGTAATGAGTTACTTTGATGCTTAATGAGTGCTTTGAAGGCAAACACAGCAGCCAATCTATGCCAGCAACATCTCATGAACAATAAGTGATACTTGGTTATTTGGTCAGGATACCAAACAAACTCTCCACTCCCTCTGGAACTCCATCCCAGAATCCCTCCACTTTGTCCCCTCCCTAGCCTCCTTGAAGGCACGTCTCAAGACCGTCCTGTTTGGTTGTGCTTTCGGCCATCCTCCCATCCCCTCCACTCCTCTTGATTCCAACCCTCAACTTGGATGGAAACCCTTATCTGTCCAGCATCTTGGGACTTCCTTCCGATGTAAAAGGCGCAATATAAATGTAATTTGTTGTTGTTGTCTTCAACATAGCGCCATGGGATGTTCAAAGCCCATCCAACATGGGATAAAGGACCTCAATTTAACATCTCACTTGAATTCTACAGAGCTATGGGATTGTTAGTCACTTATGAATTTTTTGCTTTTGTTTCACTTTTGTTACACATACCAGATAGCAAGCAATAACTGCTTTTCAAGCCCTTTGCCTTCAATCCTTCCTTATACCCTTTGACACTCTGTGGCAAAGAACAGTACGATCCAAGAGAGAGATGGCTAGTGTCACACACCATAGGGCTTATCGATGGCGATGCAACTTTATTCTTCCCTCCCGCTGGTGTGTTCTAAACAGGAAGATGTGCACACTATTAGAAGCAGGCAAAAATCGAATGGTTAGATGACTGAGAAATAATTGCCACGAATAGGTGACTTGACCATGGTAACCCAATGTCTGTGGAGACCTCATTGAATTCCACGGCTCCACTAAAACCAAAGTTATGGTTTCATATATATGTATACACACATATATATACATATACATATATATACATGTATATACACACATATATATATACACGTATACACACACATACACGTATATATAATAATAATAATCCTTGCATTTGATATAGCGCTTTTCACGTCGGGAGGATGTCCCAAAGCGCTTCACAGAATATACTGTAAAGTGAATTGACTGTATATTTGTAGGCGAACACGGCAGCCAATTGCGCACAGCAATGTCCCACAAACAGTCGTAGATTGAAAATGACCAATTTATTATTGTTTTTTGGAGGGATTATTATCAGGATCTGTGTGGAGTAAGGAAACTTGCCCAAGGTTTCGCCCTGTGCCTGGAATTGAACCCAGGTGTCTCGCTTGCAAAGCGAGTGCTCTAACCACTGAGCTACAGGACTCCACACAGGACTTGGTGTGTGTGTGTGTATGTATATATATATATACACATACATACACACACAAAGAAGTTATTTGAATTCCCCAAATAAATAACAGGAACTAGTAAGATTACAAGTAGTTTTTTTTGGGGGGAGGAGAAAAATGTAATTTGTGTTTGGTGTTTGCCCATGGCTGGCCCACTCGCTTCCTGAAACCTGTCTGCTTTTTGCGCTAAAATGGCCAAATTCCAAGTCATTAGGTCGTTGTCAACATCACTTTATGCTTCCTACTGTAATACAACCAACATACATTGTGTTAAATTATAACAGAATCAATACTTACAAACCCCAGGGAACTGATTAAAGACAAAATCTGGCCTGGAGTACGATAGTAGTCAAAGTTTGGGTTAACCATGGATGGCGTATTGAGGATATCCATCATGTTTATCTCTTAGAAACAAAAACATCAGAATTGTAGATATTAATTCACTAAATTGAGCAGAATTATGGTCATTTGAACTAAATACAGCACATTTCTTAATAAAAAGCATGTTTTAAACTCGCAGGTTCAGCATTGCAATAAAGTCTCAATTACTACATTGTCGCCTACAAAATACAAAGTCACAATACTTTACAGTAAATGCTGTGACGTGTTTTGAGACATCGGCCCAGCCTGAAAGGCTCCATGTCAAATGCAAGTATTATTAATGAGTAATACGTGCAACTTTATTTGAAATATGTCTAATTTGCAATAGGATATTTCTTTATTACCTCTGTTCAGGGTAACCTTGGAGAGTCCGAAGTCAGTTAACTTGATGTGGCCTTTGTTAGAAATTAACATGTTGTCTGGCTTCAGGTCTCTGAAAGACATCAACATCGTCAGGTTACGTGGCAAAATAAAACACAAAACTCATAGATTCTCCCTCTTTATTCCTAAGGTTTGTGGCTGACCCACAGAGAGCCCAGGTTTAGGATAGGGCAAGCCGAAGTCAAAATCGTATTGATGCCAATAACAGTAAGAAAATGGTCAAATATGGCAGTTTCATCTCAATAACCAAGGTTAGATTGCTAAGAATTGAAGGTTTTATGAAACATTGTTTTATGTACTGAATTTTTTTTTTTAAAAGTCTTAATTCAATCTTTACCTGTGAATAATACCATGTCTATGCAGATAATCCAGAGCCATAGCAACCTCAGCGATGTATATAATGGCCATGTCTTCGTCAAAATATCCATAAATATGGAGCAGAGACTTCATATCCCCACCAATAAGGTACTCCATCAGCTGAGGAAATAAGACATTTAGATTTTGATCTTGTATTGTAATTTTATTAGGCAACAGAATATCATAAAGTCTGAGACAAAGACTATCACGCTGCAACACCGACAATATGGATTAGTGGCTGGCTAAAGGGAACGAAGCAAAGGATTAGTTGTTCAAGGAGCCACAATGAATTGGAGAAGGTTTATTAATGGGCTGCTTAGGGATTGGTACTGAGACCCCTTATGTTTCTTGCGTCTACCAATGACCTGGATTCAAAGATGGTGCAAGGTAGTTATATTTCTGTGGGAAAGAATACAGACTACTGAGTTTATGATGATTTGGAGTTGTTGGAGGTTGAGGAGCTCCTGGATAACATACGACACACCTCACAGGGCTGGGTACATTGGGTGTCACCATCACTGCCTCATTTTTGACGATAGGTAATTTACCTGAAACGTTTTCCTCTCTCTATTGACGCTGCCTGACCTGCTGCATGTTCCTAGCGACTCTTGTCTTTATATCACTGCCTCATTCCCTCTTCTTTATCTATCTTTAAATCCCACTTTAAGACCGGCATCTACACCCGCACCTAGTCCCCTCCCCTTCCTCCGTTGCTTAGCCACTGTTGCAGAGATGGAGGAAAGCAGACTTTCGAAGCTGGCTTCCCGTACCCTTCACTATTCCTCCTCTTCAGTCACCTATTTAATTCCCTTTTAAAATAATTGACGGACTCTGCCTTAGTTAGGATACTTACAAGGTAAACATTGTTGGCAGACTGTAGAGAATAGTACAAGTGCACAATGAAAGGGCTTTTACTAAGGGCCAGAGCAGCTCTCTCTGCCTGCAGCTGATGCACCATGTTTTTATGGATCAGATCAGCTTTCTTGACAACCTATGGATAGAGAGGAAAAGGAGTTATTTTAAAAAATCTTCATTAACAAAAAGAAATTATGTACAAAAAAAATCACCAGATCACCATCAGATGTATTCTTTGCCAACCACCTTGTCAGCTTTCAGCCAAAGAGGACCTGACGAGAGCCCAGCACAAACATAACTCTTCTCCCAGCACGCAGGAGCCTAGGCACAACCCAGTGGGAGATTGAGCCTGACTTGGGGCTTGAACCCATAACATTTGGCTCAGAGAGTGTTACCAAGTGAGCCAGGCTGACAACCAACTATGAAACACATATCCAGGTTTCTCCACAGTCCTCGAGGTGGCAGCCACTGCTGAATTGGGCTCTGTTCGGTCACCTACTCCCTGCCCCAGCTTGGCGTCAGGTTTTGGCACTATTATGTGCTCCAAGATGCTGCCCGGCGTGAAGGGCACTATAAAAATGCAAGTTCTCTGCCCAATTCCCATCATGCGTGCGTGAGTTTTCAGAACAAGGTAATGGCTCACCTCGATTGCCGGGAATCCCACAGATTGCAGCCTACACTTGATTCAGCTTTCAGCAACACCCTGTTCTGATTGAAACTCAAATGATCCCCAATATTTGATCAGCTTTCTTGTTAACTATATGACATTGATACCCTCAGAAAATGGTTAATAATGGCACACAAATCCTGTCCCACCTTATGAAAAATGCTTAAATGCCTGTTTGGGGGAAACTTGTTTAAAATTATTTTTGGTAGGTGTCTCAAAGTGCTTCACAGGATTTCTACTGAAAATACTGCACCGATTGTGTATTTTGTAGGTGAATATGGCAGACAATTTTTTTTTGGGTGGGTGGTCAACCGGATGTCTGACACATGTGAAAATCCATTATCGTGCTTAAGACTATCCAAACTAAACTGAGATTTCCGTGCATCCCACCTACACGTGGAAATCCCAGAGATAGATGCACACTCTCTCCCTGGAGGGATGGATCCTACTTACCCAATTCCGAAAAGTATCAGGCACAGGTTGGCAAGAGCCAAGGCTTAGGAACCCCAGAGTGAGTGTTGGGATACTCCTGGAGTCTAACAAGATTCAAAAATCACAAAAATCAGGCATACTGTTTGCCGATTGTGATCGTACAGATGTTTACTTTCTCCGACCTTCCAAAAATCTTGCCCAGATTTTTCTTACAGTTATATAACATACACTGATATAACACCTTTCACCTTTGCAGTTATCAAAATGTTTGACAATACCAGCTGGAAACCCCAGCTGGGGCTGGGAGCTTTGTCGGGGAAAGATGACTAAAAATACCGTCAAGACTCATGTTTTGAGGCAGGTCTTGAACGAGTGGAGAGAGCTGGAGGACCTCCGTGATAGAGTTCCAGAGAGCGGGGACAGAATGGCACAAAGTTTGCCTGGTGATGTTGGGACATTAAACTGGACTAAGTTCGTCAAACAAAGGGAGTGGCCAGGTTTGAATGGCTGAAGGAGGTTGCAGAGGTAGGGCGGGGCAAGACAGTGGAGGGATTTAATTGCGAGAACAAGGCTCTTTAACTTGATCAGCCAGGGGATGAGGAGCCAAATAAGGATGGGGTGTCAGGCCCGTGGAGCCTGGTGCAGAAGAACACTAAATAGACTGCAGCCTGTGTAGGCAACAGCTGGGAAATCCAGTGAGCAGATCTTTGGCGTAGATAAAAGTGTGGATGAGGGTCTCAGCAGCCCGAGGGGAGAGGCAATGGTAGATGAGGACAATTTCACAACTGAGGTGGGTAGATATTTGTTAGGTAAGGGTATCAAGGGAGATGGGGCAAGGGCGGAGTTGGAGTTGAGGTACAGATCATCCATGATCCTACAGAATGATGGAACCGGCTCGAGTGGCTGAATGGCCTACTCCTGTGCCTATGTTCCTATCTTCAGAGATGAGGGAAAGCTGTTAAGAGCGCAGATGTGGGTCAAACAAGACACAGAGTTTCCGCTCCAGCTCTGTGAAGTGGATGTGTATCTGTGCAGGTTGACATTGTCAACAAACGCCCGAGGTGCGAAGCTGCCGCCGACTCCGGAGAGAAGCGGGAGAGTCTCTGCCTTGTCGACACCAAACATAAGAACGTTGCACTGTTAAAAATCATTGGAACCGTAAGAAACTACGCACAATGTTATTTGTATTTTTTTTTAAAAAAAAGCAAAGCTAATCCAATTGTGGTCATAGTTGGGGATGAATGGCCCTTCGGAATCCAATCAAATACAGTAAAACACACCTTACGGTATCCTGTGAAGCGCTTTGAGACGTCGCGACAATGTGATTAAGCGCTATATCAAATGCCAGGATTATTATTATTAATAATAATTATATTATCATTATTAATACTCGCCTTCACGGCGTACAGTTTCTTCTCTTCGCCGCCTTTCTTTCGGGCCAGGTACACTTTACCGAACGCCCCGCGGCTGATGGGCTTCACGACGACGAAGTCCTCGATCCCGGGCGGTTTGGGCACTGTGATGGAGGTCCCGGCCCCGTGCGGGGGGTCGGCGGGAATGTCGCGCTCACCGGGAACCGCGGCTCCTCCTCCTTCCATGTTCCCGTCCGAACTGAGCGAACATCCCCCGACGTGCGAGTGGAGCGCAGAGACAATCCCCTTCCGACCCCACACCCCGACCCCCACCGCCGCCGCCCGACCAGCGACCGGACCCCCCAGTGCGGGCGGTACCGGGGCTGGAGCTGGAGAGACAGTCCCCACCGCCGCCGCTCTCAGGGCCCCAGGACCACACGGTTCAAAAACTTGTTTTGAAAATTCCGCCCTGGTCTGTCCCGCCCTCTCTCCCGGGTCCCTCCTTCCCGCCCTCCCGGGTCCTTCCTTCCCTCCCGCGCCCTCCCGGGTCCTTCCTTCCCCTTCCGCGCCTGTGCCTCTGCCCCGCGGCGCCTGACGGTTCAAATAAGACATCGAATTGTTTGTTTGTTTGTATTTATTTCGCGGTTTCAAAAAAAAATGAGGGCTTTGTTTTTTTCTTACTTTGTTGGCGGCGGCAACTTTTTTTTTCTTTTCTTTTCTCTCCCTCTCCCGAGATTAAATCCGTGTGGATTGTGTGGACGGCGGTGTCCGCGGCGCCGCCTGAGATGAGCAGCGAAAGGGAGGCTTTGTTTTTATTCGTAAACCAACAGCTTTTACATCAGTGCATTGCATTGTGTGTGTTTTTTTTTCCCCGCTCTTATTCGTAGATTTATTGGATTAAATTGTTCTCTCACCATCACTTGAACTCATCCTGAACGCTAAAAGGTCAATTGTGGGAGGTCTGAACCCGTCTCGTCTGAACCCGAACACTGGTCACTTTCACGACCAAAACACGGTCCAAAGTTTCACATCGGGACACACAACCGAAGACCATCGGTTATTTGTCTGTCTGTGTGTCTGTCTGTCCTAATAAACTGGTCACTCAATCCATCACCGCTGTTCAAATAATCCTATAATAATAATCCTTGCATTTGATACAGCGCTTTTCACGTCGGGAGGACGTCCCAAAGCGCTTCGCAGAACGCACTGCAAAGTGAATTGACCGTACAGTTGTGGGCGAACGCGGCAGCCAATTGCGCACAGCAATGTCCCAACAAACAGTCGTAGATTGAAAATGACCCAATTTATTATTGTTTTTGGTTTTAGAGGGATTATTATTAGGCTCTGTGTGGAGTAAGGAAACTTGCCCAAGGTTTAGCCCTCTGCCTGGAATTGAACTCTGGTCTCTCACTTGCAAAGCGAGTGCTCTAACCACTGAGCTACAGGACTCCACAAAAGACAGACATACAGAAACAGACAGACAAACAGAGACAGGCAGACACACACACATAGAGACAGACAGACAGACAGACTGACAATCACACACACAGACAGAAACACACACACACACACACAGATACACAGACACACACACTGGCCGTTTATCTAAACGAGGAAGCGGTTTGCTGGAGGTTTCCGTTACGTTTATGCAATGGCATCAACGCCAAGGGCTGAAGGAGGTGATGGGGAGCGTCTTGTACTCAGTCAGATATGAGGTTGCTTCACTACTGGTTCGAGAATACACTGTAAAGTGGATCGACCGTACATTTTATGCTCGAAAGAGTGAGGGAGTGGGATTGGATGGGCCGCCCTGTCAGACTGCCAGGCCAGGCCCAAGCACGATGGGCTGAATGGCCTCTTCATGTGCTGTAGCTTGTGCACTGCTCTGGCCATGGTCCTGGCCCTGGCCACGGCTCTGGCCCTGGCCGGCACAGGCTCACAGACTGATGGTCCTGAACACAGTGAAGCCGCTGTGAGAGGTGGTGACCAGGACCCCAGGATAGCGCGAGGCCCAATGCCACTCCTTCAGGTCGTTACGCATGGTGATGGGTTTCTGCAGGTGTCAGACCCAGCTGACCAAAAAAAGTATTACAGAACCAATTAAGATGCAGATTTGTATTGTGATAGGTGATTAAGCTTAGTTTGCCCCTTTTGTACGTGCTATTGGGATCCTATCTTCTGTTGATCTCAATTTAACAACGTTATGGTGTGACTGGTGAAAGGTGCCATACAATAATGAGACGGGTTTAATTTTGAAAGATTGCTCTGTGACTTAACTACTTTAAAAAAAATCTTTTATGCAATCACAACTACAGCTTGAAAGAGAGCATTAGCATTTAACAAACCAAATCAGGAATTTTCTGCACAGAAGGCGGCCATTTGTATCTCTTGTCACTTTTTAGAATTTTTTTTTGATTGATCCCACTTTCTTTTCCTCATATTACTTAATGTTTTAAGTGATTTGGGAAAAGAGCATCCTCCAGTGCTTCTCCGGTTTCCTTGTCCAGTTCACGATTCTATGAACTAACTATATTTAATATCCACTTCTAAAACCTAATAACTTTCTGAGTGCAAAATCCTGAACCACGCCTTTGTTCTCAGGACACATGGAGAAACTCCTTTCCACTTTTAAAGAGTGTCATGGGATCTTTAATATTCAAATGAACCAGCAGACAGGACCTCAATTTAAGAGTAGATTTCACCAGTGTGTTAATGTGCACACAAGCTACTCTGAGGCCATCCTGTACAAACAACACTTTGACCCAGTTCCCTGAATAATTGTTGAAAGATTTGACTATTTAAAAAGACAGTGTAGCAATGGATATACAATAGTCCTCATTCTTAATTTTTTTTAAACTTAAGATTTCAAGCAAGACCTTCCAAACAACAATTTGCACAATTCCAGTAAATCTTTTGTTCACCTTGAAAGTTACAATACTATACTTGGGTACACACACCTTTGATCCGTCTGTAGAGTTGTAGAGGAAAGTAAGCGAACATTAAACAGTTTCATAAAGTAGGTCACACCACAGAGGTTGCACAATGGGTAAAATGAGATCTGTTTCTTTACGAGAGGAAACATTAACTGTTGCTGCACCACAGATACAATATCTTGTTGGGATATGATCTTGCCGACTCAGGGCTTCAAATGTCCTCCTCTCCGGTTTCCCTAGCTCCACCATCCATAAACTTCAACTCATCCAAATCTATGCTGCTCGCCTCCTCGCAAACTCCATATGTCCCAGCCAGGCTCCTCTGGCAGATCGATTTCAAGGTCCTCACCTACAAATGCCTTCCCACTTAGTATCTTTCTATAATAATAATAATCCTTGTATTTGATATAGCGCTTTTCACGTCTTCTAGACGTTTCAAAACACTTCACAGAATATGTTGTAAAGTGAATTGACCGTATTTTTGTGGGCGAAACACAGCAGCCAATTGCGCACAGCAGTGTCCCACAAACAGTCGTGGATCAAAAATGACCAATTTATTATTGTTTTGTTTTGGAGGGATTATGCTTTGGCGTGTGGAGTAAGGAAACTTTCCCTTGGGAAAGCCTGGAATTGTACCCAGGTGACTCATTTGTAAGGTGAGTGCTCTAACCACTGAGCTACAGTCTCCTACGCCACTATCACCACCCCCTTCGTTGGTTAACTCATGCTTGCTGCATGTCCCCCGCCCTACCATTGATTGCTGAGCTTTCCAACTCTACACCTCTAACCTCTGGAATTCCCTCCCTCAACCACTCGTTCTCAGGCTTTCTCCATCTGTCTTCAGGTCCTGCCATAAAACCGCCCCCTAATCCCCATGTGAAATGAATTGCATTAAAGATCGATCTCAGCATCTCACCCACCTTGCGTGATGTCCAATGAAACACTTTGTGGTGTTTTCATGTTATAAACACGATATCAAATGCAAGGATCATTTTGCTTGTATGCGCACTGGTTCATTATTTGCATTGAGCCAATCTCAATCAGTGTGGATAATCAGCTCTTTATTGTATCAATGTGTTCAATAATAAATCAATTGTTTTGTTAGTATTTCACTCGTTCCAATGTTCCAAAATAACACACAATTTTCACCAAATTAATCTTTTTTGTGTCAAATCTTGCCTCATTAAATTCAACCCAAAGAATAGACGCTGAAAAATACCTAGGTTTTAATTTTTATCCTTACACACCTTTGACCCGGTCTCCCCTTCTTCCTTCATCTCCATCATTCAGAACTCTGCAGCCTATGTACTTTCCTGCACCAGGCTCCCTGACCCTATCACTCGTATCCTTGCCTGGTTCCACTGGCTCCCCATCACTCAAGACAATACAGTTGAAGATCTGGGTACTCACCTTAAAAGTTCTGAATGGCTTTGCTCCTCGCTACCTCTGTGATCTCCTAACCCCCTACCAATCTGACCACTCCCTCCGCTCAACAGGCTCCGGCTTTCTTCATGTCTCCTGCCTTGCCTGCCCTACTATTGGCTGTTGGGCCTTCAGCTTCTCTGCCTCCACCCTTTGGAACTCCATCCCACAAGACCCTCCTCTTCGACCTTGCCTTCGTCACCCTCCTACCCTTATCCTCCATGCCCTCCACCTGTCCTGATCCCAATCACCAGTTTGGTTACAGATCCGACTGTCCAGCGCCTTGGGATGTCCTCCTGACGTGAAAGACGCTCTGCAAATGCAATTTCTTGTTGCGGAAAAATCATCTTTCAATTTATACCAATCCCTTTATCGTTTGATAGTTCACGGATTTACAAGGCTAAGTGGACATAGCTATCAGGAGTCCTGCAGCTCAGTGGTTAAGAGCACTCGCCTGACAAGCGAGAGGACCCGGGTTTGATTCCCGGGCGGGTCGGGTCAGGGCGAAATGTTGGGCAAGTTGCCTTACTCCAGACGCCTCTGTTGACCGAGCAGTAAATAGGAACCTGGTTGTTAGTCGATTGGCGGATCGCGTTTCCGGGGGTTACAACCCCTTCAAAATAAATAAATAAATAAATAACAAAGCGGTCGCTTGAATCCACGGCCGTTTGCGGGGACGCTGCTGCGCCCAAGTGGCTGCCGCGTGTCGCCCACAAATGCATACCATCGGTTCACGTTACGCTGTGTTCTGTGAAGCGCTTTGGGACGTCTTGAAGACGCGACGAGGCGCTGCGTCAAATGCAGGGTTTATCATCATCGTTATTGTGACTGTCATCTCCCACACACAGCCATGACGGGGTCAACGCTGTGACTGACGTACGCGGGTGACGTATGGAAGAGGTGGGGGCAGTGACGCGTTGGCCGACGACGTGACCCGGAAGTAGTTACCCCGGCCCCCGGGGGTGGGGGGCGGCGGCGGCGCGGATGATGATGATGACGTCACAGAGAGGACGCCATTTTGACAGCCGCTCCGCTCGTGTTTGTTGTTGGGCACCGAGTGATTTGAGTCAAACGGCCCCGGGCGGCGGCGGCGCCTCGCGACACCACCACCACCACCACCGGCAGCACCGGGATCAGACCCTTCACCACTCCTTACTTCTGTTTTACATCTCCTGCCCGTCACCGCCTCCGCCTCCGAGATGTTTTCCCTGTCGACGTTTCAGCCGCAGGTACGTGTGTGTGTGTGTGTGTGTGAGACAGGCCCCGGGGAGGCGGACATGTTGTGGTCGTGGAGCCTCTCTCTCTCTCTCTTTCTCCCTCTCCCTCTCTCTCTCTCTCTCCCTCCCTCCTCGACGCCGTGTCCCGGACCCCGAAATACCGAACCGGGTCGTCGGAAACCTATCTGTGAGCGCAAAAAAAAAGAGAGAGACGACGCCGAGGAACTTCCAGAAAGTTCTAGACGAGCCGAGCGCCCTTACACTTCCTCCCCCCCCCCCCCCGCGTGAGGTTATGTAATCGGTCCCGGAATCGCGGCCTCCTCTTACGGTGCCGCCAGGCTCTGTGTTAGCAGCACGTCTGCCTCCCTCGCAGGGCTGGCGGGCGGACCTGTACACCCCCCCCCCCCCCCCCTCCCCGGAGTGGTTTACTGTATATTTTGTGGGTTGTTTGGTGACCAGTGGCACATAGCGACATCCCACAAACAGCCATGGAGCGAGAGACCCAATTTAATTGGGGGGATTGTTGGCCTCTGGGAGAAACTCCCTTCCCTTCTTTTAGCGCTGTGGTATCGTTAACATCCACCAGAACGGGGCAGATGCTTTACCGTTTCATCCGAAGAACGAGGCGTCCGACAATGCAGCACATTCCCAGCACAACATTGGAGTGTCAGCTTGGACTGTGTGACTCCCAAGTCGCGACCTGGGGCTTGAACCCCAACCGTCTGACTCGGAGGTGAATACTTTACCACTGAGCCAGACTGACGCACAATATTTCTTGGGCACTACATTTAGCCAATTGTTGATGTGTGAGTTTCTCATGAGCAGATGTAATAAGAGCATAAGTCATCCGGGATCCGTTACTGTGGAGGGCGCCAAACAAATCCAAGTTGTTGTTGTTGTAATCCGAGAAGGTTTTGCTATAAATTGGTTAAATTAGTAGGCCTATTGAAGTGTAATCTTAAGGATTACATAAACTCAGTAGCCATATGTTCTGCAGGTTCAAGATATTGTGAACTTGAGGCTGTTTCTGAATCCTGAGGGCAATCATTTAACGTGGAGCCAAATTCAGTTCAGAAATGATTTCAATTGGTTTGTGTAAATACAACAACAACAAAGTTACATTTCTGTAGCGCCTTTCACGTCAGGAGGACGTCCCAAGGTGCTGGACAGACAAGAGATTCAGACCTGAGCTGGGGGTCGGGGTGGGGGAGGGTGGAGGACGGGGGGGGAAGCAGGGAGATCGGAAGCACAGTCGAAGAGGAGGGTCTTGAAGGTAGCGAGGGGGGTGGGGGTGCGAGATGGAAGTGCTGCGGGATGGAGTTCCAGAGGGTGGGGGCAGGGTGGTGGAAGGCCAGCCTAGCCTGCCAATAGTGGGGCGAGCAAGGTGTGGGACGTGAAGCAGGCTGGAGCTCGCTGAGCGGAGGGAGCGAATAGAATGGTAGGGTTTAGGAGCTTGGAGAGGTAGAGGGGAGCAAGACCGTGGAGGGCTTTGAAGATGAGGACCAGGATCTTGAACTGTATCCTTTGTGTGATGGGAAGCCAGTGGAGTCGGGTGAGGATGGGGCTGATCGGGTTGCGGAGCCTAGTTCGGGAGAGGACACGGGCTGCAGAGTTCTGGATCATCTGCAGCCTGTGGAGGGAGGAGTTGGGGAGGGCGACAAGCAGTGAGTTTGCATAGTCGAGTTTAGATTGATTTATGTTGTGGAGTCCTGTAGCTCAGTGTTTAGAGCACTCGCTTTGTAAGTGAGAGACCTGGGTTCAATTCCCGATGTGAAAAGCGCTATATCAAATGCAAGGATTATTATTATGTTAAATAATTTAAATAATATGACCATTCAATTTGACTGAATTGTATGGAACATATTAAAACATAGAATGTTCAGGATTGTAAAAGACTGTGATATTCCACCTGATCGGTCCAAAAGTTTAAAATCTTATTCTATTTTCTTAATCCCTCAATTGATTTCTTAACTCAACAGCTATCTATCAAACGACTGTTTATGGACACTGCCGTGCGCAGTTGGCTGCTGTGTTTCATCCAGAAAGTACAGTCAATCCACTTTACAAAAATTCTGTGAAGCTCTTTGAGACGTCTCAATGACATGATAAGGCGCTATATCAAATGCAAGGATTCTTATTATCTAAATATATATATATTACACATATATGTATTACATGCAAGTTGTCATTGTTGCTCTACTTCATACATTCAACACTACAAAGGCCTGATTCACTCTTCATGGTAAAATATTCAAACAGATTACCTTTTGTGTAGAGAAATACTCCGTGGTGTCTATCCTTGAAAATTCTCTGGGACACCTGGAGAAACTCCCTTCTCTTTTCAAATGTATCATGGAATCTTTAACGTCCACTTCAGCAGACAGATGGGACTTTGCTTTAACATTACACAAAAAAAGCACCTCCAACAATGCAGGTGTTGGAGGTAACCCTGGCACTATAATTGGAGTGTCAACCTGAACTATGATTCCAAAGTTCTGGCTTTGGGCATGAATTTACAATTTTACTGAAATTTGAGTCACGGTGCAGAGCTTTTTTTAAAAAAAAGCCCTCCTGGTCTTTATTTAATACTAAATACCAAGGATTATTGGGAGAATAGTAGGTGGAACAATTCTAAGAACTTCCAAATCAAATTGAGAACCTCCAAATTGATTAACTGTGAGATCAAAGTGAAAACATCTATTGAACCCTCAAATGGTTTATCACTGCAACATCAGTGCAATCTCAATTCCGCTGACAAATTATGTATGTTATAATGCAGACAAATGAAAAATCTCTTCATGTTGACCGTATGTTTGATCTTGCCTGAAAGATTTTTTGGCAGTGGGTTTCCCTGGATATAAGCCAATTTAAATTTCTTGGTCAAAGATTAAATTTCATGTAATTATTACAAGTTTGCTGGAATTTTATCTGAAATAGGTTACTAGGAATTGATATTTACTCTGTATTATCAAAAAAAANGTCCTAATCTCTCACAGACAGAAAAGTTGGCAATATGACAGTATTTTTAAAAGTGCTATGTGAAAATAAATGTGACATATCAAGGCTGTATGACTGTACAATGTGTTAGTTGGTTATTTTGAGTGCCTTCCTGCCTCTCCGACCAGCGCCTTTGACGTCCTCCCAGTGTGAAAGGTGCTATTACAAATTTATTGTTGTTGCTTACTTCACAATCTACCACTTGACGCCTCCACTTGGCTGGCTCCGGCCTCCTGCTTGTCCCTTGTCCTCTTTGCTCCACCATCGACGGTTGTGCTTTCAGTCACTATTCCCCAAAACTTTGGAACTCTTCCCCACAATCCCACTACTTTGCCCTCTCCTCCTTTATCAAGTCACGCAGTGCTTAAGGTGAGCCCCCCCCCCCCCCCAGGTTTGGCACTGTTAAGCGCTCCAAGATTCTACCGGCGTGAAGGGCACTATATAAATGCAGGTTGTTGTTTTGTCTCGAGCTAGCAAGCAAAAGCTCAGATGAATTTGCAGTGTTGTGGAATGTACAAACTTTTGGGATTGTCTTGCATTCTTGTTTCTGCTTGAGTTGCCTTTGCTGCACATCATTCCTGTCTGTTGAAAAATATGATAATTGGTGTGCTTTTGTCTTGAGCTAGTAACAAATCTCAGATGAATTTGCAGGGTTGAGGAATGTACATGTGTTTGGGATTCTTTTGATTCTAAATTTCCTTGTGTTGCCCATCATTCCCTATTTAGTGCAGAGATATGGCCTGACCTATGCCAGTATTACTTTATTAACATGTACAAGGTGCACTGTTGTGGCTTACTGTGGCACCATCCTGGTTACCACTCAAACAGTATAAAAGCAATAAAGTATAGTTTAGATTCACTAGAAAGTTACCCGTGATGAAAATGTTCAGTTATGAAAAGAAAAAACTTTTTCATTAGGACTGAAAAAAATCAAAGTTTTAAAGATTACAAAAGGATGATGGGGTAAATTATTTCCACTGGTTAATGAGTCAATAATAAGACGCGCATTTAAAATCATCATAAAAATGATTAGAGTAAGGTTAAATATTTCTTCACACTAACGGTATTAAACGTGCCACAAACCATATTTGAAACAGAATTTACATATTATTTGGAAAGTAAATTATGTTTGAAGAGGAATATTAAAGAGAATTAGAGTGAGTGGGGTTAGATTAGTTTATGAAGAGAAAAGCACCAGGGCTGAATGACATGTTTTTTGTGTATCATTCTTTGATTCTATAAACACCTCCTCCAGCTAACAAAGTAAAAATCAGAAATTCGGTGTATGGAAATGCCATTTCACTCCACAATGTGTGTGAGTGACTCAGTATGTTGCATTTTGGAGAATGGGACATAAAGTACTTGCAACATTGGTAATGTTTTTTCTCTCACTTTAATAAGTTAACCAAAATGTTTACTTTCTATCCCACAGAAGGAGCATGTTTAGTTATTGTGCAATGATTATTTTGTTTAGTTATGAAAGAATATGTAATTTATGGAAGACCGAATCTAACTACAATATGTATTGCATGAATATTTTATAGGTAACTGTCCCCCTCAGCCAGCTGATCAGCACCCTCCATTCCTTTACAAGTTCAGCAACCTCAGTCAGTTCGGCATCTATACAGTGTCTACAACGCGAAGTGTTTCAGGAGCGTGATGCACAAAGTAATGAGGTAACATTAATTCCAGAAATTGAATTAAAATCTAAAAAGCTAGAGAAGATGGTTATTCCATGTGTTAGTTTCTCCTCCCTTGAAAAGTCCTTTTTAAAATAATCCCTTTAAAAGCTCTCAAGCAATCTATTAGATGTAAAAGAGCTTCCATTTCTTCAAATGGAAAATTCAAATGGGGCAATTAATAACTGGAACTTCAACATGGAAACACAAACTAGTTAACTGTGTGAAAACCTCAAATTTGAGACCAACACCTTCCAACCAAGTATAATTTCATTTTTCGGTCCCTATTTGGCTACTTTTGAAGGTCAAATTGCTTTCTAGCACAATTGTTAGCTATCTGCATTTGTGACAAATTGGTTATAACTGAATGTTTTAAATTGGAGGGTAGATATTTAAATGTTGTGAAGGATGATGTCCTTCAATTCTGTGCCTTTATTTGGTAGTTTTTTTTTAACGAGCCTTGGAAAACTGGCTGAATTTAAGAATGTTTAAAAGTTCTATGTATGTATGAACACAATGTTAATTTTAAGGCTATGAAATAAGGAATATGGGCCTCAGGCCTTTACACTGGCATCAGGCTACACAAAAATTGAATGTGTCTTTTCAATGTGATGTTTAAATGTTTTGCCTTCAGCCTATGTTAAACCTGAGGGAATTGGGACTGTCCGATTTAAGATCCAGCCAAGTTGATGAATTGGTCAACAGATTGCTTCCCTGTTTAACTTCAGTTGAAGAAACCACTGCTCAGTCATCACAGTGGCAAATATCCCATGTTTCAGCACAGTCCTTCTTCGAAAATAAACATGGTATGAATTTTTTTTGTTTTCTCAGTAAGATAATAGATACTTTCTAGCAAAGGGAACGTTTACTTTTGGTACCCGCTCTCTGCAATAACTACCTCAATCCTTATCCCACCCCTTAATGTACCAATGTTAATTTCTCTTGTTTCCAACAGCAGCTAATCTCAAGGAATTCTTTTGTTGCACTCTTAAAAACTGGATTTTTAGTTTCCCAAATATTTCACTTTGAATCTTTAAAGTCACATGGGTGGCGGAATTTTACCTATTCAGTTTGGATTGTATTTGAACTAAAATACCAAAGGTAAAAATGAGTGTTAAACCACCAGCTCCAGTGAATTGACTGTATATTTGTGGGTGACCGCTGCAGCCAATTGCGCACAGCAATGTCCCAACAAACAGTCGTAGATTGAAATGACCAATTTAATTATTGTTTTTGGAGGGATTATTATTAGGCGTGTGGAGTAAGGAAACTTGCCCAAGGTTTCGCCCTGTCTGGAATTGAACTCGGGTCTCTCACTTGCAAAGCGAGTGCTCTAACCACTCAGCTACAGGAGCTACCTCCTTTAGGATCTCTGGGCAAGAGAATTGGGGTTTTGCATACTGTACTGATTACAAATCTAGTTTAACTATGTGGTCAGATAACCTGCTGACACTTCAGAGGCTCACATATGAAGAATGTATGTATTCTGTCGCGATACCTCATGATATGTGCTGTCAGCAGGTGGAGGGGGAACAGAAAAGTAATCCCCAAATCTTTTTTTAATTGGCTCCAAATCAGCTTGCAACCAATAAAACCCTGGATTATGTAGTAAATAAATAATTTTCAATCTCCAACATGATTTTTACATCTAAAAGTAAATTTGGGGATTCAGACCTTTTATGAACAAAATCTTAACAATGGCTGTGGGATTCAGTACCCAAATAGGCTATCGAAATTGGCCTGTAGCACTCAACAACAACTTGCATTTACATAGTGCCCCACATTGAGGGTGGTGTCTCAGAGCTAAGGAGCTTCACCATACATTTTCATTGAGTAACACATTTTATTTTTCTCATTTTTTTGTCTTCCAGGATTTTCAAGCAACATGTTCAGCACCCTGCGTGCTTCCCAGCTTTATGGACAGCATTCCAGACCACTGCACACTTTGTGCTCAAACCTCCGTCTGTTGCCAAGTACGTAGACTAAATGTTAGGTTTTCTACAAAATATTTACGTTAATCAGCTATGTGTTGAGAAACTAAAACATGATAATGTTTTAAGACTTGGAACAGAGACGTGGATTTAAGACTCTGAAGTCAAGAACAAGGCGCCTGTCGGGATCTGATAGGGTGGCTGAATCCGAAAGCGTTACCCCTTCATTTATGAAGGTAAGGAGAGGTGTTGTGTTATAATCTTCTATTCAGCTGTTTTTTTTCTTCATGGTTATCTAGAATAAACTTTCTTTGCATTTCCCTTTTAGGGTCTTCTATTGAGGGACCGAGGGCGAGAGGTTGAGAATTTGGACAGCTTGATTAAAACAAAAAATATTCCCGATGCTCATCATGATGTGTTTAAAACTGGGTTTGCAGAAGGTTTTCTCAAAGCACAGGCTCTTACACAAAGAACAAATGGTAAGTTTCTAATATTCTAGATCCAGATAGTAATTGGAAATAATTTACTAAAATTACTGACCATGAAAGGATACAGAAAGAGAATAGCCCGTCTTTCATACGTTTGTTTAGTTAATAAAGGGTGAAGGATTGTTTGAATATTTAGCTGTTTAATTCTACTTTGTGTGTGGGGGGGGGAGGGGTTGGGTGAATGAAGAAAAGAATGCAGCCAGCCTGATTTTTGTCCTTGTCTGACGCCACATTGCTCTTTTGCAGTAGGAATTGCTTGACTCGGGTTAGGATTCCCCTCCCTATCTAGGGACTGAAGCCAACAACAACTTACATTTATATAGCGCCTCTCAGCGGGGGGAGGGTTCCAGAGTGCTTGACAGTGGCGGAGCACGCCTTTTGGATCAGCTAGATCCTCTGGAGTCTGGCAGAAAAGGCATTTGAAAAGTCGATTGTAATTACTTAACTGTTGGAGTAGTTGAGATTGTCTAACCTAGCACAGTCCAGGGATTGAACCTGTGACTTTCTTTGTCACTCAATAATCAATGTGAAGATTTCTTCAACTCGGGAGGAAAAAAAACTGTAATGATCTGATTTCACACAAGTATTTTTGAACTGCTTTCTCAATATTTTCACATAAGCATGTCAATTTCACATAAACCAGGCTCAGATACTGGTGGTGCAATACTTTTCCCAGGCTGGAAAATGAGCACATTGTTGATCAAGTGTGAAGGGAGTTTTGATCTGTGTTTGACCTGTGCAATACATGATTGTCAGTGATGGATGTTGGAGGAAATAATGTGCGATTAAAAANTGTAGAATTGTGCATGAAAGAATAAATTCTAGACGCCTATGAACCTATAATCTGGTGACATACAGTAATTGGCTGGAAATGCCACCAATTTATATACTCTTGTCAAAGCATGGATCTTGTTAGCATCTTTCTCACTTTGTCCCTGTGTTTTGCAATACTCTGCATTTCTGGGAGGGGGTGGGGAGGCAAAATGGAATATCTTCTCCCAAGCTTCGTCAATTCTGCTGTGTAACAAGCAGATGGTAACTTTCTTCAATCAAGAATAAATGGGCATCTTCTTGACAACATCTTGATCTTAACAGAGTCTGAAATAGCTTGTGATTGTAAATTATCATTCTTGACAGTACTTTCATTCAACATATTTGTCACCTCACTATCCTTGTTTTTTAAATAAAATCATCTTTTTTCAACAATAAACATTACTCTTCATTTTCCTGCAGATTCCTTACGAAGAACAAGGCTGGTTCTTGTGTTTCTGCTACTGCTTGGCCTTTATGGGCTGTCGAGAACTCCATTTTTATCTGGTAAATAGATCTATAAGTTTATGCTTGATATCTGAACTTCTGTTCGTTGAAAAAATTCTTTACAGCTACTTGGGAATTTGTAACTATAAAATGTTTCATCACACCCACCTGCTTAGTCCTATTCGATATGACAGAATATTCTGTTTCCAGTGTGTTTAGAATGTTTCTTTATGTGTATTGAGCTAGTAGGTAACTCAATTGTAAGCAATATCTGTAGGTATGGTGCATTATTATCTAAATCAGTACTGACCAAACTACGGCCCGGGGGGTCGTCAAGAAGCAGCCGCCTGAACATTCGCACTAGTCTAGGTTAGTCCATGTTTCATTGGTAATCTGTTTCCAGGTTTTCCTGGATGGAATATTTGTTGATTTATGCATGAATCAAGAAATATTCAAACAAGGACATTTATTTCGTTGGCTGACCAAAAAAGATTGGCCACCACTGATTTAAGTAGTTTCAAAGCTTCATTTTCTGTTTTTCTGGCAAGCATTATTTGTGAGTGTTTAAGGTCTCTGAGGACATCAGTGAGGTATGAAAGCTGCACTTTTTAGCACTTCACAAATTGGAATTAATCAACATTTGCAGGGGTATGGGGAAAGAGTGAGTGGGACAAGTATGGTCTCACCAATGATTTATGACAGTGGCAGAATTACCCCACTATTTTGGCTTGCTGTTTATCTTTTGATACATCCCAATATCTGGTTTGCTTTACTCACTGCCACAGAGCATACTTCCAGTTATCGAAAGGAGTCCATAATCTGTTTATTAAGGAATCTTATTTTAATTTAGTACTGTTTAGACTTTTTTTTTAGAATTGGATTTTATTTTGAACAATGACCCTGCTTTCACATTGCATTGTGTTAATGCGCATAGTTTCAATCCTCGAGTGAAGTTTACGGAGATTTAGTACTGACACTTTACATCTGTCTTACCCATCTTCTGGTCTTTCCAACAGTGCGATTTCGCACAACTTCAGGACTGGATGCAGCAGTGGATCCCATTCATATGAAAAATGTTACCTTTGAACACGTGAAAGGGGTACGTAACATTTACATTGATCCTTTGAATACATTTTGGGTGATTTATATCTGGATTAATTTGTTTTCTTTTCGGAATTGCTAACAGGTAGAGGAGGCAAAGAATGAACTGCAAGAAGTAGTAGAGTTTTTGAAAAACCCTCAAAAGTTCACTGTGTTAGGGGGCAAACTACCTAAAGGTAACTATAAATTAAAATGACAGATTCAGTAATTCATATTGCCAATGTTAGCCTTGAAATATTTTCCATGTTTGCATCTAATCTTTCCAGTTAGTAATCAGTCTTTTTCTAATGCAAGGACTTGTTCTTGGTTTTCTATGAATATCTTTTATCTGATAGGGAATGTGGACTGACATTTACTACCAGAAAGCTGTAGTCTTTAGTATTTGCAGTTCAGAATTCTGCATTGTAGCTGATGAATACAGCACAACCCAATTAAATTGCAGTCGTCTAGGCAGGGGTGCGTTATGAGTGAAACACAAATGCCTGACTTTCAGGTCATCAAGTCACCAATGTCATTTCCTGCACCTTGCAAACAGCGTACAGGAAACACCGCTCATTACTTTCTGTGGGTTTTGCACAATGGTTGTTGCACTGCGCATCTGTGCTGAAAGCCCTACTGATCTCACTTTACCAAATGACATCAAGCGAAATGATGATAATCCTTGCATTTGATATCGTGCCTTATTACACTGTTGAGCCATCTCAAAGTGCATCACAGGATATACTGTAAAGTGGGATGACTGTATTGTGTGGGTGAAATGCGGCAGTCAGTTACACAGAGATTAAACAAAGAAGTGACATGAGTGGTGCTTCCTGCGCCCTGCGTGTGCAGTTGGCCTGGCCATATAATTTTAAGATGTTAGTATTTCTGCCAGCTAACTGAAACTGAAGTAACGTGCAGTTAGCAATACGAAGCTGAAGGAATTCCCTAATTATTGTAATAATAATCCTCACATTTGATCTAGTGCCTTATCACGTCTTCGAGATATCTCAAAGCACTTCACAGGATATACTGTAAAGTGTAGTGACTGCATTTTGTGGATAAAACGCAGCAGCCAATTGCGCGCAGCAATCTCCCACAAACAGTCATGGATCGAATGACCAATCTATCATTTTTAAAAACATTTCTTGAAGAGATTATTACTAATCTTCAGAATAGGAGTTATATTATGTAGAGGTGATTTTTAGAGCCTCATTAATATCATGGCAAATGTTCATTTGAGTAAGTGAGATCATACATTCTGGATTAAGCCTGAATATCTATTTCTGTTTAATCACAGGTATTCTTCTAATTGGCCCACCCGGGAATGGAAAAACTCTTCTTGCGAGAGCTGTTGCAGGTGAAGCTAATGTACCATTCTACTACGCATCAGGATCCGAGTTTGATGAGATGTTTGTTGGTGTTGGAGCTAGTAGAATAAGAAACTTATTCAGTAAGTTGTCCCAAATACATAATGAGAATAATTTGTGGAATTGGCCATTCTTGTTTTTTTCTCTTTTAGTTCTAATTCATACTTTGAATGTTTTTAGGGGAGGCAAAAGGAAATGCGCCCTGTGTCATCTTTATTGATGAGCTCGATTCTGTTGGTGGAAAGAGAATTGAATCACCCATGCACCCTTATTCCAGGCAAACCATAAATCAATTGCTTGCAGAGATGGATGGGTAAGAAAATGGGCCTACACATCCTGAGGAGTAATAGATGTCAAAGCACTTAAACAGTCAACGTTTCTTGTGAGGAGTTTGGCACAATAACAAAATTACATTTATAGAGCGCCTTTCACGTCGGGAGGACATCCCAAGGCGCTGGACAGTCAGGGGTCAGGACCTGAGCATGGGGGAGGGGTGGGAGTGAGGGAAGGCAGCGAAGTGATAGGGTGACCGAAGGCACGATCGAAGAGGATGGTCTTGAGACCGGCCTTGAAGGAGGCAAGAGAGGAAGCGAGGCAAAGGGACTGTGGGATAGAGTTCTAGAGTGTGGGGGCAGAGAAGCTGAAAGCTTGGCCACCGATGGTCGGGTGGGAGACATGGAGCAGGCCAGAGCCCGATGAATGGAGGGAGCGGTCAGGTTGGTGGGGAGTCAGCAGGTCAGAGAGGTAGGAGGGGGCAAGGCCATGGATGGCCTTGAAAGTGAGGATGAGGATCTTGAATTTAATCCTCAGGGATGGGGAGCCAGTGGAGTCGGGCGAGGGTGGCAGTGAAGGGGGTACGGAGCCTGGTGCTCAGTCAGAATTGTCAAGTGATGTGAAAGACACTATATATAAATGATATGGTATTGCAGTGTGGATCCCAGTCGTTGCACCTGTGTAACTGGCCCTCTCGCTTGCTGTTCACCCACTTTGGTTTTCCCACTAAAATGGCTGATTTGCAGGTTATTGGGTTCACTGATGTCAGTGGCAGTCATGTGCAGTAAACAGGAAGGGATATCAGCAACGCCTGATGCTCTGGAAGTCGGACTGTTTTTTAGTGCAGGAACCGGCAGCTAAGCATTGGCATAGTCGAGGCTGGACACAGTAACCAGCTGGTTGCATACAGTGCTGTGGAACCAACAGTATCAAGCCTTGTTATAGCATTTTGGAAGGGGGGGGTTCCAACCACTTTGTAATAACTAAGGTTAATCTGCTGAGGTTATTTAAAATATTTTAATTTGTAATTATAAACCAATGTGACACAATAGCTACACCTCTTCCTTGTTGCCTGGAAGCCCCCAAATCTTTGTCAGCTGGTGCCTTGGTGACCTTCATCAGAGTATGCCCCCTGGTCACTTCGGGTTTGCATTGACACTACTTCAGTTACAGGATGAGCAGTGATCCAGACAAAAGCACACTGAGTGCCTTGGATTGTTGGTTCATATCACTGGCAGAATTAATGTCCTGAAGCATCTTTGAACTTTGAATGCTTCCCTTTTGAGATAAGTTATGAATTTGTGGTGTTAGTGGAATACATTTTGGAAGATGGTACAGCTGACCCAACGCACCCAATGCTTGTCTGTTGAACACACAACACATATAGAATGTATTGCACTCTTATTAACGGCTTTTCTGTGCAAATATTAAAAGTTCCCATTTTTAGAAAAAAAATTCTTTTCCCCGTTATCAATATGTCTGCCATTATTTTGGCCGATTCCTGACTGAAATAATGAAATGGAAACATGCTTACTGGCTTACAAAAACCGACATCACACTCGGCAATGATTAATGTGGAGTTCATTGAGGCACTTTGACTTTGTCAGTAATAGGTGCAATAAAAATGCAAGTTCTTCTAACTGGCCACAAGGAGGTTTATAATACTGGCCTGATGGTATTGCTGCATTTATTGGCTGCCCTTTTCATGCAGAATCGCCAATCTCCTCATGTCTCACAGCTATGCATATTTCAGAAAAGGAAAAGCACAATAATACTACCTTATTCAATACCTTGAATGGTTTGACTAACATTTAAGCGTACTATAAACTACTTTTAATATTGTAAGCATCGGAAATCTCAATTCTGTGACATGAGTTTTGAATGTTTTAGCACTGTAGTCTTCCCTCTTTGCCAAGTCAAAAACACACAGGGATAGGATTGAGGCAGAGGAATTGTCTTGAATGCTTTGATGCTGTTACATTTTCTAAATATCTCTGCATCGTAAAATACAAAAGAAGTGGATTTATTTTTAAAATCTGACTGATTGGCCTGAAATAGAACAGATGTATCCTTAAAAAAAAATTTCCTCTTCAGTTTCAAGCCCAATGAAGGAGTCATCATAATAGGAGCAACAAACTTTCCTGAAGCATTGGACAAGTAAGTCTGCATTTAACTGTTTGTGGTATGATAGAGATTTGAATGAGATTTTAAAAAGTATTTTTTTCCTCATATATGTAAATGCATACTATTATGCAAAACTGTGTTTTAATCTATACGCTGTAGTTGGAGCCCTGTAGCATATTCGTGAGAACACGAGCCTTTCAGGCGAGAGGATCCAGGTTTGATTCCCAGGCTAGGAGAAACTTTAGCAAGTTTCCTTAGTCCATATGCCACTGTTTACCAAGCAGTAAGTAGGAACCCGGTTGTTAGCTGATTGTCGGATTGCTTTCTGGGGATAATAATCCCTTAAAAATAATAACCAATAATAATAATTCGGTCACTCAATCTACGACTGTTTGTAGGATACTGCTGTGCGCAATTTTCTGCTGTGCTTCGCCCACAAAATATACTGTCAATTCACTTTACAGTATATTCTTGAAGCTCTTTGAGACATCTTAAAGACGTGATAAGGTGCCACATAAAATGCAAGGATTAGTATAAGGATTATTATTAGAACAATTTGTCAAAATAAATCCGCAAATTTATTACAAATAAGAACAAAACGGCATTCCAATTTAATTTTGTTATTTGCGCAAAAATAAATCTTATCTCATTCTTCCAGAATGCCAATCAAATTGTTTTCTCTATCAAGCTTTTCTTAAAGTGGTTTAATACTCAACAATTAGTCATTCATTTCAGCTGCTAATTGACCTCCATGTCAATATTTATTCCCTGGTCAAGAAATATGCCGTTAACAAGTTTGAACCTCTGTTCTCTTATCTTGCCCTGTTCTCGTATCTAGCAAAGTATTGTTCCAGGTTCATTTATTGTATTCATTAACCATCTTGTACACCTCAATAAGGTCACTTATGAGATATTTATTCTTAAAGCCAATTTATTCTTAGTTTGTCTAGTTGTTCCTCATAACTGATTCCTTAACACTCATCTTGCGCTTTCCTCTAAAATAACTCAAGGCTCTAAAACTTATATTGCCAAAACGTATGCAAGCAGTATTCCCTGTGCGGATTAACCAAGGTAGGAATGTAGGAAAATGGAAATGGGAGAAGTTCATTCAGTCCACCTAACCTGTTCCACCGGTTTGTTAGATACTGGCAGATCATAATGCCGCTTCCTTTTGCCGTACTCTTTAATCGCTCATTTTTTGTGTATTTTTTCTCTTCAGTGCTCTTGTACGCCCAGGTAGATTTGATATGCAGGTAACAGTTCCCAGGCCGGATATAAGAGGGCGAATAGAGATTCTAAAGTGGTATCTTGACAAAGTTAAGGTTGATCCAGGTAAGCTAAAGATCTCTATAACGATTGAAGTTGTGAAATACGTTTGCGATGTCCTTGTGATGGGAAAGGCGTTTATGTAAATTGTATTGTAACATTACTTCTGGTGTAACTTCACAAAGTATTTTTGTTTCTGTTCCAGCGATTGACGCAGAAATAATTGCGAGAGGTACAGTGGGTTTCTCAGGAGCAGAACTCGAGAATTTGGTAAACCAGGCAGCCCTAAAAGCAGCTGTAGATGAAAAGGACCAAGTTACAATGCAGGACTTGGAATTTGCTAAAGACAAAATAATTATGGGTAAGTCAGACCATTCTGTTTAGATTTTAGTTTTATTCTGTTGCTAATTATTATCATTTTGATGTCCTTGGTATTTTGATAGAGAAGATAGAAACACAAGGTCAGGTGTGAGAAAAAGATTCTTTTGGGATGTGTTTTCATTGACAAAGGTTGTAAGAAACATATACTCAAGTTATAATCTTACTTGAAGAGGGCAATTGTTTATTTGTGGCTAACTGATGTCTCATTCCATCAGGTCCAGAGCGCAGGAGCATCGAGATTGATGAGCGAAACCGAAGAATTACAGCCTATCATGAATCTGGGCATGCCATTGTAGCTTACTTTACCAAAAGTGCTATGCCTATTAACAAAGCCACAATCATGCCGAGAGGACCTACTCTGGGGCATGTGAGTATAAAAGATTGTTGGTCTGTTTGCTTTCAAATTTATAGTTGAAACAAATTGTAAATGTTAGTTAATTTGATAGCTTAGTGCCAGTTGATTTTATTGATTGCTGATCAAGAAAATTCCATAAAAAGCTCACTCTCGCTCACTGACTAGTCCATTTCTCTGAAGAATCCAACCATTTCCTTAAAGGGAGGTAGATATACACAATACAATAAATTGCATTATTGGTATACAATACAAAAAATACTGTTTTCATTTGTATCTTATGACTAATTTAAACAATATTGTACAATATGTGCACAGCACAATAGTTTTGGTCACTAAAATCTGAGCCATAGTAAAACCAGAAATACCTATACAGAAAATATCTCGCTGTTTATAGAGATCTTCATGGCAATGGGTATTGACATTTCAGACATCCTGTCTCAAAAAGGCTTGAGGCAGGATGGTACTTTGGATTGGGGATATCTGAGTCACAAAGAAATGCAATGCCGATGGAATATCCATGGAAATACCTTTAGAGGACAAGGATATTCAAAATGACTGCAAAGTACAGCATTGGTGGCCAAGCTTTCAGTTCCTACGACCCTAACCTCTGGAACTCCTTCCTGCTTCCACTTCGTCTTGAACCTTCTCATTTTTTTTCTTAACACCCACCTCAAATCCTACTTCTTCAAACACACCGATGGCTACCTTTCCCTTCCCCTACCCACCACCCTGTAAAGTGCTCCCAAGATGTTGCCCTGTGTGAAGGCCACTGTAAAAATGCAAATTGGTGTTGTTAATAATGTTGCATGCTGGATAGATTTACCAGATTTAATAATAATAATCCTTGCATTTGATATAGCGCTTTTCACGTCGGGAGGACGTCCCAAAGCGCTTCACAGAACACACTGTAAAGTGAATTGACTGTATATTTGTGGGCGAACGCAGCAGCCAATTGCGCACAACAATGTCCCACAAACAGTCGTAGATTGAAAATGACCTATTTATTAATGTTTTTGGTTTTTGGAGGGATTATTATTAGGCGTGTGGAGTAAGGAAACTTGCCCAAGGTTTCGCCCTGCCTGGAATTGAGCTCTGGTCCCTCGCTTGCAAAGCGAGTGCTCTAACCACTGAGCTACAGGACTTCTGAAATTCAAGTTAAAATTTTTAATTCCAACTTTCATTCATGGGACTTTTCTGCCTGAGAGTCTGGAAGCAACATTATAGATAGTGAATTCTCTTAACGCCATTTAAAATTTGGTCACGTTTTATTACGATGGACTCTGAAGTCACGTAAATCAGAATAAAGATTTTTCTTGTGGTATGAAGCATACAACCAACTGTTTTACAGGTATCATTGTTGCCAGAAAGTGACCGATGGAGTGAAACACGAGCTCAGCTGCTTGCCCAAATGGATGTCAGCATGGGTGGGCGAGTAGCGGAAGAACTGATCTTTGGAACTGAACAAATTACGACAGGTTTGATTTCAGCCATGTTAATGACATTAATGAATGATATCAATGGAATGAGAATTGGTAATTTGGCCCTTTATTCGTGCTCCTCCTCACAAAGCCTATCCAATTGGAGATTCCACATACTCACAATATCTTGTGGCCAGAGTTGTGGTTATCCTGATTCCTTCCATAGACATTTGCCTCCTTCCATCAGCCCAATGCACCAAACAATATTTTGCTGCATACAGTATTTGCGCAGCTTCTAAATAACTAAAATAGAATGCTGACTTGGACTTGACTTTCTACATTTCAAGTACTATGAGGTTATTCTGAGTTTGCTTTCTCTGTCCTATTAAGCATATTTTGAAGCTCTGTGTGGCCTTTGATGTTTTTATGCAGCTTAATTAAGACCCTTAGTTTATCAAGATATTGCTGATAGCTCATGCCTCTAACATACAGCATGACAGGTAGAGTTATGAAGCTGGAGAAGATCAGAAGTGGGGAGGTTTGAGGGCACAAAGGGATTATAGTTGTGCATGAGAATCTTGAAGTTCTGTTGGGAGATGGAATAGCCTGGTGAGTGCATGTATGATTGGCACATAGGAAGGGGTAAAATGAGAGTGGTAGATTCATGGATGAGCTGAAACTTATTGATGGTGGAGTAGGAGGCCATATGCTTGGAAAGTGAGCACAGTCATCTGAGGCATCCAAGTCAATACTTACCCCATTTTCACTCATCTCCCCTTATTCCTGATCCTTGTTTAATCCCTTAGTTATTAATCCATGTTTTACCACTATTTACTTAATAACATAGGGAAACAGGAGGAGGCCATCAAGCCTATTCTAGCAGTTTATAAGATCTTGGCAGATCTTTTAATCCCAAAGCCCTGTTATTCAGCATACTCCTTAATATATCATATGATAGTTTGTAAAAGAGTCCCAGTGAATTTGGTTTGTGGGCAGAAACTAATAAGGGGCAGGTGCAAAACTAAACCATAATCCCAGAAGCCCAACTCTGTTGCAGAACAAAAGGGCGATGTAGGAATAAGCAAGAGGTGTCATCCAAATTGGAGTTGAGTGACATGATGTAAAACCACTTGTATCCTTTATCAACGACAAATCAGCGTTCAAGGTCAACCCAGAATGGAATCTGATCCACTTGATCGTTGGCTGCCAAACGCATGAACTTGTTGGTAGTTAGATGAAGACAGTGCTTACTGTTATTTTTCCAGCCTGTATAATCTACGTAAAGAGGGAAGACTGATCCACTCAACATTGTCAAAACAGTTTGCTTTTTTAAAAAAAATCCTTTGTAGCCATAGTAGTAGGATCCAGATTTCTTCCATTTATCATTCCCTGGAAATGTTTTCTGAATAGTTCTATATTTAGTCACTCATCCCTTCTAATCTCAAGCATTTGGTATAATATGGAATCATGCAAGTCTGTTGAAATATTTTAAAATTTACCTTGGATAGAATTTATGGAATTAAATGTAATGAATGTTAAAAAAGGAAAGGGGCAAAGTGGAAAATAAATGCATGCATTTTAACAAACCAATGTGCTCATTGAGATCTGTGGCTGCAATTTTCTATAATTGAGATATTGACAAATAGTATTTCTCTCTTTTACAGGTGCTTCCAGTGATTTTGATAGTGCGACCAAAATAGCCAAACTGATGGTTACAAAATTTGGAATGAGTGAAAAGGTAAAAAGGCAGTTTCTGTTGTTTTTGGAGAGGGGATTCATTAATATAATGCGGTTCATATCCTTCAAAACACACCTCTAAAATATCTGGGAACACTCAACAGGTCAGGCAGCATCTATGGAGGAAAGTGAGTTAATATTTCAGGTTGATGACCTTTTGTCAGCTATCTTAAATATCTGTGCAATTCCATCTCCTACAAGAATTTACATCAGTTTTGTTAGATTTTTGTGTTTTTATGGCAGTGATGGGAGACTGATCTTAACTCGGGATATATTTGCGAAGAGCTTTGAAACCTGTATTTTTTCACAAGATTGGTTTGGATATAGAAAGCTCTTCTGCCCATTTGATCTTATCCTTCCAGAATACCCACACATTCTTCCAGAATATGCACAAATACTGGGATTCATTGTGTTGGATACATTGCTTGGGGAAACCTGGCACCATCTCACAATATTGGTGGATGGAATCTGAGAAAATGCTTCATGGATTGTTAGCTTGTCTTTCACTACAGAATCAATATAGGTCGTCCATCTGCCCTCATTCCCACCTACCTTTAAAACAAAAGCAGTGTAAAACATTTTGTGATATCCTTCCAACGTGAATGTAAATTGCATTGTAGAAAAGGTACAAATTAGTGTCCATGTTAAATTTGGTTACATTACTATATTCAATTAATTTTAGAAACAGTGTAGTTAATAATAGACCACTGGAATATTCACCCAGCTCCATGAGTTAGCTGTACATTTTGCTGCTTTGTGTAAGTTGATCAAAACTTGATGTATAAAAAATAATTAAATTGTGCTGTTTTTTGTTAAGTCAAATGTCCATGACTGGTTTTCAGTTAATTTAAAAGACACAAAAACTTGGTAAGTACACATGATTTGTAGACTTGAAATGTGTAGACTTAAAGCTAGCTTCCAAGGTGCCATATTTCTTATTTATGAGTTTAGTTCAAGGTAACCCCAAATAATTTAATTTGTTTATTATAGCTTGGAGTCATGACTTACACTGAATCGGAAAGAACAAGTCCAGACACGCAATGTGCCATTGAACAAGAGATCAGGATACTGCTGAGGGTAAGAACATTTTTGATGGATATTGAAACACTCTTGAAATGTTTAAAGGATATATGGAATTTTCAGTTTGTGATGCGTCTGCATTGAACTTTCCTTTTTTTTGCAAAACATTCAATGAAAGTATCTTTATTAATTTCTTTATTATGGCTGTAAAACAGTCATAACTTTTATATGTAGTTATGTCAGTGTAACTACATTTCAGTTTTCAGTTTGGTTCTCCTGGCTCAAGAGTGTGGTTTATAATTGCACTTTCTCCCCAAGTTTAATTATTTTTGATATGTTTATTTTATATTTAGAAAATGGAAAACAAAAAAAATCTTAATTTTGTTGAAACTCTGCTATTGGAATAGTAATGTAATAATGGCTAACACTCTGTTTATAGTGCAGTGCTGAATCTATTTGTTTCAACAGGAGTCTTATGAACGAGCAAGGCAACTTTTGAAGACTCATGCAAAGGAGCACAAAACACTAGCAGAAGCTTTATTGCAGTACGAGACATTGGATTTTAAAGAGATACAAATGGTTCTCGAGGGAAAGAGGCTTGAATTGAGATGACCTTCTCTGGGAATAGTGACTTGATCCATGACAATTAACCTGGCTGTATATAAGTGGAAGAACGGTAGCCCCCTGAACGAATGCTCTTAAGCGGATTTATTCTAAGGGCATTGTTAATATTGTCAGTTGAGGTGAATTACGCAGTTGGAATGACCTAAAAGTTGTCCCCTGGAAATGTTTTTCACAGTAGCTTAACTGTGCCCATAGAATAAACAGATGAGTTTTTAAGTGATTGTACATTTATGAACATTTTACCCCACCCTCTTCACTCCCCACCCTGATTTGAATTTAGAAATGGCTGTTACAATGCACAATGAGTGCTGCGAGCATTGGATCATTCTCTACTATTATTTTGATATATTTAAGTTTATTTGTGCACGCATAGCTGAGATACAATTTGGTGAGCAAGAGCAATTAATACCAGATATAAGGAGATATCTCAGGGCTGCTTTCATTGTTGAATCATTCAGGTATATGTCGTGACTTGTATTTATCATTTGGATTGCCACTAGGCATTCGAGCCTTCCATTATCGTTTTCTCTATTCCAGATATTTCTGATGATAGTAACTAAAGGGGGAATTCATGCAGAAGATAGGGATGTGTAGAGGCTGTAGAATTTTTGTTTCGCTTGAATTATTACTAGCTACAAGAACTCTCATTTTGCTTTGTCTTAAATGTAAGTGGGTACTGGGCCATATGTGTAAACGCAGGAGTTGACAAATAATCACTTCCCATCTACTGTGCTGTATTGTAAGCATTGGAAACAGTACAATGTATAGAAAGCTTAAATTCTTTATTGAAGTTGTACCTTTTATTTTGAATAAGCAGTAAGGAGTTTTGAATTCAAGATTTCTATTGGCTCCTGCTAAAATAAAGAGATCTCATCAGTTTCTGCTTCTTTACATTAAAATTTCTAAAATTGAATACTGATAACACTGCCATTGCCCCAGGGGTGCTAAACATCTGCTTCAAATCAATTGCTTGAGCAATGCTGCTCAAATCGAATCACGTGTTTCATATGAACCGAAGTGGAGTTTTGAGGTGGAACGTTTTTCAGACATTTCAACTCAAAATCACACTTTAGTTCATGTGAAACACGTGATTTGATTTGAGCACTTTGGGATGTCCTCCCGACGTGAAAGGCGCTCTATAAATGTCATTTTGTTGTCACAAAACAATCAATCCAGTCGTGTGGCAGAAAACAGCATTTTCCTAACCAGGAAAACAAGTGTTAAATAAACCTTAAAACAGTTCGTAGCTTCTGAGTCAGAATGTTGTGGGTTCAAGCCCTACCTTGGGATTTGGATCTCATAAAGGCAAAGCTGATACTCCAATCCACGACTGGGATTGTGCTGCCTTGTTGGAAGTGCTGTCCTTTGGATGAGATGTTAAACTGAGACCCTGTCCACATGGACTTTAAAGATGTGGCACTATTTGAAAATCGTTTCTCCCAGTGTCCTGACCATAATCCCCCAAATAAAATTATTCACTCACTCCATGGCTGTTTGTGGGATATTACTGTACTCAAATTGACTGCCACATTTGCCCACAAAACACAGTCACTGCACTTTACAGTATATCCTGTAAATCGCTTTGGGATGTCCTGATGTGAAAGATGCTATGCCAAATACAAGTATAATTAATAAGCCTCTTGTAACAACTTGGATAAATGTACAACTGAGTGGTTGGTTCCCCAAGTGCGGCATCGTGGTTTTACACCAGATCAACAGTCAATGAGTAGGGATATGTGGGCAGGGGAATGGTGGCAATTCTCTCACACATTTCATGCTGAAATGTGTTGCCCCCAAGTAGTTTTTGGTATTTCATGAGAGATGAAACTTGCACTTGTTGGATGTCAAATGACCAACCGATGAGTGTCCTCGGTGGTGGTGGGGGGGGGGAGAGGTTAAGGGGAGTATTCTTCGACTTGAACTGGCTCCAAGGTGACATTCTTGGCAACGGACTGTCAGAATTAAGTCAACTGTGGTTGACTTGGTATCTTGGTAGCTGAAGATGGACTCAGCTTGGCTTAGTGGTCAGATTTGGAAGGGCAGACCAGTCACTGCGGATAGGGATGCTTCCCTCTCAGCTCCTGTTAACCCTGAAAGCCTTAATGATGATGGTATTTGGTTTCTGCATGTGTCAATACTCCCAGCTGATCATTAAAAATAATACAGTAATAACCCTTGCCTTTTGATATAGCGCCTCCATCGAGAGGTCTCAAACCACTTCGCGGGATACACTATAAAACGAAATGACTGTATTTTGTGGGTGAAATGTGGCAGCCAGTATACACACAGCAATGCCCCACAAACAGCCATGGAGTGAATGATCAATTTTATTTGGGGGATTTGTGGTCCAGAGCACCAGCACTATTCGCAAAGAGTGTCCTAGTCAGCTGGGTGTCTTGACAGATGCAGAAACCCACAACTATGCTAAACCAGCTTAAGAGATGGAACTTAGTGTCGGAAGCTGAGGTTGAAGCACAAAAGCATCAATGTATTTAAGAGGAGATTAGGTATGCATGAGGAGAAGGGAATAGAAACATATAGGAGAGGGGATTAGGATAAGTAAAATTAGGAAGCCACTCCTGCCCTTGCACAGTCACTTGTAATGATATACATTTACTTTGTGGCGTCCCTTTGGGCTCTATTCTTACACTTCTCCAGTTCCTCATCTACATTTCCCTTCAGGTTGACATCATCTGCAGGCATAGGGTCCACACCCACATGTATGTGGATGACTCTCAGCTCTACCTTTCTGTCTCCACTCTTCACTCAAAGATCCCTGCTGTGGAGTCAGTGGTTAAAGCACTTGGCTCGCAAGCAAGAGACTTGGGTTCGATTCCCAGCAGGGCGAAATGTTGAGCAAGTTTTCTTGCTCCACACGCCTCTGTTTACCTAGCAGTAAGTAAGAATCTGATTGTTAGTCGATTGGCGGATCGCTTTTCGGGGGTAATAATTGTTAGTATTTGTCACCATCACTGTCAAAGCCATTTTGGATCACTACTTCATCTCCCATAACTCCTCCATCCCACTCCCACCCCCTACCCACCCAACCAACCTGTATCTCCTACCACTCATGGAAAAAAAATCTTCCCTCACTCCGCTGCTCTGGAGTTATCTGAACTCCTGCCCCTCTGGCCCTCCTCTCACAACAACCTACCCTCTTCACTTGCTCTTCTCCACTCTTCCATCCTTGACTCCCTTACCCCACACACCTCACAAACCGCCTCCTACTCCATTAAATCCCCTGGTACACCAGCCTCCAATCTCTCAAAGCAAAGTCCGTAATGGCGAACACACCTGGATCAAATCACACCTAACAATCCATCAGCAGATCTGGCTAAACCATACCAAGGCCTACCACACTGCCCTCACCTCTGCCAAATCAACCTTCTACGCCAAGATAATCTTGGAGGCCAAGTTCAACCCCAGGCTCCTCTATTCCCACCACTAACTGTTACTGTCCACCTTCCCACACCTCACCCATCCTCTCCAATTCCAACTGCGATGAGATGTTGGACTTCCTCAAGTCCAAAATTGAGGGGATTCTCTCAGCTACCTCTTCCCTGTCTACCACTACATCTTCCCCATCTCCCCCTCACACCCTGGCTACTTTCCACCCCTCCCAATACACCTTCGATCCCATCTCCCTTCTCTTCCCTCACCTCCATCATCTTAAAAAATGAAGCGTACCACTTGCTCCCTCAACCCCATCCCCACTCCTCACCTCCCAGTTCCACCTTCTGGCCCCTCTTTTAACCAACATCATCAACCTCTCTGTATCAACTGGCATTGTTTCCACCCCTCTAAAAGCAACTGTCATCAACCCCAGCTTCAAAAAAACTTCCCTGGGCCCATTACTATTCTTCAGCTACCGCCCCATCTCCAACCTCCCTTTCCTTTCCAAGGCCCTGGATTGAGTTGTCACGGCCCAGCTTCACTCTTTCCTCTCCCACCATTCCCTCTATGTACCTTCCAATTGGTTTTCCGTGCTGCCCACAGCATGGAAACACCCTTGTCAAATTAGTAATGATATTCTGTCCGTCTGCGATCAGGGTTCTCTCTGCCTCCTTGTCCTCTTCGACCTCTCTACTACCTTTGACACTGTTGACCATTCTATCCTCATCCACCACCGCTTTTCTCAGCTCAACCTTCACAGACCTGCCCTTGCCTGGCTCAAATCCTACCTCTCACACTGTCTCCACTTTGACTCCACTAATGGCTTCTCCTCCAGTGCCCACACCGTCACGTGTGGTGTCCCTCAGGGCTCTGTCCTTGGCCCCCTGCTTTTCAACGTTTACATGCTCCCTCCTTTGTAACATCATCCGTGGTCGTGGGGTCAACTTCCACATGTATGTGGATGACATCCAACTTTACCTCTCCACCTCTACCCTTGACTCCAGGAGGCTGCCCTCACAGATTGCCTGTTGGACATCAAGTGCTGGATGAGAGCAAACTTCCTCCAGTTGAATATTAACAAGATCGAGACCCTCCTGCTTGGCTCCCGTCAGCGCCTCCATACCTCGGGCGCTGACAGCATCACCCTTCATGGATGCACACTAAACCTCACGGAGCCAAATGGAACCTCAGCGTCCTGTTCGATCCTCAACCATCCTTTATGCCCCACATCCGTGCCATGACCTGCTTCTCCTTTCCCCACCTCTGAACGTTTTCCTGCAAAAAGTAATTTTGAGGTTAATATGTAAACACTTCTTTCAATAATCCAGACAATTGCAAACATCATTAAAACATTTGTTTCATTAAAGCAATCACAAAGACATGCAGTTTTATGACTCATTATTGCAGTATGTATCAATACATGCAGTATTCCCATACCAGATGTGCTGTTTGGAAGGTGCAGAGGTGGGTGCTTTTGATTAGTTTTAGAACCGATGTTGCAAAACAATTTTGAGGCAATGTGCCCAAAGATGTGAGGGTCTGGCTGCTGGACCAAGAGATGGAGACCTTTAGACAAATGTATAACTGTGAGAAAACTCTGGTTCTGTGCAGCAGACTGTGGGTGAGAGGACACAGTGTCCATAAAGACCAGTGAGAGACAACCTGTGGTCCAGGGGCCGGAAGTGGCCCATGGGGCTGTCAAGAAGTGGCTCCCAGAATCTTCGTACAAGTCTGCGTAAGTCCGTGTTTGATTGGCAGTGTGTTTTAATTTTTTTCTTGACTGAATATTTCTTGATTATGGCATAAATCAAGAAGTATTCAATCAAGAACATTTTTGTTGTTGATTGAATACCGACCATAAAGTATTGGTCACCACTGCCATAGTCTCTATGTCTCAACAACAACAACAACAACATTCGATTTATAGAGCGCCTTTCACGTCGGGAGGACGTCCCAAGGCGCTGTACAGTTGGGTCAGGACCTGAGCAGGGGGGAAATGGTCAGGGTGAGGGGAGGGAAGGGAGGGAGCGAGGAGGGGGTAGAAAGTCGAGAGGGGAGCTGAAGGCACGGTCAAAGAGAAAGGTCTTGAGACCGGCCTTGAAGGAGGAAAGGGAGGAGGCAAGGCGAAGGCACTGGGGGATAGAGTTCCAGAGCCTAGGGGCTGAGAGGCTGAAGGCCCGGCCACCGACGGTAGGGCGGTTGGGGTGGGCGATGTGGAGCAGACCAGAGCCAGAGGAACGGAGGGTACGGGCAGGTAGGGGGATAGTAGGTCGGAGAGGTAGGAGGGAGCGAGGCCGTGAATGGCCTTGTAGGTGAGGATGAGGATCTTGAAATCGATCCTCTGGGGGATGGGGAGCCAGTGGAGGCGAGCGAGGGTGGGAGTGATGTGGTCCCGAAGCCTGGTGCGGGACAGTACACGAGCTGCAGCGTTCTGAATGACCTGCAGTGTGGAGGGAGGTGCCGGGAAGGCCGACGAGGAGAGAGTTCCCATAGTCCAGCCTTGAGGGGATAAAGGCGTGGACCTGAGTTTCAGCAGCGTGAGGGGTGAGGTAGTGCCGTAGTCTGGCGATATTCCGGAGGTGGTGGAAGGCGGTGCCAGTTGTGGCGCAGATATGAGTTTCTATGTGGACACTCTCTTCACGGTCACTAGGTGGCGTTTTGATACATGATCAAAAAAGTGCCCCTCAACAGAGAAGATAAACTGATCAAATTTAGTGTTTTATCCTCTTCTGGCACTTATGCCACAGGGGAGGTTCTATAGGACACCGAGTAGGTAACTGATGAAAGTAATATCTCATTTGAGCAAATGGTCCTTACAATGTTGTGGATTTGCATGCCAAACCTCAAGAGAACAAAATGAGTGGTCCCACAAAACAAAGTGTACACATTGAATTGGATGCAATTTGCATGCATTCAGCGGATTACTTCCCAGTTAGTGTCTCTGATCTAAACTATGGGAAGACGTTGTACTGGAGCAAAAGTGTGATTGGTGGGCACAATCTCGTGGCTCTAGACTTCAGTGGTACAGTCACTGCTGTTGGCAGTGATGTGAAGAGTTGTAAAGTGGGAGATCATATTGTTGCATGTTACCCGGTTCCTGCAGCTTCAAATGTCAGCCTTAACTACAACTGCACTTATATAGCACCTCCCACACAGGGTAGGGTCCCAGAACGCTTTATTCTACAGCAAACTCATTTCTTACTTACCTTGTCCACTATAGGCGAAACCATGGGCTTGTGGAGCAGTTGTAAATACACTCAGTTGTAAATAATGCATAAATTAACATTGCTGCCCCTCCCTTTAGTTATAAGAAATTTACATTTATGCGTATTCTGGTGAATGATGTTTATTAAACACGTACCACTCAAATGACTGTTATCTGTGGCTTTTAGCTTTGGACTAATATGAAATTCATTTTGTTGCAAAGTCTAATAGAATAAATATTGTGCATTCAGTTACAGTGAATCATTTCAAAATCTTACATTACAATCGGGAAGCTGAAAAAATAATCAGATATCTAATCGGTTACCCTGTAAATCTGGACGTGTTGTTACTGTTGTAAGATTATATTTGTGATAATTACTGCTTTTAAGGCTTTTAATTAGTCTTTATATAATTTTTAGAATGTAACCAAACACTTATAATCTTTTTAGTATAGTATTTCTTAGTTACTAGAGCTTGGACAAGGTTGTTTGTTTTAATGACTAGCTTAGGGCTCCTGAGGGGGTTCATGTGCTAATTAGTGTTAGCAAAGGTAAAGATATATTAGTTTGACTCTGGCTGAGGTCAGGCTCTGATAACATTCTCTCGTTTGGTTCCTGGTACATGTCAACCTCCTATCTGAGATTGAGAAATCGGCTTATCTCAAGACTAAGAAACAGGGAGCTGGCAGACGCCTCCCAAAAGCTGTCAATCTTCTTCTGATTGCAAAACAGTCGCTGGCAGCTTGAGAAGTGGGGCTTTTCTCAGAGGAAAAACTAGAGAAAAAGGCGGAGAAAATGTAAATCTGTTACAAGGGGAAGCGGAGATAGAAACACTTAAAAGAGAAATGTAAGTTTGGAATAGTTATAATAAATAATAATATAGTTGAAGTCGTTGTAGAGGGTCGGCACTTCCCAGTGGAATCAACATTGATTTTACTGTATGTACGGTCTCAGTTTTAAGAATAAATTGAGCAATTTGTATTGCTTAATAAACTTTGGATTATTACACAACCATATCAGTCGTCTCCATCCGAATCTCAGCGGAGGTGCTTTATCTATTGTCTGTGCTTCCTTCACATTTTCTTTTTATAAATGGTCAATGTTTAAGTCAATGTACATTGTGGTATTGTTTTCATTTTGATTTTTTGCAAACGCACTGGTAATAACTGGTATTCCATTCAATAATTGCTCTGTATCAGATACATGTGTAACAGGCACAATAAAGGTGATCATCTGCTAAAAGCACAAAGCATGATCAAAGTATTTTATTTATACTTTTTAAATTACAAATTTAAATTAAATGACAATGTAAAATATGAAACCAACTAATCTACAATAAGCAAATCATTAACACAGTGCTAAAGATTGGAACAAAGTAGAAAAACACTTTATGTTAATAAAACTAAAGCCATCCTGCATGATGAATGATCAACCAGTGACTGTCCTGGTGGGGTGGGTGATCAGGGTCTCATTGGGCCTCATCTGTCTGCAAAATAATGTGGTAGGAAAATTGGAATTGAGTTTTTCCCTGTGTGACAGTCTTGGTAGTCTGGTTACTTAGCTAGGTGGGGTCAAGGTACTCTGTAGCACAGTTGATGACAGACTATCCAGTCTGGCTTGCCAGTAGGATGTGGAAAGTCAGACTAGTCACTGGGGGTAGGATTTCTTTCCACTCATCTGCAAGCCCAAACTCCAAAAAGTGGGATGGTTCTATGTGAACATACAGGCGATATAGCGAGAAGTTTGACAATCAGTGTGCAATGATAAGCTGTGCAGTTTGACCAAGTTAACTTTCTAGAGTAACCTGGGATTCTGTGATCTTCTGGAAGCACTTTATGGGATCCCCAACAACAGCATTTATATATTAAAAANTTATATAATAAAAGCACCTTGCACATTGGGAGGACATCCTGAAACCTCTTGCCAACCTCCACTTGATATTTTACGGAATTTGGTATATAATAATAGTAATCCTTGCATTTGATGTATCACTTTTCATCTCTTCGAGACATAAGCAGGGTGTGTTCCATTTTAGACAAACAGAAATGTCTCTGGGTATGTGACATGTTTATGTGGAAGTCTATGTCTGGTTTGGATGATCTTAAGCATGGCAATGGGTTTACACGACTCGGGCATCTGACTGACCCCCCCAAAAAATGTGTAAAGGATCCTCTCCTTCCTGCTCAGTGTTCCTCTTTATAAAGCTCTTCAAGACATCATCCTGTATAGGTAGACCTGCTATTATAGGGCAGCCCTAATGTTGCATGCCTCATCATCGGGCAAGTCTGCTTCATTGATCTTCTGCACAACTCTGCCATTCTCAAGCTCTTACCTCCAGATCCAGAAATGCCTCTTAACCCTTCAAGTCTCCCTGGTATAGCGAGCACCTCGGTTCCCTCAGTCCAGCACTCATGTAGCGCTTTAAATCTGACCTGACAGTCCTTTGCTAGATTTGGCTGGACCACACCAAAGTCTACTGCTGTGCCCTCGCCTCAACCAAATTGGTTTTCTACTCCAAGATCATCCTGGAAGCCACCACCAACCACATCCTCCACTCACCCTCATGTGCTCCCTCCATCCTCCTCTCCAACTCCAAATGTGAGGAAGTGATGGACTTCATTGGTTAAAAGATTGAGTGGATTTGCTTGGCTGCGTCTGCAACTCCCTTCCTCCTAACCTTTGCTTCCACACGTTACACCTGGTCTCTCGCTCATCCTCTCCATCCTTGTCCCTCTCCTTCCTCATCCTTCCCCTCATCATCTCTCACATGGAATCCACCACCTGCTCTCTTGATCCCATCTCACACCATCCTTGGTTACACAACTTTCCCATCTCATGTCTTTGCTAGTTAACATCATCAATGTCTCCACTTGCACAGTGCACCTCCTTTCAAAACCACTGTCATCAATCCCCTTCTGAAGAAATCCTCATTTGACCGTTCCATACTCTCCTGCTACTCACCCATTTCCAACCTACCCTTCCTGTCAAAGGTGTTGGAATGAGTCCTTGCTTCCCAATTTTGCTCTTTCCTTTTCTGACTATTCTCTCTTTGAATCCCTCCAAACAGGCTTTCACTCTACCCATAGCATTTGGACTGCCCTGGTTAAGGTCACCGATGATATTTGATCCACCTGTGAACAAGGCTCCCTTTGCTTCCTTGTTATTGACCTTACTGCCGCCTTTGATGTCATTGACCATTCCATTCTTCTCCACAGTGTCTCCTTCTTCCACGGATCTGTCCTTTCCTTATTTTACAATTTTGTATTCCAATGGCTTCTTCTCCAAACCCCTCACAGTTACATGCAACGTTTCTTCGGGCTCTATCCTGGATCATCCCCTTTTCATCATTTACATACTCTCACTCAGTGAAACCATCTGTAGATTTGAAGTTCCACACGTGTGCAGGTGACACCCATCTCTAGCTTCTGCCTCTAACATTGATTCCAGAACTAATGCAGTCGATTGTCTGAAGACATTAAAACTTGAATGAGCTCCCTGATTGTAAAGTCTATTTCCCAGGATTAAAAGTGGCATTTCAACTCTGCACATCACTAAAAGAAGTTGGTTTCCTGTATTTGTTTTAATCAATGATATGCCTCAAGCAACAACCGATAAGCAGAAACAGCAACATAAGGAAAATGTTATGAAATGGCACAGATTTCACTCCTGCTGGGTAGAAAAAAATGACAATATTTAGAAAATATTGTGCGGGGGAATTTAGTGCTAATTCATGCACAAAATTATTTCTATGTCACATTGATTTTCTCAAGATTATGGTCTAAAAATGATAGTAGTATTATGTATTTCAAAAAATATAAAATACTAAAAAAAAGTCAAAGTTATTACTAGAAACAATCTGGATCAATCATACCAGCTGCCATGAGCTCTCGGATTTTAATCTGATATGGAGTAGCTACGGGAAAATTATTTGGTATCTGAAGCTCATAGCTTCTCTGACTCACAATTATACAACTTGCCATTCCATTTGGTGATGGATTTATTTTGTCAACTTTTCGCTTGCTGCTCATTCCAAAAAATGTCAGAAACACCGGCATAAATACGAGGCCATGAATTGCACCAAACAATATGACAAGAAACATGATTTTGAAAAATGTCCGAAATATGTAAATGTTTGCAGCAGCCAACACAACAACACCCAGAATAGTGGAGAGCGCCCCCTGGATAATGGGATAGCCAAGAGTGTACAATGCTTCGATGGTACGTTCATTGGCACTTGCTTTCTCATTTGAAACAAATGCATAGGAAATATGGGCTGTGAAGTCAACTGAAAACCCAATACAAATAACCAGATTAATCATAGATATGGAGTCCAGATTAACATCCCACAGAGCCATGAAACCAGCCACACCAGCTAAAATAGAGGCGACAGCTAATGTCACCCACACAGAACAAATTGGATTCGGAATTAACAACAAGGCAACAACCAGCATTGCACCTGCTGCCACAGCCACATTCTGTATTGTGTTGATCTGTATAACAAGATATTGATCAAAGTAAATGAACGCTGAATGATACACTTGTAAAGGGATTGTACAGCTCTCGGCCAGATCTCTCAGTTCAGTCATCATGTTTTTTTCGGCAATTGAGTCATTGACATTTTTGGTCTGAATAAAAAACCGTGATGCTGTTATGCTTTTATTATCTTGTGAGAGTTCAATATCTTGTTGAAACAAAGGGACAATCTTAAACAATTTAGGTAAATTTGTTATGAAGGAATCAGACGCCGTTATGTCAATAGACATCAGTTTAGAAATGTCAATGTATGTTCGAAGCCAAGACTCTGATAGCTCTCTATCTACATAAATGTTATTTTCAAATTTGCCCATACAGCGTTCAATTTCAGTCTGAACACTGGTGTTCCAATAGTCCACTGATTCTGAGACTGATACCATGACCCGAGGTCCATATTGTGAGAAAAACATATCTTCATGGTCATAGAATTTAATCACATATGAATTGTCAGTGGCCAGATTTCTAAGATCAAATCCTTCCTGTAACTGGAAACAGCCATAGATACCACCTGCCAAATACCCTGCATACAGCAGTACCACAAATACCTTGGTCCATATAATAGTGAGGAATGGGCCATAATATTTCTTAAAGAAGAGATAAATTGGATGCTCTGTTTCAGCACCGGACATCTCATCATACTCCCCACCAACACAGCACATTCCATAGAATTTCGATTCTCCTGGTTGATGGTGCATTTGAATCTTCCTGAAAGTCAGCCAATGCCTGTTACTGTTTTCTCTTCTCCCATTCAGTGCCAGAACCGCCCCAAAAAACGTAATGTTGTAAATGAAGCAGAACAAAACGGTAGTACCTGTATACAAGCAAAATGACTGCACAGATCGAAAAGGTGTCATGACACCAATGTAAAAGGCTATCACATCAGTCAGAGTCGTTATGGTAATGGAAGAAGCAGCTTCAGCATATGTGGCTGCCATGCGATCTTCGATTTTAGCATGAACCTTTGTCTTCTGCCAACTGGAGAGCATAATGAACATGTCATCAACACCAATACCTATAGATAAGAATAACAAATAATCAGAGCCCCACTGAGTAGAGAGAGTGGGATTTGGAAATACAACATCAACAAGTTCCTTGAAATTCTACTAATTTAAAGCATGAAATTGTATCAGAGCCCACATTTCTTATTTCTTTTAATAAATAATACTAATAATCTTTGCATTTGATATAGCATCTATAATATTTAAAGTCTCAAGGTACTTTATTGTTGAATGTATTATGTATTTCTAGGTAGCCATGGAAGCCATCTTATTCACTGCACTGTCTCGCAAGCAATTGATCTAGAGAATTGCTACCGGAATACTGGAAGACTCTCCTTTATCTTTTCAAATACAGTCATGGTTTACTTACTATCAGGCAGAATGGAGCAGAAGGGGCAAGCCTGAATATATAATAATTCTTGCAATTGATGTCATGCCTTATGATGTCATTGAGATCTTTTAAACAGCTTCACAAGATTTTACTGTAAAGTGTAGTGACTGTAATTGTAGGCAATATGGGTCAAGCTGGGGATCTGTGGCAACTTAGAATTGTAGAGGCCTCAGTCACGTTTCCCTTGCATAAATTCCCTGACTCTGAGCGGGGGTGGGAGGGGAGAGGAAACTGTAAGTACAGTCGAATATGAAGCCTGCTTCACATCCCCCGCCTTGCTCACCCCACTATTGGCAGGCGGGCCTTCTGCCACTCTGTCCCCACCCTCTGGAACTCCGTCCCACAGTCCCTCCGTCTTGCTACCCCACCCCCCACCTCGCCACCTTGAAGACCCACCTCAAGACCCTCCTTCCTTTTCGACTGTGCTTTCGATCTCCCTGCTTCCCCCCCTGCCCTCCACCCTCCCCCACCCCCAGCTCGGGTCCATAACTCTGTCTGTCCAGCACCTTGGGATGTCTCCCGATGAGAAAGGCGATATACAAATGGCTATTTTGTTGTTGTTGAGTAATCCAGGCGGAGGTGACAAACGCATACACGAGGGTTTTGGCTGCATTTTGGGTAAGGTGCGATCGGGGATGGGCAATGTGGTGGAGGTGGAAGAAGGCGGTCCTGGTCAGCAACTGGTTCTGGGGAAGGAAGGAAAGCTGAGGGTCGAACCAGATGCCTAGATTGCGCACTGGTTCAGAGAGTCTGAGGGAGAGGCTGGGGAGGATCTGCAGGAGTGAAGATGGGAGCCAAAGAGTATGGCTTCCATCTTGTCCACACTCAGCTGCAGGAAGTTTGCACTCATCCAGGCCCTGATGTCTACCAGACAAGCTGATAGAACATCAGGGGACCTGGAGTCGCAGTTGGAGGAGGCAAACTAGATTTGTGTGTCATCCGCATACTGCGTGTCTGCAATGACATCACCAATAGAGAGCACGTAGATGACCCCGGATGCCCTGGGGTACCCTGCAGGTGACCAGGCAGGGGCAGGAGGAGAAACCATTTGTTGAGATGAAGTGGAGGGGGTTGGTTAAGTAGGACTCGAACCAAGCACTCTCACTAAGGTGGATGAGGGATGAGAGGTTGTGGAGGAGGATGGCATGGTCGACAACGTTGAATGCGACAGAGATCCAGGAGGATAAGGAGGCAGAGGGAGCCCTGGTCATAGATAGAGAGCACGTCATTTGTGACTTCGGCAAGCGCTATCCCTGTGCTGTGGGCAGTTAGGGTGAAAATCAGACTGCAAGGGCTCGAGGAGGGTGTGAGCAAAGTTGACCTGCAACAATGCATTCCAGGACTTTGGCAAGGAAGGGCAGGTTGGAAATGGGATGGTAGAGTGAGAGATTAAGAGGGATCGAGGGTGGGTTATTGAGGAGAGGTGTGATAACAGTGGTTTTAAGGGGGAGTGGAACAGAGCCTGAGGAAAGAGACTGGTTGACCGTGTCGGCCAGCAGGGGGGAGGAGAGGGGGAGCAGCTGGTTGGGGAAGCGGGCGAGGCAGCAGGTGGTGAACTTCAGGCGGGTAATGGTGGTTGAGAGGGAGGATGAAATGGGGGCAAATGTGTGTAAGGAGGGCAAAGTGGCAGGAGCCGTGGCGGAGGGAGAAGGCGGTGTGGATGGTCTGGTTGTGGTGGAAGGAGACATGGTGGGGATGACGATCCAGCCAAGCAGATGTTTTCAAACTTTGAGGCAAAGAAGTCTAGGACCTCTTCGCACTTGGCGTTTGATGTGAGGATAGAGGGAGCTTGAGTGGGTGCACGGAGGAGGTGATGCACGGTGGAGAACAGTGTCTTTGGGTTGAATAGACTTGGTCATTTGAAAAAATTCTTTGCTCGTTTTATGTTTTCTTATGTTTTAATTTAGACTGTACTGAACTGCACCTAAAATAAACAAGAATTTATAAAATAAACGAGTACATGCCCAGTTGGATTTTACGTTTGGTGTCAAATATTTGAAAATATGGCATTTTCACAATGTCAAATCATATACACTCACCATAATCTTACAATGTATTTTTATACTCCTTTCTCTACAGTCCATCAATAGAAAACAAAACGAGACACAAATGTCAAACTAACCTAGAATGAGGAATGGTGCATTAGCTGTGTTGATGGCAAACGAAACCCCACAAAACAGCAGCAGTCCAAAGCCTGTGAGCACAGCTAATCCAGCTGATATCACTCCCAGAGCAGCCACCCAGAACTTATTCCTTACAGGGTCCAACCTGTAAATAAATGGCACCACTTTCTGTAACATAATACATTTTTACCTTAATGTCACACAGTAAGTCAATGAAAATGAATTCCAACTTTACTTAATAGAGAAAGAACTTTACCTCATACAAGACACAATGGAAAAGAATATTGAAAGGAAATAGGTGATTGAAAATAGTGGTACGATTTCTTTGCTGCTTCCTTCAAACTCTGTCTGTCTTGATACGGAAGTGTAATACGAAACCTGTAATTGAGGGGGGAAATTCTTTATAGCATCTTATTAAATGATCAGATTTCTGTTGAAAGTAAGAAACTTGACATAATATCCTGTTTGTATGACAGACATACTTTCATTAATTTAAAAGAACTATGAGATTGAATAACATAAGTGTGTGTTCATTAACAAATATGATGGAAGGCTCATGAACTGGGCCAATAGAAAAGTGCAGCCGCAATTTTTCCACGGAATAATAATAAATATTATCCCCCTTTGTTACAATCACCCTCCTTCGCTATAAACACCCCCCTCCACTACACTCCTACCTCCACTACAAACACCCTCCCATTACAAAACCCCCCTCCCCTGCAAACACCCCCTCCCCTACAACACCCACCTCCCTACAAACACCCCTCTCTGCTGCAAACACCCCCCTCCGCTACAAAACCCCCTCCGCTACAAACACTCCCCACCACTACAAACACCGGCTCCGGCACAAACAAACTGTTCACTACAAACATCCCACTCTGCTAGAAACAGCCTCCGCCTACAAGCAACCCTCCGCTACAAACACCCCCCACTCCTCTACAAACACTCCCCCTCCCCTACAAACTACAAACATTCCCCTCCCCTATGAACACACCCTCCCCTACAAACACGGCCTTGGCACAAGCAAACTCTCTGCTAGAAACACCCCCCTCCGCTAGAAACTGCCTCCCCCTAACAACCCTCCTCTCCCCTACAAACAACACACCGCTACAAACATCACCACCACCACCAACAACAACAACTTGGATTTATATAGCGCCCTCCACGCCGGATGGCGTCTCAGAGCGCTTCACAGTAACGGATCCCGGGGGAGGGGGGGGAAGGTGACCAAAGGCGCGGTCAAAGAGAAAGGTCTTCAGCCGAGACCTGAAAATAGGAAGAGAGGGAGCGAGGCGAAGGCAGTGAGGAAGGAAGTTCCAGAGCCTCAGGGCATAGTGTCTGAAGGCACGGCTGCCGAGGGTGGAGCAGAGGACTCGGGGGATGAGGAGGCCAGACCCGGAGGAACGAAGGCGACGGGCACTGTTTTGACAAGAGAGGAGGTCAGAGAGGTAGGGGGGGGTGCAGAGGAGTGGAGGGATTTCAAGACAAGGGTGAGGATCTTGAAGTCGATCCTTTCTGGGACAGGCAGCCAGTGCAGTCTGACACCCACCCCGACACCCCCATCACTACAAACACCACCACCCCCTACAAACACCGGCTCTGGCACAAACAAACCCTCCACTACAAACTTTCCCCTCCGCTAGAAACAGCCTCCGCTGGTCAGTGGCAAATGACGTTTTGTTAATCTGTGATGAAGGCCCCCTCTGTCTCCTCGTCCTCCTTGACCTCTCTGCTGCTTTTGACACCGTTGACCTCTTCTCACCACAACCTTCAGGGCTCTGTCCTTGACTGGTTCATATCCTACCGTTCACACCGCCTTGTCATGGTTACTCTATTTTTTGCAATACTCTATCCTGCATAAATTGTATCAAATGTTTTGCAAATATTAATATTAATAATCTATATGTTGGGGGTTGCTTGTCCCTTTAAGAGGGTTAAGTCTCCTTTTTTGCAAGCAACAGTGGAGACACTGGGCGCTTAGAGAGAGAAACAATTACTTGTACCAAGTTAAAAGCACGTGGTGTTTAATGCGGGAAAAAAACCACTCTACTTTGTTTAATGGGAGAAACCATTGCCTATATAAGGAAGAGGCTGGCTCACTTGGCCCAACTTTTAATAGTATGTGCCTGACTTGAGGGGCACGACCTCCAAGTCAAGATTGGTCTTTATTATTATTATTTTCACTAACATTATTATTTGCTCCCAATTTATCCCAATCAGTTGTTGAATCGTGTTGTATCTGTTTCATTGTTGTGTTTAACTGATTCGCTTTGACCTAGAAGTAAGATGGAAAGACAAACGCCTGTCTTTAGTTGATAAACATCTGTTGTACCTGCTCAGTATTGCCTTTGAGTCTGTTATATCCTCTGTTATATTCTCTTCAACCATGCCCTCAGCTCCCCTCTCGACTCTCTAGCCCCTCCTCGCTTCCTCCCTTCCCTCCCCTCACCCTGACCATTTCCCCCCTGCTCGGGTCCCGACCCAACTGTCCAGCGCCTTGGAACGTCCTCCCGACTTGAAAGGCGCTCTATAAATGCAATCTTGTTGTTGTTGTTAGGGATGGAGGGAGATAAAACACATTAAAGCAGGAATTGCCATACCTAGTAGCCTAATAGTTCAATAAGGCATTGGGTCAGTAAACCGAACGGTAATACCTGTCGTTGTGTGGCTCCGAAATAGTCAAATTAATAGTAAATTACTCAAGAGCAGGAATTTCCAATACAGAGGCCACACAGTACACTTTGTGTTACTGACATTTGCGGGGTACACGGAGGGGTGAGAACTGTCGCAATCTCCACTGTCTCCACAAACGGCATCTTCTCTAGCCCCCGCACCATCTCATGCGATAATCCTCAGGGCTCTGCCCTTGTTCCTCTCCTCTTCAACATCTACATGCTCCCTCTTGGTAACATCAAGGGTTATTATCGTCCACAGGTGTGGGGTCAACTTCCACATGTATGCGGATGACACCAACTCTATCTGTCTGCCTCCACCCTTGACTTCAGGACCACTGTCAAGCATCAAGTCCTGGATGAGAGCTAACTTTCTCCAGTTGAATGTCAACAAGACCGAGGCTCTCCTGATTGACTCCCATGGGGTTGGAGTGACAGTAAGCACGGTCTAACAAGAAGGTTTTCAGGTGGGACTTAAAAAAGGGGAGAGGGGGTAAGACAGAGGGATTGAGGGAGAGTATTCCAGAGTTTTGGGGTGTAGTGGCTGAAAGCGGGACCTCCGATGGTGGGGCATAGAGTGTGAGGGATGAGCAGGAGGCTGATGCCAGTCGAGTGGAACAGCCGGGTGTTGGATTGGGGAGTGAGGAGGTTGGAGAGGTAGGGAGGTGCCTAGTGAAGGGATTTGAACACAAGTGTGCGGAACTTGAAGTTGATCCGTTTGGTGATGGGGAGCCAGCGGGTCATGGCCAAAACTGGTGAGATGTGGATATGTGTAAGTATGTGGGCGGCAGAGTTCTGAATGAGCTGGATCTTTTGAATAGTGGAGCTGGGGAGACCCGTGAGGAGTGCGTTTGAGTAATCCAGACGGGAGGTGACAAACACTTGCATGAGGGTTTGGGCTGCATTTGGGGTAAGGTACGGTCGGAGGTGGGCAATGTGGCAGAGGTGGAAGAAGGCGGTCCTTGTCAGGGACCGGATGTGGGAGAGGAATGACAGCTGTGGGTCGAACTGTATGCCTAAATTTCACACTTGTTGGGTGAGTGTGAGGAAGAGCCCAGGGAGGTTGAGGAGTTCAGATCGGCAGGAGTGAAGACGTTGATGGGAGCCAAGGAGTATGGCTTCCGTCTTGTCCACATTCAGCTGCAGGAAGTTTGCACTCATCCATGTCCTGGTGTCTGCCAGATAAGCTGATAGAACATTGGCGGACCTCGATTTGTTACTGGAGGAGGCAAAGTAGATTTGTGTGTCATGCCCATACATGTGGAAGTTTACCCTGTGTCTGCGGAGGAAGCACATAGATAAGGAAAGGAAGAGGACCAAGGATGGAGCCCTGGGGTACCCTGCAGGGGACTGGGTGGGGGTGGGAGGAGAAACTATTTGCCGAGGTGAAATGGAGGTGGTTGGCTAAGAAGGACATGAACCATGCGCGTGTTGTCCCATTAGGGTAGATGAGGGAGGAGAGGTGGTGGAGGATGATGGCGTGGTCAACTGTGTGGAACGCAGAAGAGAGATCCAGGAGAACTAGGAGGCTGAGGAGCTCTGGTCACCCTCATCCTCACCCGGCTCCACTCGCTCCCCATTCCCCAGAGCAGGGTAGTCCAGCCTTTTGGCTGCCGATGGCCATATTCCTTATTTGAGAAAGGTCTATGGGCCACAAGCAATATTTTGTGTTTCCCTTCCAGAAACATAACAACATTGACACAGCACCGTTTCCATGTTGGAAGGACATCTCAAAGCGCTCGACACTGCTGGCTGGTCGCCTGAGCTGGGTGTTGTAGCCGAGGGAGGTGGGACAGGGAGGGGAAAGATGACCCAAGAGTCAAAGAGTTCCCCTCTCCCCTCTCTCAATCCCCTTCTCTCAGTTCCCCTCTCCTCCCCCTCTCTCAGTCCCCCTCTCCTCCCCTTCTCTCAGTCCCCTCCCTCTCTCTCAATCCCCCTCTCCTGCCCCTCTCTCAATCCCTCTCTACTCCCACTCTCTTAATCCCCCTCCCCTACTCTCGCTCAGTCCCTCTCTCCTCCCCCTCTCCCCTCACTCTCTGTCCCCCTCTCCCCATCTCTCAATTATTCCTTCTTTCCCAATCGGCCGCACAGGTCACTACGTGCAGTGGCAGGAGCCACCGATTGCTAAGGACACAGAAGACAAGGAGACAAGCTTCCCTTCCCCTGGGCTCCACTCTCCGCGCTGTGTCCTCCCAACCGCCTCCTGCCGCTGCCCTGGGAGGACTTTCACCAGGTTCGGAGGGAGGGAGGGAGCGGAATTTGGAATGTTGGAAAGCGTCACGGACCAAATAAAATCACCCGCCGGGCCTTGATACCTCTGTGACCTCCTAAACCCCTATCAACTGTCCCCTCCCTCCGCTCAGCGGGCTCTGGCCTGCTTCATGTCCCCCGCCTTGTCCGCCCCACCATTGACAGTCTGGCCTTCAGCCTCTCTGCCCCACCCTTTGGAACTTCATCCTACATTGCCTTTGCCTCACTCCCTCCCCTGGCTCCTTCAAAGCACGTCTCAAGACCCTCCTCTACGACTGCGTATTCGGTCACCCTCCTACCCTTACCCTCCTTCTCTTCACCCCCTGATCCCAATTCCCCCCAGCTCAAGTCCATATCCCTGACAGTCCAGCGCCTTAGGATGATCTCCTAACATGAAAGGCGCTATACAAATGTAATTTGTTGTTGTGGTTTGAAGGTGCGGAGGGAGGGGGTGAGTCAGCGGTAGTTGGAATGAGTTGTTGTTATTGGTCATGGATACGTTCTGCATAAATCAGTAACACAAATAAAAATCTCTATTCACCAGCATTCACTTCACACCACTAACTAATGAGCGTTTATACTGCATGTAGATTTAAACACTTTTTGTTGAGGAAGACAAATACTATAGGTTACTGCAGATGCAGCCGTTCATTAACAGTAAAATAACACACACACTGAGGTATTTTGCAGTTAAAACTTACCTGAATATTTTTCAGCACTGTTGAGCGTTTCGGAATTTCATCAATAAACTTCGTCAGCCACCGCTCATTTTTTGGTGCGTTGTTATCTCGTAAATAATAATCAAGTCTAACGGCAGAAGCTGTTTTAATATAATTTCCCTCTAACTTCACTCCCCCCACAGACAAACCAATGAAACCACTACATTCTGTGCTATTCTGGACGGGATAAGTAAATTTAAAGCTCTCCACTTGACCAGCATCGTACTGTATACAGTCTAACATTACATTGGAGAAGCAGGAATCTCCTGCTTTGGCACAAAGACTGGAATAGTTATTCTTATCAACAACAAACCCTTTAACTTCCCCATCGAGCCGCAGAATCTCTTTAAATGCTGCCTCTGTGAGGACGCTGCCACCTTTAGCAACAGCGATGAAAGAAGCAAAGGTCCCCTCTGTGTAGAGCCTCGGCGCCGAGAAGGGCAGAGAATCATGAGTTGGAAAGTGTTTCATAATAAACTCTCTCTCAGACTTTGCCTGACCGTGAATAGGAGTGAACTGCTCCTCTATGTCATTCGTTTCATTTTGCTCAAAGAAATAAAACCCTGCGCCTAGAGCTGCAGAAATGATCAGAGGAATCACCAAAAACCACCATGGATATCGCCCAACGAGGGCTCCCAACTTCCCGAAAACTTTACAGAGAGGTTTCTCCAGACAGTCAGTGTGACACCGAGCCATGGTCTACACTGGGCAGTCAGCAGACTGAAGAAGGGAATGTTACACGCAACGCTCGATTGCACCAGAGATTGGTTTGAATAATAACATGCCACTCTGTGATTGGATTGAACAATGATCTGTGTCAGAAAGTATTGCACTTAACGTACCATGTCTATTACAACGGTCTGGGTTTCTCCCTTCACACTTCATCCATAATAAACTCTACTTGGCCAGGTCTTTTATTAACTTATTGGAACATTGCAGTCATTCGTGCCTGCTTAAAGATTTCTTCAAGGTTACTTCAAATTGAATGTATAAATAATGTAGTAATAATCCTTGCACTTTATATAGTGTTTTATATGTTGGGAGGAGATCTCTGGAGTTATTGTAAATTGATTGTGTATTTTGCAGGTGAACCCAGCAGCCAGTTTGCACACAGTAATGTCCCACAAACAGTCAGGAAGTGAATAACCAATTTCATCAGAATCCCAGAGTTTGTGGTCAGGGTACTGCTGGAGTCTAACCAGCTAAATTCGCATTGCTTGCCATTGAGAGCACTGCCTAGCAAGCTTTCCTGCTGCTCGTTCAGCTAGGAGCACCCTACCCTTTAGGGCTTTGGCTTGCAGGAGCTGAGTGGTTGGATTCCCTGCTCCCAGTGACTAGTTTGCCCTTCCAGGTCCTGCCAATGAGCCTTGCTGGCTGTGCCGCAATCAGCAATGCCCTGGAGTTCTGCGGCCTAGTTTGGCTCCAAAGAGACCGCACTTAGACTGCCCCAAAATGAGGATAGTCAAGTTTGACGGAAGCCATACTTTTTGGCCCTCGTCAACGTCTAAAATCTCACAGCTCTTACCTCCTCCACCTACCCGACCTCCCCCTAAAACTCTCTGAACCCGTACGCAACCTAGGCATCAGGTTCGACTCCCAATTATCCTTCCTCCCCCACATTCGGTCCCTCACCAGCACCGCCTTCTACCACCTCCGATGCATCGCCCGTCTCCGCCAATACCTCTCCCCAAAAGCCGCTGGAACCCTGGTCCATGCCTTTGTCACCTCTCAGCTGGAGTACTCCGAAGTCCTCCTCGCCGGTCTCCCATACACTACCATCCATAAAATCCAAATCATTCAAACTCTGCCGCCCGCATTCTCACCTGCACAAAACTGCGCTCCCCGACCACCCCAGTCCTTGCCAGACTGCACTGGCTGCCTATCCCAGAGAGGATCGATTTCAAGATCCTCACCCTTGTATTCAAGTCCCTGCACTCCTCTGCACTCCCTTACCTCTCTGACCTCCTCTCTCCTCAAAACAGTACCCATTGCCTTCTTTCCTCTGGTTCTGGACTCCTCCTTGTCCCCCGAGTCCTCTGCTCCATCCTCAGCAGCCGTGCCTTCAGCCACTATGCCCCGAAGCTCTGGAACTGCCTTCCTCACTCTCTTCGCCTCGCTCCCTTTCTTCCCATTTTCAGGTCTCTGCTGAAGACCTTTCTTTTTGACTGCGCCTTTGGTCACCTTCCTCCCCCTCCCCCCCCGGCGCGGCCCCGGGATCCATTACTGTAAAGTGCTCTGAGACGCCATCCGGTGTGGAGGGCGCTCTCTAAATTCAAGTTGTTGTTGTTGTATGTCCTGAACAGAGGTAAAGCTGTGTTGTTTAGTGCAATTTTAATGAGGAAAATGTGAAATGTAAGGATTTGTTTTGAAATTCGATTAGCAGATTTACTGAACATGGAGATTTGACTGAGAAAGAAGGAGAAATGCCGACAAAGGCATAACGCCATTATTGCATGCTATGAGAGGAAAGAAGGTCTGGAGATTTTAAGCACATCCACTTGCAACTCCTGGGAGGAGAAAGATAATAGGCAAGAACACCAACCCTGTACAGGTGATGATGGCACACATCTACAAGAAGCTCCTTGACCTGCATTTCTTGGTCTTGGATGCTTTGGAATAGTTCTGTTAGCAGCAAGCACATCAATCTCCACTTGAGCTGGATGAGTTTCAGGCAAATCATTGTTTGTAACTTCTTCAAGCTTTCTTTCTCAAGTAGGAATGTAGGATTTCGATGAAAATAGCCAATTCCAACAATTGCACCAAATCCTTGTGCCACTTTCCACTGTTTTTTAATTGATTATTTTAACTTACAACAACAACAAATTACATTTGTACAGTGCCTTTCACGTAAGGAGGTTGTCCCAAGGCGCTGGCCTATTAGGGATCCACACCCGAACTGGTGGTTGGGATCAGTAGTGGTGGAGGGCAGGGAGGGTGACCGAAGGCATGGTTGAAGAGGAGGTTCTTGAGACAGGTATTGAGGGAGGCAAGGGAGGGGGCAAGGTGGAGGGACTGTAGGATGGAGTTCCAGAGCGTGGTGGCAGAGACGCTGAAGGCCCGTCCATCAATGGTGGGGTGGGCAAGGTGGGGGTCGTGAAGCAGGCCGAAGGCCGCTGAGTGGAGGGAGCGGACAGTTTGACAGGGGGTTAGGGGGTCACAGAGGTAGGGAGGAGGAAGGCTGCGGAGAGCTTTGATGGTGAAGACCAGGGTCTGTGAGTGATGGGGAGCCAGTGGAGCTGGGCGAGGATGGGGTTGATGGGGTCACGGAGCCTGGTCGGGAGTGGACATGGGCTGCAGAGTTCTGTATGATCTGCAGCCTGTGGAGGGCGGAGTTGGGGGGAGCTGACAAGCAGGGAGTTTGCATTGTGAGCCTGGATGTGATTACCTTGTGGATGAGGGACTCGGCAGCCTGCAGTGAGAGACAGTGGCAGAGCTGGGCCATGTTGCGGAGCTAGGGAAAGGCGGAGTGATTCATGGCACAAATGTGCGGGATGAAGGACAGTTGAGGGTCGAACAGGACGCCGAAGTTCTGTATTGGCTCCGTGAGGTGTCAAGTGCATCCATGAAGGGTGATGATGTCAGCCCTCGAGGTATGGAGGCGCTGATGGGAGCCAAGCAGGAGGGCCTTGGTCTTGTTGACATTCGACTGGAGAAAGTTAGCTCTCATCCAGGACTTGATGTCCGACAGGCAGTCTGTGAGGACAGTAGTGATCCTGGAGTCGAGGGTGGAGGCGGAGAAGTAGAGTTGGGTGTCATCTGCATACATGTGAATGACACCCAATGGATGATGTCACCAAGGGGGAGCATGTAGTTGATGAAAAGGAGGGGACCAAGGACAGAGTCCTGAGGGACGCCACATGTGATGGTGTGGGGATTGGAGGAGCAGCCATAAGGGAACACAAAGTGGAGACAGTGTGAGAGGTAGAATTTGAACCAGGCAAGGGCAGGTCTGTGAAGGTTGAGCTGAGAGGAGAGGCGGTAGAGGAGGATAGAATGGTCGACAGTGTCGAAGGCAGGAGAAAAGTCGAGGAGGACATGGAGGCAGGTCACAGATGGACAGAATGTCGTTAGTGACTTTGACCAGGGCTGTGGGCAGCACAGAAACCCGATTGAAAGGGTTCATAGAGGGTATGGCGGGAGAGAAAAGAGCGAAGCTGGGACACAAAGACTTGTTACAATGACACCCTAATTAAACCATTAAAGATGTTAATTTGGCCTCCCCCCAGCCCCATATCAAATTGTCAACCTTCCTGTTCAAAACAATTGCAAGTCATGCAGGAACTTCCTTCTGACGTGGGTTTTTACCTTTGTGTAAAAGTATTCTGACTGTAAAAATAATATCATGTAAACAATGTAACCCTATGCTTTCACCCAGCAAGGCTTCAGTGATCCAGAAAACTGGACATATTATTCTAACATTTAGTTTCCTTATACCAACCTCAAAGGCATTAAATCATATGATGGCCATCACAAATAAACTTCCTGGAAACATTCCTGATATTGGCCTTCAGCCATCAAACTCGACCGTTGCAACTCCCTTCCTCTACCCTCTGACTCACCTCATCTTTATCTGTCTTTAGAAGCTGTCTAAAAGCCTACTATTCTGACTGTGCTTGCAGTGATTACCCTTCTCCCACTTCCATTATTCTCTGTTCTCATTGCTGATGAATTGCGCTTCATAAATGCAAGTTGGTGTTATCTGTCAATTTGAATCAATTTGAATCAAACTAAAACGAAGGTCCCTTGGACGAATAGGGAAATTGAAATAAATGACGTAAAAGTGGGGAATCTTCACTAAATGTAAAGATAATAATACAAAAGGAAATCTGGCAGCGAATATAAAATATAGAAAGGAGGGAGAAAAGGAGATTCAAAAGGCCGAGGGGGGATAGGAAGGAACATAAAGAAAAATAATAAAGCATTTTATAAACACATGTTGAAGGAAGTCAATGAGGAAATGGTAGATGCTTTGACTACAGTTTTTTGAACATCCTTGGATACGAAAGTTTTGTGAGGAGACTGGAGGCTAGCTAATGGAACACTGCTGTAGAGGTGATGTAAAGGTGATGATATTTCAGCTCTACGTTGATTGCTACCCTAAGAAAGGTCTGGCACCTCTCTTACTTTCCAGAGCAGACTCCCCGCCTAAGCCATTTCCCTTACAGTCTGCTCACCTTGAAATGTCTTTCTGAAGTGAAAGGTGCTATACAAATGTAATTTGTTGCTGTTGTTGTTTTACCACTCCGTGTTTTTTTACTTCCCATTGTTTTGAGAAATTTCCCTGGTTTTGAAAACTCTCCCTTCTCAGACTCCATCCTCTGACACTAAACAGAAATGTGAAAGACCCAATAAACACAGGATATCTGTAAGAATTATGAGTGTTGATTGCTGGAGCTTCATCCCTGAGGCCAGGAACACATTCAGTTTCAATCGGGGACAACAATGGTGGTTTCTTTAGCCTTCCTCTGATCAGGTAGATTGATGACTCCTCTGTGAGGTTGCTCAGTCAGAGTTGTTAATTGATGTTTGTTGTGCCATTAAAACCGGAGGTGGGGTCTCCTTGGAGCTGAATTGGTGACGTGCCTGGCAATGGAATATAGGAATCAAGCCAATCCACTGTGACGGTCTCTAGTCCGGTTCCTGAGACAGGTGGGCCCGCAGTATTCCAGGGGCTGATGACACGTAACCTGGCTCATCGGCAGGACCTGGAA